ACTCCTTCTCCTCCTGGGCAGTGGCACCGTGGGCTCCAGAGCTGGAAAGATCCTTAGAGGCCTCTGAGACCTTGGTCCAAGTTCTGTCCCGTTACAGGGGTGTCTCCAGGGCATTCCAGCGTTCCAGACGGTTGTCAATCTTACTAACCAGCCACAGAGATGAAGGCCAGAGGTTGTGTATAGTGGCTTGATGGTGAGCTGGGGAGGGGAGATGAATGAAGACAGAACACTGAAATGTGACCAAAATCTCACAGTTCAAAAGCCACTATACACTCAGTCAATCAATACACGATTAGGAGGAACAGAGAATCTTACTTCTTCAGAAGCCGGCACTTTACAAATGCTGCAAAGTATCTTGGCAACAAATGCGTATGGTGTGCTCCCTGGGGGAGGTGGCTGAGCCCTGCAGCTGACACTCAGGAGTCGACTGGGCAGCTCACTAGGGGACATGGATCCAAGGATTCTTCCTGGGGGTGTGCAGGGACAGGGAGCAGATGCAAGCCTCGCCCTTGATTAAAATCGTCCCCATTTACAGGACTGGTGACCATCAGATGAGCTAAGGTGTTAGCTAGCCAGCCCTCCAGAACTCTCCCTTCCTTCTAGTTAATACTCAGCTGCAGGCCAGTGTCAAAGGCTTCTCCTTGGCTCTGCCGTGTGAGTTGCATATGCTCTGGAAACCAGCAGGTAGGCCAAGATTCATATTGCTCCTAGGCCAAAATGCAAACCCTTTTCCTCGACCTAAGAGGTCTGCAAGCAGACAGGGCCTGCTCACCTCTCCAACACCACCTCCCATCTCCCCACCCCTCATTTACCACCCTGATCTCCCTCACCACGGGTGGGCTTCTTTCAGTTTTTGGGATCTGCCAAACTCTGGGATTCCGTGCTTGCTCTTCCCTCTACCTGGGAAGTTTTTCCCATGGCTGGTGCCTTCTCAACCTCCAAATCTCAGCTTCAGTGGCACCTCTTGGAGGTGCCTTCCTTGACCACTTCAGCTAAGATGTCCCCCACACCAAAGGCTTGTGACAGTGCATCACCTTTGCTACTTCATAGTCCGTCATTCTACAGAATTGTCTTATTTGCTTACCTTCTTGTCCTCTGTCTCCCTCTGCCCATTCCCAAGCCTCTCAGGATAGGATGTTAACATTGTTCCTCATTCTACTCGTAGTACAGAGCTTGAAATATACTAGGTCCTTGATGAGTATTTATTAAATGTAGTGATGGCTGAGGCCAGGCTGTAGGGACAGCCTCACTGATGAAGCTCAGGGCTGCTGTTGCCATGGCACATGGAAGAGGGAGGCCCAAGTGGAAGCACTAAAGATCAAGGGCAGGGGAAAAGATTCCAGCCTGAGGCAGGCCAGGGAGAGGGGCTGCTACTGGACCAGGCCAACAAAAGTGAGTCCTGGCGGGCAGGATGCTCCTCAGTCTGGGAACTCACTGGAAAGGGCCTGAGGAAGCTTCTGGATGGGCTAGTGGAGTCTCAAATGGCAAAGAGGATTTCTATGCTACTACATGAGCCCAGACACCTTCAGATACTGGTCAGTACAGAGGGTTCGTCCACATAGGTGAGATCTGGGACGTTGCATGAGAGATAAGGGCTGGGGTGGTAGAGGGGCCCCCAAAGGAATGCCCATTGACTGGATGCTTTCCCAGCACACCCTCAGTGTCAGATCTATCTGTGCGTGGGATCCCTGCATCCTTTACATAGCTAATGATCCCCTTTTCAGTACATGATACAGCCCACCAGACCATGAAAAAATTGGAGAGAAGCCAAGAGACATCTTGGTGTGATGGCTAAAGGCTGGTGACTGTTTCATAGCCTGAGATTACAAGCTCCATAAAGTGCTTCACAGCATTTCCACAGCCAGCATAATACAGTGGGGAAGAGCCCTGCCTCAGACACCAAGAGCATAAACCCAAGTCCAAGCTATGTGACACGGGTCAAGTCACTTAATCTCTCTGTCCCTCAGTTTCCTCATCTGTAAAAGGGGACCCTATTTCAGAAGGCTGTCATGAAGCTTAAATGAGTTAGCATATAAAGCACTTTGAACAGCGCCTGGCATACCGTAAATGCTACGGCAGTGTTGCTTGTTAGTGTCATTCAAGGAAGTAGCAGTGGACTTTGAAGTACTATTCACAATATCACACAGAGATTACAATGTTAACTGTGAGTCCAGGCTGGTTCTTGAGGGCTGGTGGGCTAGTGTGGAGGAATGTCTTACTTCATAATTTATCACAAGCCCAGTGTGACGGAACATGGTGAGGGAGGAACATGGTAAGCAAGGGACAGGGGTGTGGGAAGTGGGAACGTAAGAAGAGGGAGGTAAGCAAGGAACAGGGAGGTGGGAAGTGGAGTCGAAGAGGTGGCAGACCCCGTCTGCCTGCCAGACCTCTCAGGTCAAGTATAGGAGTTTGCATTTTTGCCTAGCAGCAATACAATTCATGGCCTACCTGCTAGCTGGCAGAGCATGCATAACCCACACTGTAATCCCCAGGCCAGTCAGGGAAATTCAGAGCTGTGGTTGGTTCCCAGGCTTCCTGCACTCTCTGGGAACCATGAGAGTGTACATGGGAACAAGCATGACAGCTTCTTTTTTTTTTTTTTTTAATTGAAAGGATGATGAGTAGTTTTCTGTAACTGACTTCTGGCTCATGGTTATATTTGATATGGAAGTTGTGATCCTGACACTTCCAGTAATAAGAACAGCAACTTCAAGCCTCAGGTGACTCTTTGCTTTTTAAAAAAGAAGGATGCTTGATTGGCAAACCATATCAATTATGTGTTTTTCCAGATGCTGGATGCTCCTTTTAAAAAATTCTAATAAGAGAAAAAAGGGTTCCAATCAAAACACATTTTTATTGTCTTTTACATTTACCTGTGTTATTATCTTCACTGGTGCTCTCGTTTGATCCTGTGTGTTTGAGTTACTGTCTAGTGCCTTTTCTTTCAGTCTGAAGGACTCCTGTTAGTAGTTCCCAGTGGGAAGGGTGTGCTAGCAACAAATTCGCATGGTTTTTGTTTATATGGATATGTCTCAATTTCTCTTTCAATTTCGAAGGATTGATTGCTTTGTTGTCTACCAAATTCTTATTTGACAGCCTTCCCTCCAAGTATTTTGATAAAATATCAAAAGCATATTTTGATATTGTGTGGGGTTTTTCTAATTGCTTTGTAACTAAAAAAAAAAAAAAATGTATTAAATCTTCTAGGCTGCTGTGGCTATTTAAGACCATATCCATATGTCATCCAACTGCCTTTTGGCCTCCATAAGGTTTTTAATGAGAAATCAGCTGTTCATCGTATTGGGGAGTCCTTGTTTGTGATGAGTCCTGAATATTTCCTCCCATTCCTCCCTGCTCAAAGTTTACAGTTGTATGTTCTACATTCAATCTATGGTTTATTTTTAAGTAATTTTTGCATAAGGTCTAAGGTTTAGGCTCGCGTTCAGCTTTTTTCCCTGATGGATCTAGCAATATTTGTTGAAAAGTTTGTCCCCCCCCCCGCCATTGAATTATTGTACTGAAATAAAGGTTGTAACTAGCCACACCAGCCTAGAAGACTTGTAGTGAATTTTTGTCTAGTCATAAAGCAATTTAAGAAAAGCTCCCCCATTCAATATTTTATTTTGGGATTTAGAGATTTTTCTAAGAATCACGGTCTTGTTCTTCCCCATTTTTATCTTTAATAAGCAAGCTTTCATGTGGTTATAGAGAGTTAGAAACCTGTGGTGGAATGGGAATGCCTAGTCCATAAGTCTCAAACACTTTATAAAAAGAGAGGAGAGATTAAAAAAAGAAAAGAAAAAAAAAAAAGGAAAGGAAAGAAAAAGAAAAGAAACAAATAAGAAAAAGAGGGAGGGCCTGGAGTTCAGCTTCGAAATCATGACTTTTTACCTGATTACCTTGGACTTCTTTCCTGTCTGTAAATGGAAACGCTAGTCCCTTCTTCATAGACTCCTTGTGATAAGTGACAGTTCACAGGCCAAGCTTCCTGAGGGGGTCCCGCTGTGGCTCCCTTCCTGCCCCAGGGAGACGTGGCAGAGCAAGCCTCTTTCTCTTGGAACCTGCCTCTCTTCTTAAGGCTGGAGGAGGCTGGTGGCAGAGGTGTCTGCAGGGAGCTGGGCAGCTGGGGAGCAGAGCTTGGATGAGTGTGCTAATGGGGATGGGGATGCCTCTACGTGCTCTGCATCTCGCGCCTGACACCGTACACCCTCCCTGCTTGAGCTCTGGCTGTAGAGAAAGATCAGTGAGGATGTAATGGATTAGGAAAAGCCCGGCTGGCTTCTTCCTGTGCCACCCAGCACCTGGGTCTCTGGAGATTAGTGGGTGGCAGCTTTGCAGGGAGATAGACATTTAAACGTCAGCTTTGGTCTAAAGGCCCTACTTCCCAGAAGAGAGGGAAGAGAAGACTAGCTCTCTTCAGCCTCCTCCAGTTTCTCCGAGGCTGCCCCTTTCTGAAACATGGGGCTCATACTTCTGTCTAGTAAGTCTTGCTGGCACTTCAGGCGGGTGCTGGAGAAAGGGCTGGTATTGGCACCAGATCTAACTCTGCATGTGGCAGCCAGAGATGAAAGATGTGAATCATGCATTGCAGGCAAAAGTGGTTAGCTAACTTCCCCAGACAGAGAAGGAGAGGAGGCCCCACACTACCCAGGTGTAAGTTACTCTCTGCAACAGCTCGTGCCCAACTGGGAGGTGCTATTCTCATGCTTCTTTTGGTCATTCATTTATTTATTCATTTAACCTTTCATTTGGGAGTCTGCTTGTTTACTCATTCACTGAGGACTAACCAGCCAGCCTGGCCAGTCCCCTAAGTAACATATCTTTAACGTCTCTGTGTGCTTGGCCCTGTGGCTGACCCCAGGGATGCAGGGGATCAAAACACAGTGCCGGTGTACCATGAGTGGCCGGACCGTGGCTGGCTGAGCCAGAGTGTTGAGTATGGGGCCAGACCTGTTCCTGAACATTACAGGGTCTCTGTCACATGCATGTCTTTTTTGTAGGCATGAGCCTGTCCTCTGTGACGCTGGCCAGCGCCCTGCAGGTCAGGGGTGAAGCTCTGTCTGAGGAGGAAATCTGGTCCCTCCTGTCCCTGGCTGCTGAGCAGCTCCTGGAAGACCTCCGCAGCGGTAAGAGTGTGTTTGGGTGGTCAAGTCACGGGGAGCTGAATGTGAAGCTTCCCACACAAACATAGTTCTGGCTGCTGCTGCTGCTTTAAAAAAATGTTTTTCTCATCAACCTCTGAGAGCACAGAACAAGGTTACTGCTTCTTGATCTGTGATTAGTCTGAGGTATTAGAATGAGTAGACAAACAGCACCCACCCATGGAGCTGCACTGGGAGGGCAGGCCTGTCTCTGGGACCCATGCCACGTTGCAGCGTTGAAAGAAAGGCTTTGCTTCTGCCTTGGTGTTGAAGCATTTCCAGGCATGCAAAGCCAGGAGGTTTCAGGAAGAGAGTGACTGAGGTTCTGTGGCCATCTAACAGCACATGGGGACTGTCTCTGGGCATAGCCAGAGATGAGAGGCAGGGGGCGGTCACCCAGGACACCCCTACACTCTGTTCGCCAGATGCTGTACTAGTCCGTGCCTCATCAGAAGGCAGACCTGGCCAGGTGTGGTGGCTCACGCCTGTGATCACAACACTTTGGGAGGCCGAGGTAGGCAGATCACCTGAGGTCAGGAGTTTGAGACCAGCCTGGCCAACATGGTAAAACCCTGTCTCTCCTAAAAATACAAAAAAAACAAAAACAAAAACACAATAATAATAATAAATAAATTGCCAGGTGTGGTGGCACCCACCTGTAATCTCAGCTACTTGGGAGGCTGAGACAGGGGAATTGCTTGAACCTGGGAGGCAGAGGTTGCAGTGAGCCAAGATTTTGCCACTGCCCTCCAGTCTGAGCAACAGAGCAAGACTTCATCTCAAGAAACAAAACAAAACAAACAAACAAAAGAAGGCAGACCTACCCTGTGGTCTAAACAGGGGAGGTTAATAGGAAGAATTATTAAGTTGTATTTGAATAGTAACTGTAAGGCATAGGAAAATGCTCATGGGTTGTGGTGGCTCATGCCTATAATCCCAGGAATTTGAGAGCCAAGGCAGGTGGATCACCTGAGGTCAGGAGTTCAAGACCAGTCTGGCCAACATGGCGAAACCCTGTTTCTACTAAAAATGCAAAAAAAAAAAAAAAAAAAAAAAAATTAGCCAGGTGTGGTGGTGTGTGCCTATAATCCCAGCTATTTGGGAGGCTGAGGCAGGAGAATTGCTTGAACCTGGGAGGCGTAGGTTGCAGTGAGCAGAGATTGTACCATTGCACTCCAGTCTGAGCGACAAGAATGCAAAACTCAGTCTCAAAAAAAAAGAAAGAAAAAGAAAAAGAAAATGCTACTGGGTCTCCTAGGGCTGAGGGCAGGTGCCCAGTGAGGGATGAACTTTGAAGGGAAGCCCCCTTCCCGGTTTGGGGTTCGGAGCTGTGCTTGCAGTCCATGATGACGGTGGAATTTGCTGGTGTGCTCAGCCAGTGGTGATCTGCAGTCACGGCTCAGGCAATAGCCGCTGGTGGCCAGGCGGTGAGCAAGCAGAGCTGCTGGGGGTCGGGGGGAGACTTTGGAGTGTAGGTGGGCTCAGATGAGTCACCTTTCTTAGGGTTGGTGTGGGCAGGAGGCCTGCTGGGGTCTTGTGTAGACTTGAGAAGGTTGTCACATATCTAGTTCAGGCCTTGAGGTGGCCTGGGGACCTTCTGTCCTGGGCGTGTGTTTTGTGCAGAGTGCTACCTCCAGGTGGTCTCACACTAAACTCCAGAAACTGTGAGAGTTAAGAACTCCTGCAGTGTCTCTCCAGCGCCCTCTACTGAGAAAGCTGCACACTGAGCTCTCAGTACAGGAGAGACCTAAGGGAGAGGTCTCCAAGGATGACTATGGCGCTCCTAGGCATTAAGCTCCAGAAAAAACGCTGAGTGCCCACACTCAGGTGTCAACTCAAAGGTCACACATGCTTGAGGGTTGTCGTGCATGCAGCAGAGGCTCCTGGCGTGAAAGATCACACATGTTCTGTGAGGGTGATGGGTCCCAGCATGGACTGATGGAGGAGGCTGTCATCTGTGCCTCCAGCGTCATCTTCTCCCTCTTCCCTACCCTGGGGGTTCTGATGTACAGCTACAGGGCTCCCAGAAGACCAGCTGCCTTGGGTCCTGGTCTGGCTCTAGAAATTCCAGGTGGGCCTGACCTTTCTTTATCTTTTACCTTGAGACTCTTGGGCCATGGGTGAATTTGGATGCAGGTGCTAACTTCCTGCCATGGCCACAGCCACCTTTTATGATACGTGTTCCCATGCATTAGGGTTGAATTTATTCTGTTCCATGTCTCCTCCAGTTCTTGCCCACATTCAGTCCCAGAGGTGGGTACCACCAGGCACCTGCTGGGCACAGTCCTACCCTGGCCCCCCAGATGGAAAAGCTCTGTCTCTACAGCCCCATCATTGGCTTGGTTTCAGATTCATCGGACTATGTAATCTGCCCCTGGTCAGCCCTGCTTTCTGCAGCTGGACGCCTTTCTTTCCAAGGCCATGTTTCTCACATAGAGGCTGCTCCTTTCAAGGCCCCTGAACTGCTACAGGGACAGAGCGAGGATGAGCAGTCTGATGCATCTCAGGTAAGCTGTCCATCTCCTCTGCAGCTCCTGAGTCCCGTGACCGTCCCGGCCGCATCCCCAGCTCCCAGCTCAGCCTTGCAGAGCTTGACTGTCAACACCAAAGCAAAGTGGGTTTGAGCATTTTATTCCCAGGCTTTCTCGTCAGCAACTTACTAGCTCATGGACAAGGGCAAGTCTACTTCTCTGAGCCTCAATTTCTGCATTGGTAAAGTGGGGTTAATGTGGCTCAACCCCACATTATATTGGCTAATTTCAATATTTAAAAAGAAGTGTTGAAAAGCTGTGGTTAAGTGGTCTTCCACATTGGTACCATTGGCAGTAGGTAGCAAGACAGCTTAAAATGGCCCAACTAGGAATTTATCCGAAGGCACAAGTAAGGATGGATTTAGCTGCAGCAGTGCTGATTGTCATGTTGCTGACATTAGTGATAAATTGGAAACAAGCTAAATAGTCAGTGAGAGAGGACATGAGACAAAACAGCATTAAAATGAGGCATAGAAGCTTATTTAATGACTTGAAAAAAAATTCAATATATGCACACATAATATTATCCAAGTTTGGTTAGAGAGAATGAAAGAGAGAGAGAGGAAGTTCTAAAAATAAATACACCAAAGTGTCTACAGTGATTATTTCTGGATGGCAACATCAGTGGAGATTTTTGATTTTCCTGCTTTGGACCTATTTTGCTTATGAATAGCAAAAGTTTCCAGTAAACATCATTTTTAATTTCTAAGAGCATTTTAATTCTCTTGAAGGAGAGAATGGTGCAAGGCAGACAGACAACACTGGATGGGGCATGGTGGGTGTTTACTCAGCGAATTCTGTTTCTTCTTCCTTGCCCTTTCATGGGAAAAGGGCAGCCGTGAAAGTGCTGCCCCCTTCAGGAGGTATCCTGGAATGCGGGCTGCTTTCCCTCCAGGCTCTGAAAGGCAGAGACTGGGGCCTTGGTAGCTTCCAGATTTGGTTTGGAAGACATCTGGGTCCACGTGTCTCTAAGTCAGATCGCAACAGTGAAAGCATGAGAGTTCCAGTCACAGTGGCCCCAGCTCTGGCACCCCCTCCCCTCTGGCATTCTGGAAGTCACTCTGGCATCCAAGCCCACACACCTTCTTACACTGCCAGGACCCCAGGGGTGAATCACTGATTCCTGGACTGAACACAGATTTGGGCGCCTCTCAGATCTGTTTGGGTCTCTTGGCTCCACCTACACCAAGTTGCCTCCTATACCCTGGGCTCAGCTAAGATATCACATCTTGAACCCTGGGATTGGGCTTTCTGCATGACTGCCAATGCCAATGCAACCTGAGAATGCAGGGGAGCTAGCTTCTTATAGAGGAAACTTAGCCAGTGGTGAACAAAAGTCTGGAGGGAACTAGAGAATCCATTTCCCTCCTCTTTCTCTTGTGGATGACTTTGTGATGTGTAAGCCTTGCAAGCCTTCTAGAGAAGTCCTGAGTGCTAGGAAGCCCTGTCTGCTGCCCTTCCTGCTGTGCTCTGTTGCTTGTTGTAAGGAGGTGACTAGCATTTTGATCCTGCATGTCACGTTGGTCCCTGCCTCCCTTCCTCTTTTCTCTTCACTCTCATTGCCCTGGGCTTGCAGCTCCTGAATGAAGGGTCTGCACTAAACCCTTGCCTCAGGCTCCACTTTCGGATGTACCTGTGTTAATACAGATTTGAGCGCTCCTGGGGCCCTTCCCTAATCATCCTAGCACTCGCTGGTGAGGAACAGGCATCACCCTCCTGATTGCAGGTTGGTCTCCACTGCGTACCTTGTGAAGGCCTAGTCACTCCTCTGCCCAGAGCATCTTTGAGGTAGAAAATTATGTTTCTCCCTCCTGCGTACTTTTCTCCAGGCAGAGGCATGAGGACTCCAATACTTTCAGGGCTAATAGGCTGAGTTAAGAACTGGGTAAGTGTATTGCTGAGTCCTGGCCAGGAAGATGAGAAGGAGTGTGAGCTGGAAGAGATTCAATGTGAGACTGACTGAGCTCTGAACTAACCAAACCGCTTCTTTTGCTGTTAATTTAGCACTCTGGGCATATGAAGCATGGCATGTGGAGTGGGCCTTAAGGGGCCAGAGCCACTAGCCTTAAGCCCTGTTTATTAGGCTAGGAGGCAGAGTCACTAGGTTACTTGATCTCTTCCAGCATCTCTAACACTCAGTTCTGTTCATCGCTGTTCTTTTCTATTCATCACAGGCTCCTCTCTTCATCCAACTTGGCATGGGTTCATGGCAGGAGCAGTTGGGCAACTAGGAGAAGGCTCCCTGGACAGGCTGTGCTCAGAATCCTCCCGGAGTCCTGGGTCCTGTTCTGATGTCGGGAGGATGTGCCCAGACCCCTCTGCCTGGACCAATATCCTGCCCTAACCAGTGCATTGACATATCTCCCCAACTACTTGGCATCTTAGCCCCAGGCACAGGTCAGGTGGGAGGTGTGGGCAGGTCTCTAACTACAAGTCCCCTGTGCTGCCAGTACCCCATCCCATGCTCACGGCAGACATCACCAATCAAACATGGCGTCCTTTCCCACTGAGCCAGGAGTTGCCTTCAAAATCCTTCTCACCAACCCTCTACTGACAGTGTCTACTAATGGGCTGAATTCAGAATTTTGGAAGAAGCCTTTTGTCATGTGGCCAAGGCCTTGCCCTAAGACATTTTTGGCCAGAGCCCTTGGAATCCACGTGAGCTTCCAGGTGTGGGTAGTGCCTGTGGCAGGGCTAGGGTGCTGGAGCTCGGTCTATGCTCCAGTCCCTGCAGCGCCACAGGTTTTTATAGTCTATTGTGCTGATCATGTGGGAAGACCAGCCTTGCAGGTTGCAGTCACTGCAATTGGTTCTGGGAGCTCGTTGGGTTAATGGGAAAGAAATGGCCGTCTGCTAAGCCCTGCTCTTCAAGTCCTTTCTCCGGAAATGGGGATCCAGCTCGTGAGCTGTTTTGCATGGTATCTATGCACGTTCATCTGAGGGGTGGGAGCTGGTTTCAGGATACAATTTCAAGGGAAGATGAGAGCTAATGAATTGGCACAGGTGACACTGAACACATCTTGACTTTGATATATGAACAACCAAAACCCAAAACTAAAACTACTTGTATCAAATCCGGTGGGCAGGCTCAAATAACTGTGTGTTTTTACCTGCCATGTTGCATTACCTCATTGTTTCCTTCTAAAGTTCCAAAAATGATTTCCTGAAAAGACAGACCTTAAGGGAAACGTGCCTTGTCAGTTACAATAGAAGCCCCACAGTAAAAGCCAACTGACATTGATTGAGGACTGGCATAATCCAGAAGCCATGTAGCCAAGCGGGGACAATTAAAATGCCTGCACCGCAGGATTGCAGTGGGAGTAAATAAGTTTATATGGGTGAAAGACGTAGAAAAGGCTTGGTACACTGTAAGTGCTCTATGTCCAATAATAGTTAACACTACCATCTTCAGGAGCTTTTGACTTAATCCTTATTAGAATTCAGGCAGAAAACTCATTTTTAAGATGAAGAAACTGAGAGTCAGAGACACCAGACAATGCTCTTCCTGTGACACCATTTTGCTTTTTGACAAGATATGGTGCATTTTAATTAGGCTGAACCATAATGTGTCATGGAAACAGAAGGCCTAAAATACAGTGGTGAGGACCAAAGATATAGTTATTAGTTACTTAACAAGACGTCTAGGGATTGGTCAGCAGCTGATTTATGTCACCAAGGATCCAGGTTGTGTATTTCCATTCTACCTTCCCCAGTGTCTGGCTTTCTGTCCTGTGCTTACTGTCTCATTGTCACAGAATGGCTGCGAAGACTCCATGTATCAATCACATCAATGTTCAAGGCAGGAACAAGGGGGAAAGGGTGGGGCCTGTCACATGTGTCCTTTTGTCAGTAAAGCAAAAGCCTTATCAGAAGCCCCCTAACAGATTTCTCTTATGCCTTTCACCAAAACAGAGTGTCATGGTTTCTGCTAGAAAGCAAAGTTCTGGCTTTCTAGCCTCTGGAGTAGGAGGTGACAAGGGTTAAGGGAGTTGCAGATGGTGCTGGACTAGCCAGACAACAGTGTCTGCTCATGCAGAAATTGGAATATATTTTCCTTGCAGGACCATGGAATAACGGAGGTAACTGGAATCTAATCATGTCCTCTTCTTTTGGGCAGATGCACGTCTATTCTTTAGGAATGACCCTCTACTGGTCGGCAGGGTTTCATGTTCCGCCAAATCAGGTTTGTAAACAAGATACTCCAAGTCTTGCCAGGCTATGTCTTTGGGTTTATTTAGTGGTTTTCTTCTGACCAGGGACCACGTTTACTGAGGACACATACCGCCACTCTCTCCTCCTAGGTCCTAAGCAGGCTTTGCAAACTCATTACACAACTCCTTCCTGCTAGTGCAGAAACAACCTCAGAATCCTACTTAACATAGCACTCCAGGCAGCCATAATTTGGGATTGGCAAGCAAGATTGGCCATCTCTGCTCAGAGGAAGTATTAATAGCAAGCTAGAGAATTTTATAGACACTGAAGATACAGATTTACATGTATTTTAAAAAGGCTTTAAAACAGCCCTTCCCAAAGGGAGATGCTTCTCTGAAAAAGGCTTCTGTGCTCAACAGATTTGGGCAAATGCTCCCTACAATATCTCCCTCTAAAAGACTTTTAGTCATTTATTAAAGACTACAAGGAGGCTTAAAGCTTAGAAACTTTTAAACTTTATCTTGGCGAGGCATGGTGGCTCACACCTGTAGTCCCAGCACTTTGGAAGGCTAAGGTGGGCAGATCACTTGAGCTCAGGAGTTAGAGACCAGCCTGGACAACATGGCAAAACAAAATACAAAAATTAGCTGGGTGTGGTGGTGCACAGTCTGTAGTCCCAGCTACTCGGGAGGCTGAAGCACAAGAATCACTTAAACCCTGGGGATTGGGAGGGGAAGGTTGCAGTGAGTGGAGATCGCACCACTGCACTCCAGCCTGGGCAACAGAGCAAAATTCTGTCTCAAAAAAGAAATATATAAAAATATCCTAACATTTTACACAATTTTCAACTATAGAATATAAGTTTTTGTATACGTTTCCATTTGACACCATAACAATTCCTTAGAGACTGGAGCCGTAAGAACTCATGCTGGAGAGCCCTTCCCAGCTGACCTGGCCAGACTGGCTCCCTCCCTCCTCCTCCCTTCTTCTGCCTTTCTTTCTACTCACCCCTACCTGCTCCAATTCAACATCCAGGTGCTTCCTGGGTGGTCCTTCTAAAACAGAGACTAGCTCACGACCCCCCTAGCATGCAATCTTTCGTAGCACCTCACTCCCTATGGGGTTACCTTCTGGCTTCTCAGTGAGACACACCTGGAGCCTAGGATGGGGTCCCTGCTCCCATCTAGTTCCCCTTTGGCACTCTGCCACAATCAGGTCTGGCTTCCTGGGTGTGTGTCCTGTGTAATAGCGCAGGGTCCTGCATTTAGTTGAATGCTCTGCTATCACTGTCCTGGAATTCTTAATAATTTTGAACAAGGGACCCCGCACCGCCATTTTCCCCCGGGGCACCTGTCCTGCTCGTAACCCCTTTCCATTCATACACGTGCCAGCTCCTCTGCACCTTTGTGCCTTTCCACACACTGCTCCCTCCACCAGCACCTCACCCCCCACTTTTCTCCTGGTTAAGTCCAGTCTAGGCTAAGCCCCTTCCTCTACATTAGTGCCATGGCGCGTGCTTCCCAAGGTCAAAGCCCTTGTCATCCTGTATGGTCTTTGTCTCTTTTAGTGACTGTCTCTCTCATCACACTGTTTTTTTCCTGAAAGCAGGGACTGTATCTGGTGTGGCTGTGCAGCACCAGGAGCAAAAGAGGCCTCTGATTTGCTGTGAAGGTGGGACAGCGGGCTGTACAGAGATAGGTGCCCACAGCTGCTGCTCCCTGGCAAGAAGCGGTAGTGCAGTCTTTATCTGGAAAGTGATTGATGATGTGGGTTGAGCTGGAGGAAAAGTCTGACTTTGAATCTGAATTTGAGACCTTTCTCATATGAATTGTGGTCATTTAAATGCAGGGGGGAAATGCCCATCTTTACTAAAAGTACAAAAATGAGCCAGGCCTGGTGGTGGGTACCTGTAATCCCAGTTACTTGGGAGGCTGAGGCAGGAAATTGCTTGAACCCTGTAGGTGGAGGTTGCAGTGATCCGAGATTGCGCCACTGCACTCCAGCTTGGGTGACAGAGTGAGACTCCATCTCAAAAAAATATATATATGCTTCTGTTTTCTTTTGCCCTGTGGGTACACATGACATAAAGTTCAAGCAACAACGATTGAGCGCTTCTGCTCACTGCTGCCTGTACTGAAGTGAACAGGAATAGGCTACAGTCCGTGTGTTCCTAGAGCTCACATTCCAGGAGAAAGGCCCAGTGAGACCCTCGGAGTAACTGGATACAATGACAAGCTGTGCAGGTGAACTTGAGTGAAAGGCTGACCTCTTGTTTGATTTGGGATGCTTGGCACAGGTGGAAATTCATCTTGTCAAAGCGTCTATTTTTCATGAGCATTCCAAGCACATGCTTGGGCAGAAGGGTGTTCTGGATTAGAAAGCCACAGACGACACACAACTGACACAGGGATGATTGCTCTGCACTTGGCGGCCTCAGTGACAGATCTTGTGTCTGTCCTTAAACTCTCCAAAAGGAGCAGGCATCTGCTCTGGTGCTTGTGGGAACAGCCGTTTCCATGTCCCCGAGGCCCGCCTGACTAGGTGCTGGCCTCGCAGCAGCAGCTCTGGCTGCTCTCCCTTCTCACCTCACCTGTCTGCCTCCAGCCCCTGCAGCTCCGCGAGCCCCTGCACTCCATCCTGCTGACCATGTGCGAAGACCAGCCTCGCAGGCGGTGCACGTTGCAATCGGTTCTGGAAGCTTGTCGGGCTCATGAGAAAGAAGTGTCTGTCTACCCAGCCCCTGCTGGTCTCCACATCAGAAGGCTGGTTGGCTTGGTTCTGGGCACCATTTCTGAGGTCAGTAGAGAACTGTGCTTTTCAACCAATAGCTGCCGGTCATGTGTGGCTATTAAAATTTTAGTTAGCTAAATTATAATTTGCTAACATAAAATAAAACATTAAATTCATCCATCACATCTGTCACATTTCAAGCGCTCAGTTGCCACTTTTAGTGAGTGATGACCCTATTGGAAAGAGTGAATCTAGAACATTCTTGTCATTGCAGTTCTATTGGGCAGTGCTGGCAAAGACCTTTGGGCAAGCCTCAGTTTCTCACATGGCGAAGACACTTGAGATCTTTGCAAGTGCCTCTTTACATAAAGCAATCATGTTGAGAACTCATGATTCAGTTCTCTTATCAAAATTCAACTCTAGGTTCTGTACAGAAGCCTTCCCTGACCTTGTTTGTGTGGTTCCTGGCTGCCCTCCCGACTGCTGTTTTGTACCTGCGGGGGGTCCTTTGCTGTGCTTGTCACGCTGTGCTGCTTGCTGCCCTGTACGCTCCCCAGTGCGCAGCAGGGGGCCTGATGCATAGCAGCCATTTGACTTAGGTTGGATTCTGTCCAAGCAAACCCAGAGACAAGGATTCTTGAGCAAGTTATTTATCGGGGAAATGCTCCTGGGAGAGGGGAGTGATGGTGGCACAGCTGACAAGCTGCAGGATATATTCTCAGCTGGAGACAGCCGCAGCCTGGCACCCTGGAGAGCTCTGGTGCAGGAATGGCACCACGGAGTTGGTCCCTTGTGAGACCAGGGCAGAGCTGGGATAGGGTGGTTAAGTGTGGTGCCTGTAGCACAAAATGCAAGGAAGTTTGTATTTGGGAGGAACCAGACAATAGAGACTAGTTGGGTGGTTGCACTTGTCCAGAGACAAGTTGGAGGGCTGAGACCAGGATTAATGAGGGGCCACATGGATAGAGACAAGGGGACAGCTGGGTGGAACAGTGGCAACAGTCAACCAGAGAAGCCCTCTTCTATCAGAGAAGCCCTCCTCCTTGGATCCCTTCTCTCTTGGCATGGGAGCATGTGGCTCCTATGAATGGAGCCAGAAGACTTGGTGGAAGAAGTGGGCTATATTCGTTTGAAAGATGTTAAAGTCCACCATCCACTGGTGTGCCATTGTCCTGGGCTAGACGCTGTGTTGACCTGCAGCATTTCCATCAGGGACCCGCAAAGTAGATGTCAGTCACTTATTCCATATTCCCTGGGGCACTGGGATAGGTGTGTGACAGCGGTGCATAAAGCACACAGTGATATCGGGGGAGACAGACAAGCAGCACACTCATGGAACGTGGTGTAGTAGAGCCAGGTGTGAGTGCAGTGATATGGGAAGGTGATCAGAGGGCAGACGTAGAGGCAGAAGCAGAGAGGACGCAGCTCTGGGTCTTATGGGCACAGAGGGGCTTCTGGGGAGACCCGAGCCATGGAGGGAATGGATGAGCAAGAGCACAGATGTGTGTGAGTGCGCGGGTCTGCAGTGGAGAGGTGAAGGCCCTTCAGGGTGCATGTGGGGGTGGGTACAGAGCACATTCCGAGTGCTAGAGAACACATCATTAGGTGCTCACCATGTAGGGCAGACAATTCCACACTGACGCAGTCTGACAGCCAGTTTGCATGTGTCTGGAAAATGCCCCCTCCTCATCTTGGGATGTGGATGTGTGATGCACTGGACCCCCAGGTGGAGAAAAGAGTTGTGGAGGAAAGCTCCTGTGTGCAGCAGAACAGAAGCTACCTGCTTAGGAAGAGGCTGTGTGGGACAAGCAGTGAGAGCCCAGTGGCACCGGCCCCGGAGCGTCTGCATCCCTGCAGAGGTGGGTGTGTACCCTGAGCGGTCCCTGCGTGCACCGGTGGTACCCATTGTATTGTTTCCTGCCCTGTGTGGGCCACACATCCACACTGTGACGGCAGAGAAAGCCCATGTAAGCACTCTTTCAGGAAGCCCCTGGAGAGAAGGGGCTGAGCTTAGGACCCACCCGTGTTCCCGGGAAAGGCTCATTTGGGGACACAACTTAACACAGTTATTTATATCAAATGAAAACTTTAAAAATTACTTCTAACTGCAAGCTGAGAAAATCCAAATTAAAACAAACAACAAAAAAGAAAAACAAATTTTTTCAGTTATTATTTTGGTTGTGTAAAAAAAGTGATTTTTGAAATACTCTTCAAACCTTCTATTGTCTACTTTTCAACTAAATCTGAGCTTTTTTAAAAAAAGGTTAATGATATTGTTTGTTGTCTCTAAAACAAGGTGCAGTTTTCCATTAGGCTTTATCTTCTTCCGTTGTAACCCCCTGTAACTGTCATTTCTGGTTTCTACATGAGGAAACAGATTCCGAGAGGTTTAGTAATTTTACCAAGGTCACGCAGCCAGTAAGTCATGATGCCATTCAGGCTCTGGGATGCCTGATTAAAGAAAGCCGTGATCTTGGCTTCTGCCCCTTGCCCTCTACCATGCTGTTCGGTTAGTTTCAGAAGGAAGCACGGAGGCCCAGCACTCTCCAGAACCCCATTGGAGCACCTCACACAGTCACTGCAGCCTCGTCGTTAACCGGTAAGCAGCAGGCCCTGCAGGGTGCTGTAAACTTGATGTGAGACATGGGTGTGGGGGCTACTGTACCCCGTTTCTTCACTGATGATTAACGAGAAGCCTCTTGCTCCTCCAGAAGATGCCAGCCCTATTTCATTAGCAGACAGAGAAGCCACATTTAAGCAGATCTGAAGCCACGGCGATGAGGCGCCTGGTGGCGGCTGTGCTGCCCGGGCGTCCCGCCTCCTCTGGGAGCCATACTCAGGCTGAGTGGCCTGGCAGAGCAGCAGCATGCCTCAACACTGTTGCCATTGTCCTCGCCATACCATGCTGCGTAACAAGCAACCACAAAACATGGTGGCCTAAAGCAACAATGATATAGTTAGCTCATGATTCTGTGAGTTGGTAATTTAGGCTGTGCTCAGCTGGAAGGTCTTCTAGACTCTGCTGAAAACCTTCCTGCATTTGTGACTATCTGCAGCTCAGCTAGACAGTTTCTCCTGGGGGGTGGATGGCCACTGTCTGGGGAGCTCTGGCTCTCCTCCACCAGCAGGTCAGCCTGGGATTGTTCTCAGGACAGTGGCAGAACTGAGGGGAAGGGAGGGAGGGAGAGAAAGAGAGAGAGAGAGAGAGAGAGAGAGAGAGAGAGAGAGAGAGAGAGAGAGAGAGAGAGACAGAGAGAGAGAGAGAGAGAGAGAGAGAGAGAGAGAGAGAGATTCATAAAGCCTCCAGAATTGGCCTTCCACCATTTCTGCATCATTCTGTTGTCCAAATCAAGCCTAAAGGCCAGCCCCATTTCGAGGAGTAGGAAATAGACTCCATCTGTTGATGGCAGGAGGATGCAAAGTTGGATTGCACAGGGTACAGATCAAGGAGAATTGTGGAAATGTTTGCAATTGTCTAACAGGATACTTGAATCAGATCAAAACCTGGATGGGCTCATAGCTTCCTGTACCTGAAGCCTTGTTCGTTTTGAAGTTTGGGTGATTTATTTATTCACATATTGACCTGTTGAGGGATATAACAGTATCTTGTCATAGTTGATGTCAAATCCACAGCTGGAATCCTGATTGGATATTGCACAGTTTATCATGCAATATTTTTTCCTGCCATTTAACACTTTAGTTTCCCAATGAAGACCATTTTTACACCCCGATTCCATAAACAATATATTTGATTGTCAAAATATTTTGAACAATATATCAAATTCTAAAGAAGCCAGAAACCCCTGTGATCCCGTGACCTGCTGGGTGGTTGTTCTAGACCGGGAGTCCTGGCACCTCAAACAGAGAGTTAGCGCCATGGGGTAGAGAAGTTGACTGTGCCTTACGCCTCCAACCCCACCACTCCCCAGTGGCGGTGCAGCCTGACTTCTCCAGGCCTCAGCTTACCCCACCTTAACTCCCCCATGCATCAGTGGGTGCACCCTGCCAAGCTGAGCCCCTGTGTGTGTGGCCTTCATGCAATGGAAGCCCTTCACCCCTTCTCAACCCCTGTCCAGCACTCTTCCAGGGGCAGATCCCCAGCACCAACAGGAGGGCCGGCGGCTCAGCTCCGGATCTGTGTACTCGGCAGCAGACAGCTCATGGCCAACAACTCCTTCTCAAAGGGGTTTTCTGCAAAGAAGGAGCAAGGTGAGCAAAAGAAGACTGAAGGGTACTCCTCATAGAGGCTAGAGCAGGGCACTGCGGGTGGCTGGCACAGAAGCTGAAAATGGACAGGGTCTTCTGGGGGCTGAGGTTTATAGGGTTGGACTAATATAAACCTGAAATTTGCAACTTAGGACATAGGCATTCACTGAGTGGCCTCACTGGGGCAGGATCTGTGGGGGACACTATGTGGGATCCTGTGTTACACCCCACGGGAAATTTGCAGCCACTGGTGCGCAGGGCAGTGGCAGAGTGTGCTACGTGATTCGAGAGCTGACAGACGGAATGTGTTTGGAAGGGGCCTTCCGCACAGGTGAAAGGCAGGAGCACAGAACTGGGGCTGCAGGGAGGGCTTCTTTAGGGAGAGAGAGCTGCCCTTCCAGCTGGGTAACCCTAAGAGGGTAACAGGGTTAGGGGGAGTGTGCCAGCCAACACCGCCCTCCGAGGGCCCTCTCTGGCCTCCATGAACTTGGTGGAGAGCATGAAGAGGGTTTCCGAGAAGACTTGTTCACCTACTTTGGCCTTCTTTCTGATCATTCACCAAATATACTTCTATTGGGAACTGTTGCAGGACACAAGTCACCTCTGGGCTAGAATTTTGGCTTCTTGGGACAAGAGTCCTGCTAGGTACTCTTGGGGGCACTATAGAAGCCCCACCCAACCCTATCACTTGCTGGTTATATGACTCAGGTGAGCTGCTCAACTTTTTTTTTTTTTTTTTTTTTTTTAAGCAGGTGAGGAGCCTCAATTTCCTCACCTGTAAAATGGGTTGAGAATATGCACCCCGTAGGTTGATAACTGGATCTAGCTAATGACGGGTATTGTACTATTTCCTGGGTCAAGTGTAATCTATACAGTGAGAACAAGAGCTGCCCACTAAGCTGTTGATTCAACATCTAGAGCTAGAAAAACATTTCAGCTTATCTAAATCTAAAAGTATTTTTGTTTTAAAAACATTTTTATTGCATATATGTTTACATATACAATATGCTTTATACTTTTGAGACATACAAAAGCTTTAATGCCGCGTGAATTATGCAACTTTTAATTCAACCCGAATACCCCCGTACCCAATTTAAGAGCCAGAAACTTACTGATACCTTATACCTACCTGTAAGACTTCTGTTCCAAGATGCGCAGTTCAGCTGGGGCCTCAGCCCAGGTCAGCCCCATCTCAGCTGAAACCTGTTTCCTGCTGGCTCTGGGGAATGTGTGCTGCTGGGGGCTGAAGAGGTGCGTCGTGGGGGAAGCCCAGACCCAAATCCTGTAACCTGTCCTCTTCTTGACCATATGTGACTGAGGGTTGTCTTCCAGTTTTCCAGGCCGGAGTTTGTCCTGCTGGCTGGAGAGGCCCCCGTGACCCTAAATCTGCCGGGATCAGTTGTGGTAACTCCTGGGCTAGACTGGGTGGGGATGGAGGGTGGACAGGGAAGCGGACAGGTGCAGGAGGCCAATTGTGTCTGAATGGGGTCTCACATGGGGACATCCCAGTGGCATTCAGTTTCTCCCAGACACCTGCCAGAACCACCACTGCCTTTCGCTGCTGCTGTTTGTCCTTCAGCCTGTTAAAGGGTCCCCCTGTGGCTTCCAGCTGAGTCCTCCTAGCCCTCCCAGCCTCGGCTAGGGAATGCTGTGGAACATCTACCATCTGAAACACTGCTGGGCACTATTCTAGGCCCCCATCTATGCCGCGAATGCAACAAAGTCCTTTTCGTGTGGAGATGACATTCTAGAAGGAGGAGGCAAAGACAGACACATAAATATAAACGAATGCCAGGTAGTGATCCGTGCAAAAAAAAAACAAACAAAGAAGGGAAGAGGATGGAGCTGGAGCGTGGCAGGTGGTGAGAGGGAGAGTGTGCTCTTTTAGATGGGAAAGCAGCTCTGGGAAAGCATCTTATGAGCAGAGATGGGTTTAAGAGAAGGAGTGAGCCATGTGGGCTTTTCAGGAAGGGCAAATGCTGCATAGCTGTCCCTTCCCTGCCCCAGAGCCTAGCATATCCCCTGAAGAGCTCTATGCGTGGCTAGTCTCACCCTGAGCTCCCCAGGATGTATCTGTCTGTGTTCAGGCCCATATCTCTGCTGTGCAGGGCCCAGCTAGGGCTGGATGCTTAGTCGATGTTGAGTATTTGCACGTGAGCCTTGCCCATCTCTCCGACCCCTGGGGCCAGAAGCGCACACACTGTCAGCTTGGCTCTCTGGGCCTCCTGGAGGCAGGGCTGGAGTGGGGCGTGGCTAAATGGCTCTCTCCTCCCAGGTTCCTACATCACCCACTGCATGTCCTTCCTGCACAGAAGAGCACCAGTGAGCCCACCTCTGGCTCATTCCAGCAAAATCCCATTGAATCTCAGCTTCTATGCACCCCCTTGTCAAGGGAACTTCTGTTGCAGTGCACTGACATCGTTTCCTCCACACCCAAGTCCTGAAAATGTCTAAGCAAACTGGTCAGTGCGGGTGGGATGCCTGCCTGACCAGGGCCTCCGATTCCTATGCATGACCAACTGCATCAATTCATGCAGTAAATGCTGACTGGGCACCCACTGTGTGCCTGGTCCACCTGCACTGGCACAAAAAGCATGAAGTGGGATGATGATTTTTTTTATACCCCAAGTATGCAAGATTACCCAAAGCATGAAAATGTTGAATGTAAGGAGGCTGGTGTGTGAGAGATTGGGGGTGTCAGGGTGGCTCACTCAGGGGGATCTACAACCTTCTGAGGACACTTCCTATACCAGGCTTGCAGGTCAGAGGGCCATGGCCCCCTCAGGCCAGTCCCACCTCTGCCCATCCCCTTCAAGCCACCTGCCCTCAGCTGACAATTCACCCAGAAACCCCTTTCTGACATCCCTGCTGGTCACATGGCTTAGGTGACTGTAGAATCCTCTACCCACCAGGTGGATGGGCCAGACCTGCTGTGATGGGGGCCAGCTTCCCCTGCTCTGCAGGAAGTACCAAGACTCCAGGCGATGGGAACGGTGCTGTTGTCCCAGTTCTGTCCGGGGTGGGCATCTTGACCTGCACACCAGGTCTAGGAGCCTATTTGTAATCCTCAGAGTGGCTCTTGAACCCTAGCCTCTAGGAAGATGCCAGAGGGTGGGAGGGTGACCGAGGGCTCCCCCAGTAAAAGACTTTTTGGACATCTGTCCCTCACCTGGGAAAGGGGAGGCTCCATGTCCAGGGTTTCCTGTGTCACTCTGTTTGTCTGGCTTGGGCTGGAGCATTTGCCCTTGTTTTAGCTCCTCCCATCCTGTCCCCAGGGCCCTCAGTCAGTGTAGCTCCCTATCTCTCCCTCCTAGTGGAGTTCTTTGTACACACACCCTTTCCTTCTGCTTCCCTGTGGGTGTTGGGAACAAAGCAGATTTCCCTTACAGCATGGCTGTCCCGTGGGAAATGCTGGCAAATAGCCTCACTGCAGTGTGAAGAGGCAGCACCCTCTGTTCAAAAGCGCCACCACAGGGAACTAAAATATTAAACATTTTCCTTTATTCTCCATATGTGCTTTCTCTGTCTCAACATGTCATGGTGTTTTTAGTTTCTATTTGCTCTTTAGTGTCACATTCTCTTGGGCATAGGGATATTCACAGGGTAGACAGAGATACCCTTTGCAGGTACCTGGGTCCCTGCCCCGTGACTTTGCCACACCAGCTGCTGGATCCATACTCCATGTCCCAAGCAGGGTGGAAAAGCCCAAGCTTCCTTCCCATGACTCTGCTGCCCTAGCCCAGACAATCGGTGGTCCCCCGAGGAGTTACACGCTTTGTATGGGATGCATTTGGTACCTGGCTTAGGAGCTGGGTGGGTGAGAGTCTTGTCCCTGCTGAATTGCCCAGGGAAAGAGCTTTGGTGCTGCTGGCCCAGGGTGGGGACAGCCACTGTCATGGGTGCTCTGACATGCCTTTTGTGCACGTGCCTGCCTGGGACCCTTCCTCCACCAGCCCCCTGAGGAGGGCGTCACCAGGGGGCAGTGAGAGCCATGGTTGCCCTCAGTGGAGGACAGCAGAGGTCTCTGTGTGGGGCGGACAAAGGGGCAGGGGAGGCTGGGCCAGGCCTGGGGATTCAGAGAGCAAAGAAGTTGGCAGCCAGAACCCCCCAGGGAGGAGGGGAGGCAGGACTGCTGAGAGTCCAAGCTTTGTACACACGCTCATTGTCCTGGGGACTTCACTCCGAAAATACATATTCCAAGACACAACTATTAAGAGTCCCCAGAGGGCAGCTTCAGAGCACTGGACTCAAGCAGGGGGTCATACTGGGCGGCCCTCTCAGGAAGCAGCTGGGATTTCTGCAGGGGAAAGAAATGGGTCATACCTGCTTCCCAGCTTTCCCTGCCCTCAAAGAGTCACCTTGGGAAGCTTTTTACAAGATACTGATTTCCCAGGCCTTGTGCCAGACTGATGGAACCATCTTGGGGGTGGCCCCCTCACTTCTCAGATGACTCAGGTGTGCAGCAAGTGTGGGAACCAAGGTGGCATGGAGCGTGCCTGTGTAATCAGCCCTGCCAAGCAGCATGTGGGAAACCCCCTCTCACAGGGCCCTTGGGTCTGCTCTGACCCCTGCAGTGTGTAGGCTGCCCCTGGATGCCAGGAAGGTCAGGGTGTGACCGCAGGCATGGTCTCGATGGCACTAACGCCACACATGCTGGCGTCTGTCCATGACTGCCTTCTAAAGAGAGCTTCTCAGGGGAGGTCCAGGCTCACTTTGGGATATGGGGATACTAAGAAAGAGTCACAGACAAAGCCTCCAGAGCCTGACCTGAGAGAACCATAGGAGTTTGCCACGTCGGGAAGGAGCAAAAGAGCCCTAGGGGCAGTGGGTATTGTATGTGCAAAGACACAGGCAGAATGGCTCAGGCAGCTGCAGGGTGACGAACTGTCCAGGGGGCTGAGCCAGGGTGATGGTGACCTGGGTGGGGCTATGGTGGGAGATGAAGAGGCAGAAGGCAGACTCTGGAGGCTCATTGGCTCTACTGACCCATTTCTAGAGTCTAGATAATCCCCTTGCTCCAGCTCTGTCTCTTCATTGGATCTATCTACACCCACCCAAATTCGCTCCGAAGTTTAGAATTAATTAACCTGTGCTCTGTTGGAGCCTGAGAAGACAGTATCAGATTGACAGATTGATCCAGAGCCATATGATTCATTCATGAGGGCCCTGGGTGGTCCTCTTAGGAAGCAGAGCCCAAGGGGCAGCTGGGATTTCTATAGGGGAAAGATACCAGTCAGATGGGCCTCCCAACCTGCCTGGTCCCTGCTGAGCCCGGTAGAAGGCTCAGATTTGAGTCCATTTCCTGCCTTACACACTGTGCAACCCCTGGGAAAGAGTCTTACCATTTCTGAGCCTCAGTTTCTCACCGGTTACATAGGAATTTTAAATGTACTCATCTCTTAGAGTTGTTCATCAATTAAATGAGACAGTGTGTATACAGTGCTTAGTACAGTAACTAGCACACACTAAAAGCTGAATGACTTATAATTATAGTATAATTGATAGTATTGTTGTTTTCAGACCAAAAAAGGGAAATCCTATTTGGCTCTCAGGGACCTCTGTGTGGTCCTGCTGAACGGGCAGCGCCTGGAGGTAAAATGTGATGTCGAGTCAACAGTGGGAGCTGTCTTCAATGCTGTGACGTCCTTTGCCAACCTCGAGGAACTCACCTACTTTGGCTTGGCTTATATGAAAGGTAAGCATCTCTTGGGCAGCTCACAGCTGGCCTGGTGCCTCTAGTAACTCGAGTGTCTGGATACCTGAGCTCTGTTTCTTCTGGGAAAACTGAGAGTTGGGTGCCTCCCTTTGTACACAGAGACCTCATGGTCCTTCCTATGAGGACCATGCTTAGTTAGCAGGACAAGAGCTTCAAGTACTCATGGATAAAGCATCAAGCAAGTGCAGAAGATTATCAGGAAATAATCAATTCAGGATGTGGGTTTCTGTGGCTTGCTGAATCTGGTTGATCGATCTCAGCGCACTGAAGTTAGACAAACAAGCAAATGTTAAAAGCATTTCCATCTAAAGATGCAGGACTAATGGGGACTCCATACCCTGACCCCAGGAGCCTAATTAAGATTCTAATCTAAATATCCAAGAAAAATATCTCTTCTCTCTCTGACATTCCATTAGAGACTTGCTATTTCTGCTGTCAACCTAAAGCAGCAGAGAGAGACAGGCTCTCCAAAGAATGAGTTTATTTGGGAATTAGCAGTAGATTGCAACCTACGATCCACATGCTGTAGTGAACTATAGATGCATCTGAGGAGGCTGGACAAGGGCAAGCCTTTATAGAAAAAAGAGAGAAGTACATGTGAGTTGTTTTGAAACAAAAAGATGATTGGTTCCAAGGGCTTCTTGCAAGAGTTAACGTTAGTTCACTAGTGGAAGCAGTGTTAGGCAAGTGTTCTGTGTGAATGGCTAGCTGTCCTTGTGTGGCTAGCTGTTCTTGTGTTGCTGGCTGTCCTTGTGTGACTCATGTCGCAAGCTGTGATTTGGAAAAAAACTGCTATGGTATTTTTCAATACAGGCATGGCACATGAATGACCCTCTCTCACAGCTCCGAGCTCCATTTTAGCAGGGTTAAATATAAGTGACTTATTTTGGTATTGATAATGTATTTTCCCTTTCGATCACATTATTGCTCTGAAAGTGTATCTACTGGATCATCCTGTGGTTATGTTTCGATTGTTCCTCAGTGCTGGATGGATTTGTCCTCATTGTTCTAGTCTCATGTTGAAGGGAAATGACCAGCAAGTGGGAGCTGATGTCAAAACCTCCTTTTATTTAAGCAACACGGAGGTTTGGAAGGCGTGGCTCTGAGGCTAAGTCTGTCTGGAGTTCATTGTTCTGTTTCATAGGTGTTGGTTGCCATTTTGAAGCACTAGACCAGCACTGGGCATTTTGATGAACTCTGTGTAGCCCACACATCAGGCAGGAGACTTGCTCCTAGAATTTTCCATTGAGTTGTCCAGCTTCAGTTTATAGGGCTTTAAGAACAGAGCGGTTCTTGTTCTTAGTTGAAGAGCCGTAGCCAGATACTGGAGGAAACAAGAAGAATTCAGAGTCCAGTTGAGTCTTTAGGGAGACTAGAAACACACAAAAGCGATGAACAGGGCTATAGTCAAATAACAGGTGGAATACAGCTTTCACCTTCCTTCAGAAGCATCATTTCTGTTCCAAAGTTATCCTCGTTTTTGCTAAAGATAATCAAAGTAAGACAAATTTGTTTGCTAAGGAAGTTTAGCCTCATCGAGTTTGGCCTGGTTCTTTGCATTAGTGCCTCAAGAATTGTGATGGACAATGTAGGCCCCTTGGAAACTTGTTCTGCTAGAACTTTGATAAGAATCTCAGCCTGGAGATTTAAAGTCTCTCAAGGCTAGGAGGCCAAATCAAGACAAATCTCAGCTTGGCTGAAGTAACTTTATGTGCATTTTCAAATATGACATCCAAGTCAAAGCCTTAGTCATATAACCAATTTTAAATATTGTATCCTGTTATAAAGAGAATATATTTTTGTTGAACTTACATAAATAACTATATTATCATAAAAATAAGAATACTTACGGATAGTTTTAGAATTCTGGTTGGATCAGGTAGGGAGGAAAAGCAAATATTTTAATTTTGTTTACAAGGGTATACTTTATTATATTGTTGTAAACTGTAGGTAACATACAAGGAAAAAGTTTCCTTAAATCTAGAAAACAAAACATTTAAAGAACCAGTGAAATTTCTAGTAAAAATTATAAAAACCCATTAGTCTTTTTCATCAGTTCATTCAGCTGCATGTCATTAATTTTTGTTCTGGTTGATCTTGGTGAGCAGTTTCACAAACTCAGTTTCTTCATTAGCATCTTGGACATTTTTCCTTAGTCTGATGGTTTGATCTTGAAGTTATCAGACACCTGCAACTTGTCAGAATTCTTTCCATCCTTTCTTTAAACCTCCTGGAAGAAAAAGCAATTTTTGAACTGTAAATAATTGCAAATGCTTTTTTTAGAAAAGAATCAAAACCATAGCATTGCATGGATGACAAAGACTTAGAATGGCCATGGTTAAAAATCTGAGGGGAGTTTATTATAACCAGCAATTGACAAAGAAAATTTGGTTATTTCTATGGCATATATCATTTTAACATAATAACCAAATGTTATTCTAAGAAATGTCAGAGTTCTAACAATTTTGTACAATTTTAGGAACATTTATATCAAAACTCTATTTGTAAATATAACTTAAAGATTTATTCCCACTTATTATTGGACCATGCTTCCTATGCATTTTAACGTACTGAGTAAACCTGACTAGTTTAATCTCTCTTTCATAAGGTAAGGGACACATCCTTTGTTGCTTTCAAGGATGCAGCTGGAAAATTCCAAAGTAAATTCAAGGTCAGAAAGACTTAATTTAGAATTTGATTTTGGGACATTGTCAAAACTGTCAAAAGGCTTAAAACCCGTGATCAAAACAGAATCACAGGTCACTGTGAAATAATGTCATTCATTTAACCAGAGTGATAATTAGAAGTCTTCAAGAGGCAAATATATAACAGTCAACACTTAGCTCTTTTAATATTGAGAAGACTCATTTTTTTAAAGTAATCAAAGACCTAATAAAACACAGCACAGAGCACAATAAACTATTTTTGATAAAACACAAAATCTTTGTTTTCTTGGCCAAGGAAAAAAAATTTTTTTTTTTTTTTTTTTTTTTTTTTGAGACAGAGTTTCGCTCTTGTTACCCAGGCTGGAGTGCAATGGCGCGATCTCGGCTCACTGCAACCTCCGCCTGCTGGGTTCTGGCAATTCTCCTGCCTCAGCCACCTGAGTAGCTGGGATTACAGGCATGCGCCACTATGCCCAGCTAATTTTTTGTATTTTTAGTAGAGACGGGGTTTCACCATGTTGACCAGGATGGTCTCGATCTCCTGACCTTGTGATCCACCCGCCTCGGCCTCCCAAAGTGCTGGGATTACAGGCGTGAGCCACCGCGCCTGGCCAAAAAATTTTATATTCGTATTAAAAGCAGAGGCTAATACTCCATTATAATTTTATTATATTAACAGAAAAGACAAAATCATGGTTTTGCACAAGTATACTTTTGATATTAAGGCTTAAGTTTTAGAAAAACATAAACAATTTTCTTCTAATTTTAATTATCTTGAGCACATAAAAATTCCTTTTATAAGATTTATCTTTCATAAAACTTTTGCAATTTTCTCAAACCATTTATAATGCTCTTATTCAGTTTTATTGATAACACTTTTTTCCTTATTCATTTTAAAACAATCCTTGACTAACCCTCAACTAGACAAGATTACTTTTTTTAAACAATAGATAAAAATACATTATCATGTCTTCCTTATAACTTTTCTCACCCAAACATATCTTACTTTTTTTATACACTTTGTATACAGAATTACACATAGTAACTGGAATTTAAAAACTCTTGGTAATTTTAATTTCTAGTGAAAACCAGAAAACTAGAATGTAAGCAATCATAAACTGCCTTTTACGAATTTGTGAAAACATTATTTTATAACATCTAGACATACATACTTCCTTATAGCACATTTTTTCAGTGAAGCACAGAGAATTTTAATTAAGAGACCCAAATATCTTTTGTTCCTCTGCAATGAGGAGCCAAAAGTACATAAGCTTAAACTTATGTTCAACAACTAATGTTTCAGCATTATATCTTATTTGGAAATGGTCTATTAAATGAATATTCATTATTTCATTTAACTTACCATAACTTCAAGGTTTTAAGTAACCAAAAAGATTTTGTAAATCATTTTGATAGGCATATCTTATAAAACATAATCATTGTTGAAAAGCTTACTTATAATCTATTTCATTTACATTTACATTTATTAATTCACTTGGTTTTAACAATCCTGTTGAAATTGTTTATGAAAACACCATTAGACATTAAACAAATGTAGTCATTATCTTAAGTTATTTTTATTGTTAGTAAATCAGGCAAGTAATTTAAAAAGCCACAGAAGCAAAGAACCTAAAAGTTAAAACACATGGGTTTTTTTTTTTTTTTTTTGAGACGGAGTTTCACTCTTGTTACCCAGGCTGGAGTGCAATGGCGTGATCTCGGCTCACTGCAACCTTCGCCTCCTGGGTTCAGGCAATTCTCCTGCCTCAGCCTCCTGAGTAGCTGGGATTACAGGCACGTGCCACCATGCCCAGCCAATTTTTTGTATTTTTAGTAGAGACGGGGTTTCACCCTGTTGACCAGGATGGTCTCGATCTCTTGACCTCGTGATCCACACACCTCGGCCTCCCAAAGTGCTGGGATTACAGGCTTGAGCCACCACGCCCTGCCCTGGGTTTTTTTTTTTTTTTTTTTTTTTTTTTTTTTTTTTTTTAACTCGCTTTTTTCATTGTCACATTTGTCACACATCTAGCAATTTATTTTTGCTGGATGTTTTATTCTTGGGTTACATTTATAATTTTACCATCTTAAACATACATAAGCTTTTGCTTAATACATACAGATAGAAGAAGTTGTATGTTTGTATTACATTTAATGTTGACAAGGCTCCACACGTACCTATTTTAAATAAACCAGCTAGCTCAAACAAGCTATATTTACTAAAAATTATACCAGATCATCTGAACTTGAAAAATATTTAGGTTAGTTCTAGTTTTCTGAGAAAACAGTTAATTTATAAATGCTTATTTTCTGTTTTCAAGCCAGATCTTCTCACAGGTACTGATAGGACAGTTATTTAGGATGAGAGCTCTCTAAAAAGTACTTTTAGATACAAAAGTAAAAAGAAGAAAAGTCCAAATACCTAAAGGCATATCCACTGAAATTGTGACTCAAACCAATAACCTTTTTATGGCTTAAACATGGATGCCACAAAGATAGTGTGAAAAATGCAGTATCACTCGAGATCCAACATTTCTCCTAAAGATAAAAAACAAAGAACTTCATTGTTAACAAGGTAATGGAGGTTGAAACAATTGAGACAAATTTGCCTGGGAGCTGGCACTCTGGGGCCAGGAGATGCTTCGTGTTTCAGACTCCTAGCCACCTGGCTAGCCATCTGATGCAAGCCTGACAATCTGCACCACAGGCTGGTGTAGACCAGAGAAGATACCCTCACTGGTATCTCTTGAGACGTAAAAAGATGAAAGGAGAGAGTCTTATTGTAACTTTTATCCTTGTGGTAAATCACAGAAGGCAGAGATGAAAAAAAAAAAAAAGAGCTATTTCCGTTAGAACCTAGAACCAAATTCACAAGAGTCACAATTCAGAGAACATCCTAACAAATGTTTTTCTCCTGCCAATTCAAATTTAGAAAAGAAGGGACAAGAACAGAATTTTACCTTCTTCCTTTAGCCAGTCACTCCACATAGATATTTGGGAGAGCTTGCGTTGGAAAGAATCCCCACTTTTCTCTGGCTTTTGTCAGACCTGTCTGCATCTCATCCAGATGTTCTGGAGTGAGTGGGGTGTCCAGCCTGTCAGGGTCTCATCCTCATTGCAATAAACTGTAAGGGTGGAAAACTTCCACTTCTATCCTCTATTCTCACAGGCTCCAGCTGTGTCTGAGAAGTAAACTAACATAAGAAAGATCAACAGGAGAAAAGCATAATAAATGTTTTATGTGGCATGGGAGCCCCCTTAAGAAGATGGAGACCCCAACAAATTAGTTACTGGGTTGGACAAAGAACAGTTAATTGTGAAAATGGGACTAAATTGTAAGGAGGCTTAAAAGATCAGAGTTATTCCAACAAGGTCTATACAGTATTCTCTGTCTCAACTTCTTGTCCTTCAAGATAAGGATGTTGCCTTTCCTTCTAGGAGAGGGAGAATGACTATCACATTGGAATTTCATCTTTAAGAAATAAATGGCTGGGCACGGTGGCTCACGCCTGTAATCCCAGCACTTTGGGAGGCTGAGGCAGGCGGATCATGAGGTCAGGAGATCAAGACCATCCTGGGTAACACCGTGGAACTTCATCTTTACTAAAAATACACAACATTAGCTTGGCATGGGGGCGCGCACCTTAGTCCCAGCTACTTGTGAGGCTGAGGCAGGAGAATCTCTTGAACCCAGGAGGCAGAGGTCGCAGTGAACCGAGATTATGCCACTGTACTCCAACTTGGGCAACAGAGTTAGACTTCATTCAAAAAAAAAAAAAAGAAAGAAAGAAATAACACAAAGGGCAAAGTGGCCAATTTGCACCTGCTCCCCTTAAAAGTGCACTTAAAATTGCCTGTAACTGAAACAACTGATAGGCCCAAATGGTATATTTTAACATCTTTATTCCACCCATCTCGCACTTCCCTAGAATACTCACATATTAAAAGCTGAGTTGGTGGCCATGGAGAGAACAGTTGGATTAGAAGCTGAGCAGTTTGGAAAAAAGAGGAGTTCAGCTAGAGGAAGAGGAATCGCAGGTAGGGAAGGGAAGTTTCTGGAGCGAAATGAGTCTCAACTAGCTTTGCGATAATTTGCACTAAGGTGTTTTTGAGTCCTGAATGTGTTTTGAAGCCTCAATATGCCAATTGAATTATGTGTCCCATTCAAACTGACCTTATAACTGCAGTCTTCTAATTTTAATTCTAAGGAAAAAAACAAGCTTGGGCAGTTCAAACGATCTCCAGATGGCCATTGGAGCTCTAAATTATCTTTTGTACAATTTGCCCATAAGTTTAAAAATTCATGGGGTGAATTATGTTTGAAAAGTCTCTGTGATGCCAATTTAAATTCTGTGCACAACCAACCAACACCGAAAGAGTACTCATGAGAAAGGATGCCAAATCCCCTACAGAAGTGAAACCGAGAGTACTCAGAAGAAAGACCATGTCCTTCTGACCTGTAAAACCAGCTCTCAAATCAAGTCAAAGCTCAGCCAACACAAGGGTGCTCGAATCCAAGACAGAACTTAGCACTACCAGAAAGATGATTTCTGGAAGCAGAGAGCACAATGGGCTCCAGCGGGTCCGGCACACGGTCCTGCGGTCACTGACACAGGAAAAGGCTTGTCCTTTTTGGATCCCTCGTCTCTGCCACCAAGTTTTGCTAACCTAAAATAGCAACAAAGAGAGAGAGGGTTTCCAAACAAAGAGTTTATTCAGGAATTAGCAGGAGATTTCCGTGCAGGATAGGCAAGATCTAGAGGTCTACAGGCTCATCCCAGGAGGCTGGGGGAAGGGGAAGCTTTTAAAGACAAAAGAGAGAAGTACATGCGAATTGTTTTGAAACAAAAAGATGATTGGTTCCAGGGGCTTATTGCAGGAGCTGACATCAGTTCATTAGTGGAGACGGGGCATCAGGCAAGTGTTCTCATGTGAGTGGCCAGCTGTCCTTGCGTGACTAGGTGTCCTTAGGCTGCTGGCTATCCTTGTGTGACTCATGTAGCAAGCCGCAGTATGGAAAACATTTCCTGTGGATTTTTCAGTTATAGGCATATGCATGAGTGTCCCTCCCTCATGGCCTTTTGGCTGCACTTTATTAGGGTTAGACATAAGTGACCTCATTTTGGTATTGATAACTTTCACACCAATACTGCAAATATTACTTCGCCACAGCTAGATCTCTTTAACCACCATGTGGAGGCTGCACTGGGATCACGCTGGCCTTCTGGCAAAATCCTGTCTCTCCCAGCCCATCTGGCTTAGGTATCATATCTCAGCGTTCTTCTATTTTCCCATTTCCAGTAGGAGGACTTCCAGTAGGAGAAGCTCACGAACTCGTATGTTTATTCTATGTATGAAGCGGGGCTGGTGAGCGTGTTCTTATCTCCATAGTTCTCATCAGTCTTCCTAAGGATCCCTCTCCCAAATAAGAAGAACAACTGTTGTATGCTTTGATGTGATCAACTGATATTTGTTCAACCTTTTATAAGGTGTGAATAAAGGTGTCTTTAGGAATTGTATTGTTATTGATCTATAAAATGCGATCTAAATGAAACCAGTGTGCTTGGTTTGTGAGCGCACCTGTACTCACAATCCTCTTATCTCCTACTCGGCTCCTCCCAGTCAGGTGGCCATCCTGAGCCCCTCCCACTGTAGACAATTCTACACAGTATTTTCTCCTCTCAGTGCTGAGTTTTTCTTACTTGACCCTCTCCTCTTTGCTCCTTCTTGGCCCCTCGCAAACCCAACAAAGTTTCCTCGGTACCAGGTGCGCGGAGACTTGCCTCACACTCTCTCCTGCACTCACCCTGCTCTGTGTGACCTTCTGAGTAGGGCTCAGGGCTGTGAGTCTGAGGGATGGTGCATTCCTTACTGCTTCTCCCCCGCTACACGTGCTCTATTTCCATTTCAGGCAAAGAGTTCTTTTTCCTGGACAATGAAACCAGATTGTGCAAAATAGCACCTGAAGGCTGGAGAGAGCAGCCTCAGAAGACCTCCACGAATACCTTCGTACTCTTCCTGAGGATAAAGTTCTTTGTCAGCCACTATGGGCTGCTCCAGTGAGTGCTGCAAACCTGTGCATTTGTTCCTTAAGGGATTTATGCATGTCTAGGCTGACAGAGGTAATGGATCGACAAGTGCTTTGCAAACTGTAAATTACATACAAATAGCAATAGCTATTGTGGTTGGTTTTCTGTTGATTGGATTCTGATCAAGATAGAACAAAGGGGGAAAATCAGTTTTTGGATGCAGCTCCTGGTCAAAATGAGAACATCCCCTTTTGTTTTAGAAATACTCCACTCAACGCCAAAATTCTCGCTCTGTGACCCCAAAATGCTCCCTCATCCCCAACACACAACTCAGCAGTCCAGTTATGAGGTTTGGAGGACAGAGACAGGGGTTTGCAGTTTGACCACTGCTTCTTTATTTCATTTGAAACACCGCCAGACTGATTGTTAGCTTTCTAATTTGAACCAGAGCAAGACATACCTCTGTAAGTTTGTGTGAAGTGACTGGCATAAAGTGGCCTTGAACTAGAAGACATGGTGTAGATGGGGGAGACCACACTTGCCTGGCTGGCATTGCCTCTGAATTCTGCTGGATTGCATCTCGTCTTCCCTACTTTCCCAACTTCCCACACTGCGAAAACCCACTGCTGCTAGTGTTCTCTCTTTCCCTTAGCAATCCAGTTCTCTCTATTCCTCCTACTTTTCCAGGCATAGCCTGACAAGGCACCAGTTTTACCTGCAGCTTCGGAAAGACGTCCTGGAGGAGAGGCTGTATTGCAATGAAGAGATGCTGCTGCAGCTGGGGGTCCTTGCCTTGCAGGCTGAATTTGGCAATTACCCTAAGGAGGTAGGGGTAAACACCTGGGACCTTCGGGTGGGGTCACTGGAAAAACAGTTACAGATTGAGGGCATGTGTTAGTAATGTGGAGACTCTGCTTTGAGTATTGTTAGCATTTACCAGTTAGATCAGAGTATACACACACACACACACACACACACATATATATACACACACAGATAGATATATGTATGTGTGTGTGTGTATATATGTATATCTCACAATTTGATTATCCACTTACTGATTGACCAGCTGTTGGGCTTGTTCTATATTTTTGCAACTGGGAATTGTGCTGCTGTAAACATGCATGTGCAAGAGTCTTTTCTCGTATAATGACTTCTTTTCCTCTGGGTAGACACCCAGTAGTGGGATTGCTGGGACAAATGGTAGTTCTACCTTTAGTTCTTTAAGAAATCTCCATATTGATTTCCACAGTGGATGTATTTGTTTATATTCCCAACAGCAGTGTAAAACTGTTCCCTTTTCACCACATCCATGCCAACTCTATTATTTTCTGATTTTTTAAATTTAGCCATTCTTGCAGGAGTGAGGTGGTATCACATTGAGGTTTTGATTTGCATTTCCTTGATCTTTAGAGATGTGTAGCATTTTTTCATATGTTTTTTGACTATTTGTATGTCTTCTTTTGAGAATTATCTATTCATATCCTTACTCTAATTTTTGATGAAATTGCTTTTTCTTGCTGATTTGTTTGAGTTCTTTACAGATTCTGGATGTTCGTCCTTTGTTGGATGTATAGATTGCGAAGGTTTTCTCCCATTCTGTGGGTGGTGTGTGATTCTACTGATTGTTTCTTTTGCTGTGCAGAAGCTTTTTAGTTTAATTTAGACCCAACTATTTATCTTTGTATTTGTTGCATTTGCTTTTGGGTTCTTGGTCATAAAGTCTTTGCCTAAGCTAGTATCTGGAAGGGTTTTTCTGATGTTCTCTTCTTTAATTTTTATGGTTTCGGGTTTTAGACTTGTCTTTGATCCATCTTGAGTCGGTTTTGTATAAGGTGAGAGATGAGGATGCAGTTTCATTCTTCTTCATTTGGCTAGTCAGTTATCCCAGAACCATTTGTTGAATAGGGTGTCCCTTCCCCACTTTACGTTTTTGTTTGCTTTGTCAAAGATCAATTGACTGTAAGTATTTGGCTTCATTTCTGGGTTCTTTATTTTGTTCCATTGGCCTATATGCCTATTTTTATAGCAGTACCATGCTGTTCTGGTGACTATGGCCTTATAGTATAGTTTGAAGTTGGGTAATGTGATGTCTCCAGATTTGTTCTTTTTGCTTAGTCTTTCTTTGCATAGTAATAGCCAACCTTTATTAAAAGATTACTATGTACCTGGCATTTACCCAGACATTTTTTGTTAACTCATTTAGCTCTTACAGCAACATTGCAAGTTGGTGTGATAATATCACAGAGTTGATTTGATCACTCAATTTTCTAGAAGAGTGATCTGAAGTTCATGTGGATACTACATTGTAAAGTCTAAATTTAAGCCCAGATGTATTACTCCAAGGCCAATGCTGATTCTTCTGGGAAACACTCTTCCCAAATGGCAATTCTAATATTGCTGGCCAAGCCCTTGCCCCTGCAGCGGAATCATATGTAAGTTTCTTTGATTTAACTGCCTATGATAGTCCTCTAGAGTGTTAATAGAGTTAACTGGTTATTTAATTTTCAGATGCCTATTACTGGGGAAAGATTATGCTAACATATTTACCTACCTAATTAGGATTTTAAATGGGGACACAGGCAGGAAGGAGAAACCAACCACTTGAGCTGTTACGGAGAGCAGTGTAATTTTGCTTTCGGGGTTTAGGAAGCCCTTCCCCCATCCCTGCCCATGTTCTGGATGAAGGGAAAGTCTTGGGAACAGACCTCAACAGAGACTGAGAAGTGTGACCCAGCAGTGTGATGTGACATCTGAATATGAAGTCCATCTCTGGATTATCTTGGAGAGCATTCACCACTGTCACGTGACAAAAGCTGGGTGTCACTGCGAAATGCTTAGCTTGGAGAAAAGACGGTCTTCTTCAAGAGGCCTGATTGAAGGAGGAATACACAGCCAACAAAAAAAAAGAAAGAAAGAAAAAAAAAAGAAACCAAATGTTTACGCTCTCCCCTGTCCTGCCCCAGAAATCTTCAAAAGGACCTTTAAATCTTTGAGATCCTAAGAATTGGTATGTCTTTGGGCCTTTGGATGTTCTTTCCCATAATGTCTGCACATCCGTCTCAATCTTACATACCTTTCAAGGCCAGCCACAACCCCCTAGCTTTCCTGGCCTCACAAGTGGATGGAAACCCTCCTGTACCCTTTGGGTTCTTTTTAGCATCCTCCCATACCCTTGGCCAGCACAGGTGACTAGACAGCATTCTGTCGATTACAAGTGATAGAAAATCAAGCTCAGGCTGACTTGAATAAAACATGTCATTTATTGGCTTGCAAAACTGAAGGGTTCTGATTCTTTCTCAGCCTCCCTGCATCCCCGTGACAAGCCTCCAGCCCAATGACTCATACCTTGGAGCTTGAGTGATAGGAACTCACATGATGTCAGCAGGACTTGGGCTTCTGTGTCTCTGAGTTGTGCTCTCTTCTGTCAGATTTGCCTTTCATGGCTCTCCAATTCCACCCTCCAGAGTCTAGCCCTGCACAAGAGAGAGAGTCCCCTCCTTGGAAATGCCATGGAAATCCTGGGTTTCTGTTCCATTGGTGCTGATAGGGTCATGTGCCCACCTGAAGCCAATCACTGTGCAGGGAGATGTCATGCTTTGATTGGTTAGACTTGAGTCTAACCTGATAGTCACCCTGGGAGGCAGGGATGGAGCTCACACTGCAAAGTGCATAGATTGAGAGGGAGGAGAGATAGTTTCCCATTTCCAAAAAGAAGACAAATAGTCCCATGTGCCCACAAATACAGGTCCACCGCCATTGGGCACTTACTAGTCAGAGATGCTACATTGTTGGTGAACAGAGGAGCCATGTTTACCTAAAGTTCTAGTTTGCTACATCATTGGGGTCTGGTCTTGTGTTTCGTGCTGAGTCTTGAGCCCACAAATTCATATGTAGAACCCCTAATTGCCAAGTACTTTAAAAGGTGACTGTATTTGGAGTTAGGGCCTTTAAAAAGGTGATTAATTTGAGATGAGGCTGTTAGGGTAGGCCCTAATCCAATCTGACTGGTGTCCTTACAAAAAGAGGAAATTTGGACACACAAAGAAACACCAGGGAGGCATAAATACAGGGGAAAGGCCATGTGAGGACACAGGGAGAAGGGGGCTGTCTGCAAGCCAAGGAGAGAGGCCCTGGGAGAAATCAAACCTGCAGACGCCTTGGTCTTGGACTTCCAGCCTCCAGAACCATGAGAAAATAAATTTCTATTGTTTAAGCCCCCTAGCTGGTATTTGTTATGGCAACACTAGTAGATTAATACACCCTGAGTCTGAGAAGGAGAAGCAGTAGCCACCACTGGGTATGGATACCTTCACAGAGGTCTGGGTCTTATTCCTCATAGGGAGTGTGGGCTAGAGAGGAAAGGGTATGAGTGACCTCAGTTATAAGCTGCATGCCTTGGCTTTAGAGCAGGGACAAGCCCAACAGTTAAAACAGTTCTTTGAGAAAAGTGGTTTTAAAACATTTTCTGCCATAGTCCATGATAAATGGACATTAAAACCCAACATGCACACGCATATATACAACAGAACTGAAGCAAAAACCTGAGGAAATAAGGTGCATTCTTTCTATATGCAATGCACATTGATATCTCCTATTACATTTTCAGTAGTTTTAAAAATGCTGATTGTGAGCCTCTAAATTAATTTGTAGCTCACTGGTGGGTCACAGACTGCAGTTTGAAAAACACCTCTCAGACTCTCCCAACATCGTCTTGTGCTCCTCCCAGTGCAGCTTCAGAAGGTGCTGCGGTGTCCTGGAGTCTTCAAAGTCCCTGTGTATTCCCTCACCCTGCTGGGTTTTTGTTTACAGTATTTATCACCATGTGGCATGATGAATTCATTTTATTGTTCAGTCTTATTATCTTTCTCTTCCATTAGCATAAAAAATACCTGAGGGTAAGGGGTTTTTGTTTGTTCTGTGTAGCCATTTTCCCAGCACCAAAATGGCACTGGAAGCACAGGGTGTCTGAGCGAAAGCTGTGAATGAATGAATTTGAGATTCCTGGACTGGAAGGCACTGTGGATAGCAGTCATCCATTGGAACCTCGGCAGCTGGCTTGTCAGGGAATGGTAGTTCGATTCCCATCTGTCCTCTCTCCTGGGCCTACCCTGGTCCATGGGGACTGGGACTTCACTTTCTACCCCTGATACTGCCCCAGGGAGGCAGTGTCTTAGAGCTGGCCTGGCCCCCTTAATCTGTTCCCTGCCCTTTTGTCAGGTCTCCAGCCCTGTCACCACTTACCCTTGAATCCTTTCCTGCCCTCTGTTCCCAGGCCTGGGGCCCTTTTCATGGCTAGGCCAGCTTCTTGTCCTTGTGGTGGTACCTTGGGGAGTCATGGGAGGAGGGTGCTTTAAGCCAGGAGTGTCCCAGTGAATCAGCTGACATTCTTGCTGTGGCCTCTGGTTCAGTAGCTATATAGCCTTGGCATGTTTTCTCTCTGAGCCTTGGCTTTTTCATCTGCAGAATGGAAAATAATTGTCAATCTCTTGCAGAGCTGCTGTTTAAGTGTAGAAGGTGGCAATGCATGTGTAGTACCTGGTACGTAACAATTGCTGTTTGCAAGCCTTCCTTCTCCTTCCTCCAGCGTTGTAGTGCTCTAATATAAAATGACACAACAGCCAACCCTCAGTCTGTGGATTCAGATACAGGATATCAAACCTGAGTTTAACTCTAGTGTTTAGAGTTGTTGGGGACTGTAGGCCAGATCCACTGGAGGCAGGTGGGAGTCTGAGGAATAGTCTCTTACTCAGGACTAGAGTCAGTCCAGCAGAGTCTCTTGTCCCGGGGGTCCAGGGGCCCAGACCTGTCTCTATGAGCCTATAATACTCTGGGTTCTCTAGAGAAACAGAACTAATAGGATATCTATCTATCTATCTATCTATCTATCTATCTATCTATCTATCTATCTATGTCTCTATGAGCCTATAATACTCTGGGTTCTCTAGAGAAACAGAACTAATAGGATATCTATCTATCTATCTATCTATCTATCTATCTATCTATCTATGTCTCTATGAGCCTATAATACTCTGGGTTCTCTAGAGAAACAGAACTAATAGGATATCTATCTATCTGTCTATCTGTCAGTCATCTATCTATCTGTCTGCCTACATATGTATGTATCTATCATCCATGTATGTACCTAACCATGTATCTTCTATGTATCTATTATCTATCTATCTATCTATCTATCTATCTATCTATCTATCTATCAATCAATCATCTACATGTCTTTCTGTCTGTCTGTCTGTCTGTCTGTCTGTCTATCTATCTAGAGATGTATTAGAAGGTATTGGCTCATGTGGTTATGTAGGCTGAGAAGCCTCAAGCTACACAGTTAGCAAGCTAGAAACCTGGGATGGCCGATGGTGCAGTTCCAGTCTAAGCCTGAGCCCAAAGGCAAGAGAAGCACTACATCCCGGTGTGAAGACAGGCAGAGAGGAGCTGCTTCTCTACAGGAGGTTCAGCCTTTTTGTTTAATTCAGTCCTTCAATGGATTAGATGAGGCCCATTCACATTAGGGAGGGCCATCTGCTTTACTCAGTCTATGGATTTAAATGTCAATTGTGCCTAAAAACACCCTCACAGTCACACCCAGAATATTTATCCAAATATCTGGGTACCCCATGGCCCAGTCAAGTTGACACATAAAATGGACCAGCACCAACACTCCATCCTGGTGCTTCCCTGTGCCCATCCAGTTTCTGACTGATCTCACCCTGCTTCTGCCTCAGTATCATCTCATTCTCCTTCTCCTGCTCCCCCATCCCCAGATCCTGCCAAGCCTCAACCTGTTTGGTGCCCTGGGGACATTTCTGATGTTCTTTCTGCTGCCCCCATGTGACCCCTAAAGGCAGACCTTTACTCTTTCTCATGTATGTAAAGGGCAACAGGTTTATGCAAATCCATTCATTTACACAACCACTCACTCCGTCCTAATTTATGGAAGGCCCACCCCGTGCTTGGCACCATTGAATTCTTACATCAACCCTGAAAAGCTGGTGGTATTTACATTTGCCATTGGAAAAGATGTAAATCTGTGAGGTTAGGTAAACTAGAAAGAGCACAACCAGGGCTCGCTTCACTTTGCTTTGCTATATGCCAGGTGCTGCAATGGGCATTGCAAAGGGCCTTGAGTGAGTCCTCAGAGCAGAGAGCCCCTCTCTGTGTCATTGAGTGGGCAAGAGGAGGAGTCTGGCTTGCCCATTGCCTGAGCCTTAATGGCTATGAGGCTGGGTGGGGGCCACCTATTGTATCTGGGAAGACTTAGTGTGCCCTTCTAAAGGGCTTATATTTGCTTGATAAATGGTTCTGGTGCTGAAAAAAATAATTTGAAAACCACTGTTGTGAAAGATTGGGAGCCCCTGAAGAATTTTAAGCAGGGAAGCAACATGATTACATTTGCATTTTAAAAAGGGAGACAAAAGACAATTTAGTAAAAATAAATCTCCTTAATCACATCATCACAGCAGAACAACTTCCCTCTGGGTACATTCTCTCCCTGCCTTGATCACATGCAGGGGTTTTTATACAGTTGTGAACTTCACCACATTCGATTTGCGTTCTTCTTTCTCACACAATGGTACGTGTCCTCCAGTGGCCTTCCTAGGGATCCTCTGGAGTGGCAGCCTGTTATGCCTTCAGTCTTCCTTCACTTCTTCATTCTTGTATTATGAGGCATTCACGCAGTGATGGCACCACATAAGTGATAACTATTATTATTATCATTTAAATTGCATCTGGTTTTTCTATTTGTGTGTGTGTGTGTGTGTGTGTGCGCGCATGCACACGTGTGCGTGTGTGTTTTGAGATGGAGTTTTGCTTTTGTTGCCCAGACTGAAGTGCAATGGTGTGATCTCGGCTCACTGCAACCTCTGCCTCCCAGGTTCAAGTGATCCTCCTGCCTCAGCCTCCGAGTAGCTGGGATTACAGGTGCCTGCTACCATGACTGGCTAATTTTATATTTTTAGTAGAGACGAGATTTCTCCATGTTGATCAGGCTGGTCTTGAATGCTTGACCTCAGGTGATCCAACAACCTCAGACTTCAAAAGTGCTTGGATTATAGGAGTGAGCCACCGTGCCCAGCCAATTTTTCTGTTTTATAAATGCTGTAAAAATAAACGTACTTGATCCCAAAGCTTTTTCAGTTACATCTGGACATTTTCTCCTGGATATATTCCTACCAGTAAGATCCTGGGTCAAAGATCCTAAATGCTTTTCTAAAAATGTTTTAATAGACTTTAATGTTTGGGGCAGTTTTAGATTCACAGCAACTTTGAATTGAAAATACAGGGATTTTTCATATATCCCCATTCCTCTACATGCACAGCTTTCTCCCACAGACACAATGAAAATCCTGTACCAGAAGGTATATTTGTTACAATCAATGAACCTACATTGACACACCATTATCACTGAGAGCTCATAGTTTAAACAGAGGTTCACTCTTGATGTTGAACATAACATTCTGTGTGTTTTGACATATGTATAAAGGCATGTATCCACCATCATGCTATTGTGGAGGTCAAATAAAATAAGGAGATGAATCTCTAAATTTAAAACAATTTAGTTGGGAAGCAAGAATTGCAGTTTGGGGTATACTCACAGACTGGGTGGTCTTTGGTGTGTCTAAAGAACAAAGAAAAGGTTCGAATTTTTATTAGGAATAAAAATGTTAGTTTGAAAGAAAACTCATCAGCACTTGGGAAGGTTTTGGGAACTGAAAGCTCTGATTGGTGAGTGACAGTGGGAGGCAAAACAAATCTTAGAGTCCCAGGAGGTCCTTTCAGCAGTTGGGCTTATGGAAAAATTTAAGTCTCAGAGTAGGTGCTATGTGCCATGCCCCACGTTCAGTTTCTTCCTGGCTCCTGGACTCTGATTTAGTTGGATGGGCAAGTTGGATGTGAAAGCATCATGCAGAAGTTTCCTGGCCCCCCAAATCCTCTGTGCTCCACTTATTTATCACTTCCTCCCTCTAAACCTGTGATCTTTTTATACTTCCATAGTTTTGGTTTTTTTCAGAATATCATATAGTTAGGATCATACAGTATGTAGCCTTTTCAGACCTACTTATTTCATCTAGTAATATGCATTTCGGGCTCTTCCATGTCTTTTCATGGCTTGATAGCTCATGTCTTTTTAGCACTGAACAATATTTCATTGTCTGCATGTACCAGTTTATTTATCCATTCACCCACTGAGGGACACCGTTTGCTTCCAAGTTTTGACAATTATGAATAAGGCTGCTATAAAATTATGTGTGCAGGTTTTTGTGTGGACATGTTTTCAACTCCTTTTGGTAATTACGAAGGAGCACGATCGCTTGATTGTATGGTAAGCATATGTTTAGTTTTGTAAAAAACACACACACCAAACTGTCTTCTAAAATGGTTGTACCATTTCGCAATCCCACCAACAATGATTGAGAGTTTCTTTGTTCCACATCCTCCCCAGCATAGTGCTGCTAGTGTTCTGGTATTTGGATATTCTAATAGCATTCTAAATGCTTTTTAATGCACTAGACTGTTGAGCAGTCTAGCGATGGAGCTGAGCCCAAAACCAGCATTGGCCAGCACCAACCTGAGCATTCTTTGTCCATGGCTACATGAGTACAGACCTGTGTAACATCAGGAGTGTGGGAGGTGGTGGACCCTGTGCTATTCCCTTCAGATCCCCCCATCAGGCCAACTCATTCACCCCTAGCCCCAAGAAGGCCAGATTCTCCCAGCTACCATCTGCCTTCCTCATGAGTAACTGCCCTCAACTGGAGGGAAGTGGATTGCCCAGGGTTAGGCTGGCAAGGGCATCCTGAGACCAGGGCACATAGATTTGAAAGTACAAAGCTAGGGTCAGCTTCTCCCTCTGCCTTGTCCTGCATTCCTCATTCTATACAGTGGACCCCAAGATCACTCCTGCATGGACTTCTGCATACTTCTTTCTGCCCCAAAGTCTGTGTTCAGGGAACTCAACATCAAGCAGTGAGTGACTCGAGCTTACATCCTCTCCTAGGGGGATGCAGCCTCAGTCTCCCAAAGAACAGACTTGACGAAGGGCTGGGGGTATCCAGTCTCCCCTTTTTTCAGGGTGCTACTCATTGAACACCTTTTTGTGCAGCAGCAAAGACGCCAAAGCTAAGACCTCCCTGGTGAGAAGAGACAGTGTGCTGGGAGTGCATGTAGACAGAAACGTTAAATGAATTTAAAAAATACATGGAGTTTTAGGGCCAGGGTTTTGCTGTGCCTTTTGGTAAGGTGTGGTATCATGGAAAGTGTGACGGTTTGGGGTGAACAAATCTCGTTTCTATCACTTCTGAGTGCTGTGAGCTTTGCCATGCTGAATGACGTCTCTCCTTGCTTGTCTTGGCAATGGCCATGACAATGCCACCTTCAGAGTATTTCTGTGAGAATCGTAAGAGTCTTTCATGTTCTGTGAACTACTTGGCATAAAAAAGGGGCTCAAAAACAGCTCCTTTACTCTCTCCTTTCTGTTTGTGTCCTAGGGTTTGGCCATGTTTCTAATGCAGTGGAAAATAATATCCCAGGTGGGCACCTCGAGGAAGGCTCTTTCTCTGGAGCCCTCCTGGAATTGTGAGCACTGATAACATTTTCGTTCTGCTCAGAGTCCCCCGGACAGTGTCTTGATTGTGCTCTCCCCCTCTGTATCTTACTTCCAGCAGGTGGAGAGTAAGCCATACTTTCATGTTGAAGATTACATCCCAGCGAGTCTGATAGAGAGGATGACTGCCCTCCGGGTCCAAGTCGAAGTCTCAGAGATGCACCGGCTCAGCTCTGCACTCTGGGGAGAGGATGCTGAGCTGGAGTTCTTGAGGGTAAGGCCTTCTTGACTCGGAGACAGGTGTTAGTCTTCATGGGAATGCAGCCAGGAATCCCCTCCGGAACCTTCTTGGCAGTGGGGAGGCAGGTGTGTGCAGACCCACAAGGAGGGGTGGAGCTCTAGGAGGCAGGGAGGGGCAAGGAGAGGCTTCTGGAAGCAGCTGGCATTGGAAATGATCCCAGAGAGGGCAGGATTGAGTGAGCTGGGGTGGGTGTAGTAGGGTTTTTTTGTTTTGTTTTGTTTTTTGTTTGTTTTTTGTTTTTTTTTGGATATGGAGTCTCACTCTGTTGCCTTGGGATTATAGGCGCACTCTGTGTCTTGCTGATTTTTGTATTTTAGCAGAGATGGGGTTTCACCATGTTGACCAGGCTGGTCTGAAACTCCTGACCTCAGGTGATCCACCAGCCTTGGTCTCCCAAAGTGCTGGGATTACAGGCATGAGCCACTGCACCTGGCCAAATCTTAAATCAGCATTCCAGACACTTTCCTGCAAGCAGGGTGGCAACATTTTTTATAGTTGACACATAGGACAACAGAAGTATAAGATCAGAGCATGAGCCAGAGAAAAGTCGTTGCAAGACCCTAAGTTTGCAGCCCTCCAGGGAGCAGTTCTCAATGCAGCACAGCTGCTGTGGCCCATGCACAGGGGTGCAGCTTGGGCCCCCTCTCTCTTTAGCAGTGGGGCAAAAACAGTGGCCCTGCAGACCCCCGTGCAGGCACACACAATGATGAATACTTTTTGCTACTCCACAACCTCCCCTTGCTGTGGGCCAGGCACTGGAAAATGGAGACAAAACAGGTGCTCTTTTTTCCCAGGAAGCTCCACATCTCATGGGGAGGATTGCGGCACACCCACAGGCACACAAAGCAATAAATGTTCAACGGAACAAGAATAATACCAGCTACTCTGTGTCAAGATGTGGGGACCAGGGAGGGAGTGGCCACTCTGCTGGTGCAGATACGGCTGGGGGGCAAGTGGGAGGAGACTCACAGCTTCCCCAGGACGGGATACCGGCTGGGGAATTCGATTGGGGGAAAAGTTTTAAAAGGAGGCTAGGAGATTTGTACATTTTTCTGTACAAAAGTCAGGTAGAAATTTCTGTTTGTGTTTTCTTGCCCTTCATTGAGATAGGTACTTGAAAACAAACCAGCCAATATGAGGTCAGGCATTCCAGTCATTTTGCAGAACTATTCCTGTACCTAGCACGGTGCAGCCTGCGTTTCACTTGACAAGCACTGACGAAGCGTGATCAAGGCACTCTCTAATCAGGGCTGCACATGTGTACCCGGTCAAGGGGATGAAGCTTTCCCTTGATGAAGAACCAGTGAGAACTTCAAAGCCATCTGATAATGAGTGGTCACAGAGCTACGGAACCACAGAATTCAGTCTAAAGGCCAAGGACCCAACCCTGCGGCAGGTGTCTGCAGGATGGATTTGCCTTCTGGCCTCTGCCCAGACCCTGACTTTGTGTGCTGAGCTCACCGTCAGGGTTCCTCCCTTCCTCATTGACAGATGAAAAATGATTGTAAGAGAAGCTACCAGGCTCAGAAGCAAAAATACAGGAACCGTTTTTTCCCTATTCACAGAAAGCACTGAATAGATTTGATTTCATTTACGTGCAATCTTTATGGTTTCAAGGAGCACTCTTGCTTTTGTAGTTCCACTTGGTGGACTGGTTGGGTCTGGTAATGCTGGTGCTGCCTGCCTGTGGTACGGAGAGACAAACTAGGCAGGGCTTTGCCACTGGGAGCCTCTCATTAGGGTGAGGGTTTGTTAAAGGTTTTTTCCCCTTCCCTGATTATAAAAGTAAACATTTCCTCGTAATTCTGCCGCCTGGAGATAGCGCACTTACATCTGGGTATATTCATCCTTCTCTCTTTGTTCTGTGCATTCCTATATAGGTGTACATGCATATATGTTTAAAATCAGATTTATATTATATAAGCACATAATCCCGTAATTCTAAAAATTTGAAATCTTGTTTTGAATTAACATATATTGTACTCTAATTTTTTCTCTCAGTGCTCTATTGTTTAACGTATAAATCATTTCCAGTGTGGGACTATTTAAAGCAATACTGAGATTAGCATGTTTTCCATATAAATCTTTGCTGTATTTCTGCTTCATTCCTTAGGGGTAGAATCTCATGAGTGGAACTACAGGGTTGAAGGTAATAAACATTTTGAACGTTATTGGTGTATGTTACTAAGACACATTGCACTGCAGTCATTTCTGGACATTTCCCATCTCTTCTGCTGGGCCAATGCCTGGAGCCTCAGAGCCCTGGAGGGCCTCAGAGGGCCCTGGAGCCTCAGCCCAGCACAGAGTTCAGTTACTGCTATACAAGCAATTCCTGGATTATTTAATTAGAGGTCCTCATGGCTCTTGTTTTTCATTAGAAAAAGGAGGAAACCATTATCAGGAGGCTGCCTCTTGGCCCCCAGTTCACTGGTGACTAACTCTGCCAGTTCAGCATCTCATACTAGCAACAGACAGGACAGGAGCCCCGTTTGGGGAATGGTAAATGCCATAGTCTATTCATAGATTCAAAACTATATTAGCTTATTAATCTCAGAATAACGTGTTTAATGTGAATTCAGTGTTTTCCGAACTTCCGCAGCCATGGAGCCATTTTCTCACATAGTTGTGGGTTGTAATAAGTTATTAGAACATTTTTTTTCTTGCTATTGAAATCATACTGGTTTTATCCTGTAGCTTTTCCCCCTTAGCACTATAACAAATGCGTTTTCCTGATAATTACAAATGCTTCATAAATATCCTTTGTAAAGGGTGGCTGATAATCAATTTTAAGACTCTGCTGTTTTTATAGGAAATCACTTACTGCCGGGAGCTGGTTTCCCCAAATCACTCCCACAAATCTATACTGAACAGTATTATGAGAAGGAGTTGTTCTGATTATTCAGCATATTTTCTTAGAGTAGATTCCTATGGGTGGAATTATAAGGTCAGAAAACATGAATTGTGAATCTCTTGATGAATATTCAGAAATAACAATACATTTGTTTCGAAGAATGTTCAATACAGCAAGGGTGCTGTGGCTGGCGGGCAGGAGGGCTTGGTCCCGTCTCAACTTTGCTGCCTGTCGTAGGGATGATAGGCCCCATAGTAAGATGGCCCAAAGCGCATGGAGAGGAAATGACCCTCTGAAAGGAAAACCAGGAATAACAAGGCAAAGGGGGCAAGGAGAAGCATTCAAGGAGACTCCCTAGTAGGCAGGGAATGGAGGCAGACATCATTATTTTATTGTTTTACAGACCGAAGATGCCATTGACAATATTAAGCATTTCCAGGACTTTCGGATTCCCTGTATTTTAGTTGTTAAGAGTGAAGACTCAGGAGCAAACAGGCTCATCTTTTCCCATTTTCCATTCCTGGCTCCAAAGCAGGAACTTAAACAGATTACATAGACAAGAGAGCTTCACCATCTCTGTGATTGTTCTGAAGATTAAATAATGAAATTATGCTGGGAAAGACTTAGCATAGTGCTTTATCAGTAGGAAACTTGAGGCCCAAAGAACTGAAAAGTATCATGTCTCTCTTTGTATGAACAATAAATTAAATATAAACAAATACTAAACAATTGAAAAAGCGTAAGTCTAGCAAAGGCATCTTTATCCTAACAAGGACTACTTGTTAATGCTTAAATTTTTTTAAAGAAATAGCACACGAATTCTTTAAAAGTATCTACATAATTAACTTGGGGTGGTCCTGCTTTGTTAAACTTGAATCATATGCCCAGTCTGACCACTGGATATTTCAGCACCAGCTCTCAATAAATATTGATTTGAATGATGATGATGATGATGATGATGATGATGATGATGATGACAGGGTGTCTCCAAAGTTAAACAAAGGAGGCTTAGAGTTCAGAAACGCAATCAGAACCCTGTGTGAAGAGCTGTGGAGTCTGCAGGCAGCATAAGCTGTCTGCATGGGCTTCGTCAACGGTGGATGGGCAAGGAGCCTGAGAGAGGACTTCTCAAGAGCCATCATTTGTCCCTGTTTTTGTGACCTTGCCTAGGGGGTGAGAGAGATTGGATAGGACATGGATGCTTTCTGCTGGGGTGTAGGAATGGAATACTAGATCTCAGCATTGCGACTCTTCTGAGAGGGTTTCAAATGTGTGGAGCAAGAGGTCCTTGCTGTGGGTCCAGAGACACATCAACCTTCTGATGGGGACTGCCATCTTCCTGGTGAAGATGAAGATGGGAAAGCCCAGGGTGGGAAAGTGATTACCATTCAGATGCAGTAACATTTGTGTTCATTTTATACTCTGGTCTTTTATGAACTTGGTGGCCTAATGCAGTCCCCAGGTCCAATTGACCCGTGGCCCCTGGCAAAATTTGTTCCCCTAATCTGGTAGACAGAGGCAAGACCTTGGGCTATGGAAACTCCCACCAAGGCATTGCTACCTGGTAAGAAATGCCAAAATGAATGGCCATTGTCTCTGCCGGGTGGTTCACAACTAACACTGGTGATCTGGAACGTTGCTTTCTGTGCCTGAGCCTCAGTTTTTCTATCTGTGATGTAAAGGAGTTGAAACAGAAAATACTGTAGACTCTGATTGATACAACCAGGAAAAGAAATCTCTTACCTTGAGATGTCCCAGAAGAGTATGAATTCTAAAAAACTTATTCAGAATATTATTATTCTACTATATTATTTTCATAATAACTGTGTTCTAAGTACTGTTTTAAGTATTCCATGAGAAAAGTATTCCTTGGGCTACAAAAAAAAAAAAGAAGAAAAAAGGAAAATTCTATTATATCAGAGGTGCAGAGAAATTCTGTACATAGCAAATAAATTTGTTCAACCATGTTTCCTAAACTTATTTGACAATTCTACAATTTTTTTTTTTTCAGAACTCCCATCAATGTGTTTGGCATGGAGTGAATGACATGAGGCCCATTATTTTAAGCCATGTGCCTGCCTCTTCTAAATCAGATTTTTTTTTTTTCTCCAGGTCACTCAGCAGCTCCCAGAATACGGTGTACTGGTTCACCAAGTATTCTCAGAGAAGAAGAGGCCAGAAGAGGAGATGGCCCTGGGGATCTGTGCCAAAGGTGTCACAGTGTATGAAGTGCAAAACAACAGCAGAATTGCAACTTTACGGTTTCAGTGGAGAGAAACCGGAAAGATTTCAACTTACGTGAGTGTAGCTCAGTTGATAAATACCCTGCACTTCATTTTCCTTTGATTCATTGGCTGTTTAAAGGAGCAATGGGTCATGGGTTATATGGCTTTCTCCTGACTGAACATTCTCACAGCCTGTCTGTTCATTAACATGCATTCTGATGCATTGCAGGGTAATTGGAAGAAGTCTACCAGGGGATTTTGGGAGGTCCTTAGGAGGCTATTTCTTCCCTATGGTTCCTTGCCTGGACCCCCACACAGCCCAATGAACAGCCATTGGTCTAAAAGGCTACACTTTCCTTTTGGGTAAAGTTCTCTTAATTTGGAGACTCCATTAATGTTGAGAGCAAGGTTAGAGGTGGAAGATGGGGGGTTGAGGGTATAGTCTAAGTTGAGTGGAGCCTGCAAGGTTTTGGAACTTCTTCCTGTGTTTTAATTTTCCCCTTGCACACAGTATGCTGAGGCCTCTGGTCTGTCTCTGAGGACTACAGATGTGCTGCAGGACACTGAGGATTGTAAATTTTTGATAGCTCTTGAAAATTTCAAAGTCTATTTTTGAAATACAAAATCCCCATTAAATATATAACATTTGGAATCTACTTGAACACTATCTGCATGAATATTTCTACCTCCTGAAGTGAGTCACTCTGGCACTGTACCCTGGTGGCTGACAGCCCCTGCCTGTCCTACAGTTGTTCTAGTCAGTATCTGTTTCACTTCAGTAATGATTTATTATAATACATGAAGCTCTTTATCTTGTGGCCCATGAATTTTTTTTTTCTATTTAATTTTCTCTATGGTCAAAAACATTTTCTATCTAGATCACTATTTGTATCATTATCTGATGTCAGAGTTTCCAGAGTAGAACATAATTGCTTTCATCCATTTTCAGGATGTTTCTTTTATTTCATCCATCTTAGCTTTGAAGTTAACATATTGTCAAGATACAATTTCATAATAAGTAATTGTCTTCAGGAAAAAAGCTTACATCTAAAAATAAATAATAATTGAACACAATTTAATTGAATTTATTTAAGTGGTCTGTATATTATCAGGAAACTGACTTTTTTTCAAAATCATTTTGACCAAACTCAAATGAAACAATATTTATATTTGTGAATTTTTCAGAATTTTAATTACTCAAATTACTTTAACTCAACTGAAAGATTATATGAAGAACTTTAATAAATTGAATACTACTATATTACTTATTTTCTTTATTGCATGTTTAATTGTTCAGTGTTTTCAATGCACTGTATTTAAAACACTCATAAAAATGCAGATAACCTAAAAAGTAATTTTTAAAAATGGAATTTTTTGAAGCTGTAAAGCTCAACAGTCCCCTTAAGTAGGTATTTTATGTATAAATTGGTTTAACTTTTACAGATATTTGTTTCCCCCCCATCAGGGGATTTCTTTATTAAATTAGTTGATTATTTCTTGATTAAAACTGGGAAGTCATCGGGCTCAGAAGACAAACTTAGTAGCTCAAAAAATAATTAATTAGGAGTTCCATTCTCTGATGATCATCCTCTTCCTTGGCATGAAAAACTTATTTTTACAAAATAGTCATCAGATAAAGTAATGTCACTAGCAACTTGCTGCAAATCAAGCATCTTATGCAGAAGATGACTTGAAGTCTTTGTGTTTCTGTAAGCACAAAACAGGGAATTCAGTGAACAATATGAAAGTTAACTCAGGAAAGTGGTTTTAATTTTGCTTTTTAATACCTGACGCCAAAATTCTTCAAACAATTAAAGATCATCAAAGCAGCAAAGGAAATAGAGAAAGATACCATTTCTAAAGAATATGATTCGTAGAAGTATTGGCATCCATGTATAGTATGTTCAATCAAAAGCCTGTTCCTTCTGGAACAACAAACCTACGCATGTTAGTAACTGTTCTTGGTTATCACTGCTAGATAGGAGGCCGAGGCGGGGGGATCAGGAGGTCAAGAGATCGAGACCATCCTGGTCAACATGGTGAAACCCTGTCTCTACTAAAAATACAAAAAATTAGCTGGGCATGGTGGCACATGCCTGTAATCCCAGCTACTCAGGAGGCTGAGGCAGGAGAATTGCCTGAACCCAGGAGGCGGAGGTTGCGGTAAGCCGAGATTGCGCCATTGCACTCCATCCTGGGTAACAAGAGCGAAACTCTATCTCGAAAAAAAAAAAAAAAAAAAAGAAAAGAAAATCTCTAAAGAGAAATACACTGAAACAGAAGCATATACAGGCTATGTAGTAGGGCCCTCTTTATGAAAAAGAATACAAAGTTACAAATGATAGCATGAAAGAAATCTTTATTTAGAATGAGAAAAGAAATCACAAAAACTTCGTGAATTTTTAAAAGCTGAACAAATCCTGCAAATATCACAAAAATCGGCAAGTAATATTTTTATTAACTCCCTGGCAATGTCTATAATACTTTTTTCCTTTAAAATTTTTAATGGCATACTCTGATTATTTTTCCATATGATGGCACTTTTGTAACATTTTTTCTAGAGAGGATAAAAACATAGTTTAAATATAGTTCAGCTTTTCTTCTAGCATGGTGGATTGAAGCCTGTTTTTATTATTGAAAAGATTAATCAGATACATGAAACCTGCAGCTTTGCACAGAAACATTTTTCTCTTTCTAGTGCTGCTACAGAGTTCTTTGCTGCAAATGCAGGAAACTTAACAAATTCTATTTCATGGGATTCCGATTAAAAATTGTGTGGTGTATTGATAGTGGAGTATACACAATTATAGAGTATATCCCTGATAGGGTGGCATTTCAGTTGGATGAGTATTTTTGAGAACTAAATTATGGTTTTTCATTTTTGATGATTGCAAAAATTTCCTGCAGATCAGCCACTGGCTCCATACAGCTCATGCTTCTTTTGGGTACTGGGTATTATAGGGCATGGTCAATTTCATATGGCCCCTGGCCCTGCACCTTTCTGCTGAGATTTTAGGTGAGTGAGACAAATGGAAGGAGTATTCTGGGATGGCTAGCAATAAAGTAACTATTCTAGAAGAGACTTCAAAATCACCTAAATAAATCCATCTAAATCTAAACCAAGTATATCCCCATCTCAATTTCTTAGAGGGATCTGGTCCGTATCACCCAACACCACCTGCTGTACACCACCTGTTGTGAAGAGAAGTGGCAAGGAGGGAATGTTCGAGTAGAAAGAGTCAGTGGTCTTAAACAGTTGGGGTGAAAACATCTTACTTTCTGCATATTATGAGACCATGTAAATGCATTGTCAGGAAGCGGTGACCCAAGTGAGGGCCCTGGAGCTTCAGCTTCATTAGCTTTGTGGCAAATCTGCCCTGCCTAGAAAAATATTATTTGTGTTTGATACAAAGATGTATCAAAACAAATAGCAATAGCAAAACAAAACAATATGAAACAAAAAAACTCCTGGGGATGAAAATATTCAAAATTGTAAACAGATGCTTTGAAACCAACATGTTACAAAAGCACCTGCTGTGAATTGGTTGGGAGCGAAAGTAATCAGCGTTTTCGCCATTAGAAGTTTTTGGCGCGGTGGCTCAAGCCTGTAATCCCAGCACTTTGGGAGGCCGAGGCAGGTGGATCACCAGGTCGAGAGATCGAGACCATCCTGGTCAACATGGTGAAACCCCGTCTCTACTAAAAATACAAAAAATTAGCTGGGCATGGTGGTGCGTGCCTGTAATCCCAGCTACTCAGGAGGCTGAGGCAGGAGAATTGCCTGAACCCAGGAGGCAGAGGTTGCGGTGAGCCGAGATCGCGCCATTGCACTCCAGCCTGGGTAACAAGAGCGAAACTCCATCTCAAAAAAAAAAAAAAAAAAGGAAGTTTTTCTCCAAGGCCGGGCGCGGTGGCTCACGCCTGTAATCCCAGCACTTTGGGAGGCCGAGGCGGGTGAATCACGAGGTCAAGAGATCGAGACCATCCTGGTCAACATGGTGAAACCCCATCTCTACTAAAAATACAAAAAATTAGCTGGGCATGGTGGCGTGTGCCTGTAATCCCAGCTACTCAGGAGGCTGAGGCAGGAGAATTGCCTGAACCAGGAGGCGGAGGTTGCGGTGAGTTGAGATCGCGCCATTGCACTCCAGCCTGGGTAACAAGAGCGAAACTCCGTCTCAAAAAAAAAAAAAAAAAAAAAAAAAAAAAAAGAAGTTTTTCTCCATTTAAAGTTAATGGTGAAAACTGTGATTACTTTTGCAGTAACCTAATATGTTTCTACTGCAACTACAGAAGTGTAAAGAAAGGATTTCATGCTGGTGCTGAAGACCCAGAGATTAGAGTTATACATCATCATATACACAGAGCAGCAGCTCGCCTATGAGAAAGTTTGTCTGCAGATCAGAATTTTCTATTAAATGATGTTATCAAAAATGGTGGGAAATGGAAATAAAATCCAAACCACTATAGTCAAGACTGTTTTCAGCTTTATGTCGAGAAATGGAATCAGCATTCCACTCTGGTGTTTGAGACCTTGGAGCACAGGCATCTGAAAGGAGAGTTTTGCTGACAGTTTACAGGCTAAAAGAAACTTCGGTGTGTGTGTGTGTGTGTGTGTGTGTGTGTGAATGATTCTCCCTTTTTAGATATGTTAAAAAATAGTTGTTACATTTTAAAAAGTGTTTTATTCTTTCAAGGCACAGTGGCTCACGCCTGTTAATCCCAGCACTTTGCGAGCCTGAGGCAGGAGTATCACTTAAGCCCAGGAGTTCAAGACCAGCCTGGGCAGCATAACAATACCCTTTTATCTATTAAACACACACACACACACACAAATTAGCTGGGTGTGGTGGTGCCTGACTGTGGTCACAGCTACCTAGGAGGCTGAGGTGAGAGGATTGCTTAAACCCAGCACGTCAAGGTATCAGTGAGCTATGATTGTGTCACTGCACTCCAGCCTGGGTGACAGAGAAAGACTCTGTCTCAAAAAAGGAGTGACTTGTTCATATAAAAATGTTTAATATCTGAATAAACTTAATATAAAACTGTCAGGATTGTATGAAAGCCTACTGACAAAGTGTATGGATTTCAAGCAAATATTCAACTTTGAAAAAGTGTGGATACATGATCAGTTGAACATTAAAGAAGAATTATTATGACTAGTAGAGCAGCATCTATGAATGCTTGAGAAAACACATTATTTAAAGAAATACTAGTTATAGTACAGTTCAATTGGATTCAGAATCCATTCCTGTTAGCCTAAGGCGGCTTAGCACTGTACTTGTCAGTAAAAGTAAAAAGTATATAGAGAATGAGCAACTTATCTAAAATTAAGTTAATGGTAAAAGGTAGTTTCTCAGAGAAAAAGCAGTGAATATTTATCTGCCTTTTGTTGAAATCTGACGTGTGTGAATGGAGTTTCTTGGAAATGGTGACTATCAGGAATTAAAAGAGATCAGCCTTAAAGAGGATCAGGGATTTCCGGGAGCCCTTTCAAGCATAAGCCCTGTTTCTATAAAGTTATCTTTATAGGAGCAAGCTGAAGGTTCTTACTGAAATAGATGGAATATCTAGAATAAAGATTTTATTTGGAAGTTTTATATTAATTGATATTTAATATTACCTAGATTTATATTTTATTATTATCAGAATCATATATTACAAAAAATATTTTTTTTTTCACAAGGCTCTATACAGGTAGCCTCATATAGGCCACCTTCACTAGTTTAGCCCAGTGAGCTGGACAAATATCGTCACTTTGTATGTGGGCCTTGAAGGTATAATGCAGGGAAGCATTTCTTTGTGGTGTGACCTAATTCCTGCGGCATTTTGAGGACTCTTGCTCTTTTTTTTTCATCTGTGGAATGAAAATACTGATAGAATCTCTTATTCTGTAGCTGTGAAGACAAAATAAATTCATACTCCTAAAGCACTTAAATAGAATCTGCCACGTTATAACCAGAAATATTACAACACACAGGTTTGTTTTTTTTTTTTAATCTTTTTCATAACCCGACTAGTGTAGGTTTTGTCTACAACTTCTTAGAGTCTGTGCAATAAAAACAATGGGAATACTTAGTGGCTTTTCATAAGGCACACTGAGGGTTAGGTTCCATCCTTGCTGAGACCAATGTACCTGACCCATTTCATGTTCTTTTCACCCAGTATGCTCCTTGGAAAATAGCAATTGTTTGATAAACAATTTGATTGAAGAATGAAGAAAAAACTAAAAAGAGGGATTTTCTTTAAGCTAAGAAAAATATCAGGCTGGTCAAGCACAGTGGCTCACTCTTGTCATCCCAGCACTTTAGGAGGCCAAGGTGGGAGGATCACCTGAGGTCAGGAGTTCAAGACCAGCCTGACCAACATAAAGAAACCCCATCTCTACTAAAAACACAAAGTTAGCTGGGCAAGAAGAGCAAAACTCTGTCTCAAAAGAAAAAAAAGAAAAAGAAAAATATCAGGCCATAGTCAGACAGCATCTGCCGTGTACTCCTGGATGCCTGCTACGAGATGTGGAAATGAGGGACTGAGCATTTTCCTGCAGTTGTACATCAGTGGAGGGTTGAGGATGATCAATCTGCTAAAGTCAGTGTTTGCTTTCTTCAGCAAAAGAAGTTCACCATCACAAGCAGTGTCACTGGGAAGAAGCACACATTTGTCACAGATTCAGCCAAGACAAGTAAATATTTACTGGACCTTTGCTCAGCCCAGCATGGGTTTAATGCACAGATGGGCTCTGGGCCGCCTTCCCATGTTTTGTTTGGTGAGTAAAACCTATATTCTTCATATTCACTTTGAAAAGTTTGTTATTTCATAAAATAATTTGTATAGATACAATTGATCTGGGGACCTCTAATAGAGTTGTAAATCTCTCTAATAATGCCAGAAATACAATAAAAATGAGATACAGTTTTATTTTCTCACGTTGGCAAGAACTAAAATAAGTAACACTGGGAGGATAAATTGATATGATCTTGTCAGAGGGCAATTTGGAATATACATCAAAAGCCTTAAAAAGTACATGCCCTCTTGGCCCCATAATTTTACTTGCAGATAGATATGTATCCTAAGATAATCAATATAGATGTGCACAAAAGTTGCTGCCCATGGACATCTACGAGGGTGTCACTTATGATAGTGACCACTTGAAAGCAATCTAAGTATGGAAACATAGAAGACTAGATAAATAAACCGAGAACATTTATATAATTTAGACAGTAAAATTAGTTTTTGGACAATGATATTATGTGAAACTGTACATGTTATGGTGCTAAGTGAGGAAAAATAAGTTAAAAGACTGTATCGAACACCGTCCAATGACACTTTCTTCAATGATGGAAATATCTGCCCTGTTAGTGTGGGAGTCACTAGCAACACAGACCTATCGTGAACATAAATTCTCTGAAAAGGAATTTCAAGGAAAGAGACTTTATTCCAGTCAGTCTGCAAACCTGGAAGATATAACCTTTGGTATAAAACAAAGACGTTTTCTAGAGAACAAAGAGAGGGCTTGGGTTTTATAGAGAGTGTTCCCACCCAGGTTCCCAATCAAGTTCATTTATGCAAATGAGGGAGTCAATAAAATAATAGTTGCATAGTTCGGATTTGTTGATGCAGTGACGTTCTGACTGGTTGATACAGCTGAACCCTCATTTGAGGAGGCAGGTGAGCTCTGACTGGTTGGTTCACGTGAGTTCTGAGTCCCGAAGTTAAACAGAAGGGTGGGTATTCAGGGAACTCATAGTACCCTAGTCAGCAAATGGCTGCTTGGCTTTATTTTATTTATTTTTATTTTTTTAGGTTTTAGGTTTTATTTACTTATGAAACATAAAGCAATTTTGGACAAAATGTAACAAACCTTGACATTTCTATGGCTTAATACATCAAAGGTTTGCTTCTCAGGCGCTTCTTAGTTTGGCTGTTTGCTGTTTTGCACCTCTCCTCCAGTGAATTGGGGTCTCAGCTGCTTCCACAGAGAGCTCCATTATCTAGAACAGTTACTCCAGAAAGGAAAGTGAGAGCTGCAAAATTGCACAAGACATTTTAAGAGCCAGACCCCAAAGTGACTCATATTCCTTCCATCTGCATTTCATTAACGGAACATATTTACACGGCCCCCAAGACAACTGGAAGAGAGGTTGGAAAGGACTTCCTGTGTGCCCAGGAACAGGAAGTGGTGTGATGCTACACTATGGCCCTTGCCATTAACGGCTGTAGCCAACTGCTGTATCACCCTTAATTCAGAGTTTGGTATTAAATCCATAGCAAGACCAGATTACTGAAGAGGCAGAGTTTGTAATTTGTGTTTAGATTAGAATCCTTCAAGGTAAAATATCTCTGCAGTACACATAATCTAAAGATCAGGTTGACAGCATGATAATCGGAATGCAGCACAGTTGAAGATTACCTATCAAGAAGAATAACAAGAAATATCCTGTTAAACAGCCATGGGAACACCTATACCAATCGGGAGGCTATTTCCTGCTACTTAGCAATTACAGTGAGAAATGTAACTCATCACATTCTCCTACTTTTGGCAAATTAGCAGATCTTTGCTAAACAAATAATATAAATACCCTTATTTTACCAGGCCCATATCTTAAAAATTTAAGGTACCTTGTATGGTAGGATTTTTTTTTTTGGCCTGATCTCATTTTTTTAAAACAAATTTCAACTTTTATTTTAGATACAAGGGGTACATGTACGGATTTGTTACATGGGAATATCATGTGATGCTGAGGTTTGGAGTCTGGATCCTGTCACCTTGGTAGTCAGCATAGTATCTGATAGGTAGTTTTATAACCCACCTCACATTCCTCCACCCTCTAGTAGCCCAGTGTCTATTGTTCCCATATTTATGTCTATGTGTGATCAATGCTTAGCTCCTTCTTATAAGGAAGAACACGCGGTATTTGATTTTCCATTCCTGCATGAATTTGCTTAGGATTATGGCTTCCAGCTCCATCCATGTTGCTGGATACAAAATCAATGTACAAAAATCTGATCTCTATATACCAACAACATCTCAGGCTGAGAGTGAATTCAAGAACACAGTCCCATTTAAACCATAGCCACAAAGAAAATGACATGCCAAGGGATACAGCTAACAAGGAAAGGGAACAATCTCTGCAAGGAGAACCACAAAACACTGCTGAAAGAAATCAGAGATGACACAAATGAATGGAAAACTATTCTATGCTTATGGATTGGAAGAATCAATATTGCAAAATTGGCCATACTGCCCAAAGCGATTTACAGATTCAATGGTATTCCTATCAAAGTACCAATGTCATTCTTCACCAAATTAGAAAAAGACTATTCTAAAATTCACATGGGAACTAAAAAGAGCCTGAATAGCCAAAGCAATCTACTTTAAATCTGGGCCCAGTTAGCCACTCAGAATTCATCTTGAGGGATTGGCTCTTTCAAGTTCACATTTGTTCACACTACTGAGTACTTGAAAGGTGGCAAAAAGAACTGAGAGATTAAATTTTCAATGTAATTTAATTTTCATCCAAATAAATTTAAATGGCTACATGTGCCTACTGTTTTGAATAGCATAGTTATAGATAGATACACAACACTAATTTGGTTAATATTAATGTGTTATAAGAAAGAATACAGAAATGAACTGCACCAAAATGTTACTTGTTATTACTCTTGGGAGTTAGGCATGTGGTTGTGATGTTTTCTCTGCATTACCATTTTTGATATTTGTTAAACTTACAACAATGAACATGTATTACTGATAAAACTAAGAATGAGACTTTTGGTTAAAATGGGGCACACATCACATAAGGCTAGTTAATATTTATTGAGCATTTAAGAAGTGCTAGGGAGCTATTTACTTTTTCCTGGCATTATGCTAAGTACTTACACTAATTACCTCCCTTATGTTCATAATTGACTGTTTACTCAAACTGCCCTTGTTAAGCAGCCCCATGAGGCAGGTACTAGCATTATGGGGAGGAGCAAACCGAGGCTTGGAGAAGTTAAGTCATGTGCTAGCTGCTTGGTGATGGGTCTAGCTGAGGTCTGAACCTGTGGCTGTTGGGGCTCAGTGCCTGTACTATGGCCTTTCATAACCAGCCAAAGCATGGACTTCAGTGCTAGTGAGACTTGGTTTGGCACACTGGCTTTACCACAGCTGCTGGCAATCTCTAAGTGTTAGTCCATCTTTGGTCATAAAATGGAGCGGTATAAAATAGTGGTTTACACCCTTCATGTTCAGAGCATGGTCCCTGGACCTGGAGCATGCATGTCATCTGGGAGCTTGCACAGGATGCAGAATCTCAGGCCCCACCCCAGACTATCCGAATCCAAATCTGCCTTTTAAAAAGAACCCAGGTGGTTTAGATATACATATACACTTCAGAAACATTGACTTGGAATGTGGCCTGTGGAGCCCAGTAGACTCAGGGGAGCACCACGTTCTAGCCATGTGACTTCGGGCAGCTCGTTTCCCCTTTCAGAGCTGGAGTGTCCTCATTGGAGCCCATAGGCTATCATGTAGATTTGTGTTCTGCTCGAGTGGGATGGTGCGTCTAACATTTCTAGCTCAATGTCTGCCATTCTGTGCTCAGTGTGAGAGTAGTAATGGTGGCTCCTGTTCACGGGGGTTTGGTTCAATGCCAGCCAATTCATATGGGAGCTGTGCCATTGGGTCCTGGGGCTGGCACAGGAGTTGGGGTCAACTGGGAACCAAAATTGCTGAACTTGGATATTCAGAACCAAATGCAGAAAATAATGGTAGCTTATTTTATTATTTGCAGCAGAACCAGATGAACACATAAACATTTCATTGAAATCACAGGCTGGTGGTTCCAGGATATTTTCAGGGAACCAGAAGTGACAAATGTAAATTAATTATATTTGACTTACCTGCTATTGCTAGGAACAGTGTGTGAAACACCATCAATATTGCTTTTATCGCCTGTTTCAGTGACTGTAAAATATTTATAAAGACTCCATGAGCTCACTTGTAAAATTAGTCCTTTCGGGCATATTTGGTTTGTAATAGGCTGTTTTCTCAAATTGCACATTTTACCATCTCAGGAGTTTTCAGGAATCTAACATTTATTTGCATTGAAAGGATGAGTTTAGAAAAAGTGTTCTTGCCTTTTAAAATATTTTTTCATTTTAGAAACTCTCTGCAGACACCCTTTTCAGTGACTACATGCAGCTGAGAACTGGCCGCCTCCAGCTGATGGTCCCACACATCCCTCAAGCTCAGGGCATCTGCAGTTGATCTCTTCCTCTCACACCACTTGCATTGCCATGGTATTTTTTTTTGTTGTTGTTCAGGTGGGTCCACTCAGCCTCCCCACAGGAAACTGGGAGTGTCTGGGACTGCACCCTCTCTTCCCACCCCACCTGTCACCAAAACAAAGAGAGAGATGTCAAAGCTGGGGGAACCCAACACATTTCATATCCTTAAAGTGTAGGCACTTCACATCATGGGTTTGCTGTTGGTACTCGTGTCCCAGATAATTGTCCTTCTCAGCCTGCAGAGTGACCTTTCAAAAGGACCAATCCGATCATGTTCTTCTGTACTGAAAACTTGTTAACGGCTCTCTGCTGTCTATGGGGACAAGCTCAAACTCTGATCCCAACCCTGCCATATTCCTTGCCTTGACCCTTCCCCTCTGCTCTCTGGCTGTTTACATGCCAGCTTGCAGGCTGTTCAGCACACCAGGAAAGCTTCCAGGGCCTTTGTGCCCAGCGTGGCCTCTGCCTACAGCGCTGTTCCCAACCCCTTCCTGGTTCAGACCACCAAGATAAGTCTAATTCTCTGTAAATAAATTTAAGGTAACCCCCTCCTTGAAGGCTTTCCTGATTGACTGCCCCCAGGTGGCTCTTCCTAGGTGGATGTACCGCTCACTCTTCTGTGCAGACCTCTGTCTTCTCAACTGTACTATTCTGCCATTTTTATTTGTGGATATATCTGCCTGTAGTCAGCAGTGGACTGGGAGTTCCACGAGAGCAGCACCAGCACAGAACAGAGATGTGTCAGATGGGAAGTGGTTAATACTTGCTTTTCGATGAATGAATCGATGATTTATGGGGAATTACAATCATTTACTAAACCCTTCCCATTTTTGATATTTAGTTTGCTTTTTGTTTTTCAGTATTACAAATAATATGTTAAATATTATTGGAAGAAATATTTTTTCTATATTTTATATCATTTCTTCTAGCTAGATTTCAGAGTGTAATTGTTGGGTGCCAGTGTGGGGCATTTTTAAGGTAACTGCTGTTTTCCTGAGTGCCATTTTTCAGCCCAGTATTGTCCTGTCTGTTTTGTTGTGTCCTTGCTGGGATAAATATCATCATATTTATCTTTGTTCATTTTATAGGTAAAAGTGATTTCTCACTGGCTTTATTTTGCAGTCCTTTGATTCTTGAGCAGTTGAGCATTTTCCAAGTGCTTCTTAGTCATTTTTCTGTGAATTGTCTCAATAAGCATATTACTTTATAGTTATATTTGGTTCCCTGGGGAGAAAGATAGATCACTGAGCTTTTACAAATGCGTAATTTGAGGACTAAATCAAGCAGGATCTGTCAGCCCTGCAGAGTGTGGCCCATGGGCCTTTGTTTAGCTCTTTCTTGTGGATGGCCTGGGGGCTGCAGGGATGGTCTCGGCACTTTCACAGGAAGACTGTAAGACAGCAGATTCGCAGTGAGCTGCCCAGAATCGTGTTCTGGCTCTCTTCCTCGTGGCCCTTGGCTCTGAGTGTATCATGTGCCCTTGTAACTGACTAGGACTTTAGCCCTCGACATGCAGATGGATTCAGCCTTATTTCCACAATTATACAAGTCACCCACAGCAGGGAATAGAAACCGTCCACTGTCCTCGAATTGCCAGTGGCTTTGGGACATTCTTGGCAATGCTTCCTTCTGTTCTTGAAAGGCTGTCTACTTTTTTCTCTCCCACCTTTCAGCAAATCCCCCCTCCACTGTTTGTCCACCCAGTCAGCCCCATGAAGCTGAGGCCTGGCGATTACACTGGCACTCATCAGCAGCCCCGCCAGCCCACAGCTGCAGGCTGAGTCCCTGATGCTGAGTGCTTGACACCAGGATCTCATTTCCTGACCTCACTAAGCGGCCCCTCTCCTGCTAACTGAGCTTTGTCCTCAGGCTCCAAGTGCTTTCCAACATCTCACAGGCCCTTGAGCTCTCTCTCCTCTGCTAACTTCTGTGATTCCTCTGCCTCTAAGGAATGGCTCCTTCCTGTAATCACAGTCTCCGTACAGTCATGCTTCAAACCCGCTAAACCTCTCTGAGCTGAGACCCTGCCTCCACTGACTCTGCCTAGAATATCCCCCCTTGGGTATTAATATCCATCGTAACTAAGTCTAAGGTCACTATGCCTTTGGGCCCTGGTGGACAGAAGGCTGGGCGTGTCTCAGGTCAATCTCCCCTGCTGCTGTCACTGTTTTTGTGTCCTCAGCGGAACCATTTTCCAGTGTGGACTGTGGAGTCTGCAGATTTGAGGATGAGTCTGATCTACCACTTATGGCTTTGGGACCATGAGCAAATTATTAACACTCTCTTAGCCCCAAGTTTCATGATCTATAAATTGAGTCTAATAATATCTACCCCATAGGGTTATTGTGAGGATTAAATGAGACAATGCAGATAATGTGTTTCCTGCCATGCCTGGCACATAATAAGCATTCAGCAAATATTAGTGGTTGTTGTTGCCATTACTGCTGTTGTTGCTGTTTTTGAACAAGGCCAAACTCTGGAGTAAGATATTCTGCAATTTGTGCAAAAGCTGCAGGTCACATTTAATTTACTTATATTCTTTCATTGCTTTTTGCCTACTGTATGTGAGTGATGGCACCATAATGCCTCACGCATGCAGAAAATTCTCACAAAGTATTTTTTTAAAGGCTGGCTTTTTCAGTGAGCACAGCCCTGGCAAGGAACCAGACACCATTGTAGGAATGAGAGGGAGGTCCGTTTAAAGAAATGCCCGTGGATATCCCGGAAGTGGAGGCACTTCACCAGGCCCTAGAAGTACATGTGCACACACACACATACAAACACACACACACACACACACACACACACACACACACAGAGAAACCGGGAGCCACACCACTACCATGTGTCTGACCATTCTTTCCTTCTTGGTTTTAACAAGGCGCAGATGGTCAGGATGCAGTCATCATTTTCCTTTCTTAAAATACTAACTTGGCTTTACATAAAGCCTCATTAACTTGAAAGCTCTATTTTTTAAAATCCCATTTATTTTTTAATGAACAACATGAATAGTGAAGTGGAGAATTACTCACATCTATGGTCTTAAGTTCAAGACTTCATCAAAGTTATTTATTAAACATTTTTGCATGAAGAGAAAGGGAAGTGTCAAAGCTGGAGGGACCCACACATCTCCTATTATATTTCATGAAATAGGACCTTGCACTAAATATGATTACAGGGCAAACTAAGCTCTGTAGAGATTAAGGGTTATACTCCACAGAGGAGAGCCTAATCTTGGGATCCCGGGAGATTTGGAAGGACATTTGTTAGAATGTTTGGGAGGACAGATCTGTGAAAGCAGAAAGCAGAAAGCAGAAGGGGATGGGGCAGCCAATTTCACAGGAGGCTCTGTGGGAGCACGACTTGCCTGCAAATGCTCTAGGGTTAGCACCTATTTAAACAGGCTCCTTGGCTCTGAGTCCTGTCAGCTTTAGGGGGAGAGAGAGCATCTTGTCTCTTCCTTCTTCTGTTTCTGAGGTTTCTTTCATTAGCAAGTGCTAATGAGGAGAACTTGCATTCCTAGGGATTATCGCAGGAGACAAAATAGCAGCAGAAAAAGAAAGGAGGAGGAGAGTGGGGGCCCAGTGATATGTTACAACCACCAGAGCAATGGATCCAGCATCATTCTTGCGTGTGTGTGTGTGTATGTGTGTGTATGTCTATCTTTTTCTCCCCAAATTCAGACCATGATAAGTTTGTGCAAATGGCCAATTTGAGTCCTGCACACCAGGCCCAGTCTAAACCTCTCATTTGGATTCAGAGATTGTCATGCTCAGAAAATGAGTTGTTCACATCCAGGCTTCGGGATGCTGCAGGAGGCTTGCTGAGTACATCACTGGATAACTTCAACGTGGACACTAGCAAGGAGGCTGGAGCAGAGGGCATTGGGCACAGGTGGGTGTGACACATTTGTTCTCTGGGCCCAAACCACCATGTGCTTGAGGCTCTGCAGTGATCTGTACTGCAGAAATTGTTTAAAGGATGTTAGATGTCTAAGGAAAGTATATATTTATTGGGTAACTGTCAACCAATTCCACAGAGATTTACAGAAGGCCAGCTGTGGGGTAAGTCTATGTTAAACACTCTAGGGCAAACATCCCGTTCCTCCTTCTATGATGTTCCCATCTTTTGATGAAGAAAGAACTAGATGATAATATGAAATTAGAGATGACAAATAAATAAGTTGCCATAAGCCCATTTGGCCTTATCGCCAGCCAGGTGCTGTTCTGAGCATGTGTACACATAAACTAACGTAAGTCTTACAGCTCTGTTAAGTATTTCTGTTGTTCTTATCACATCACAGAGAGGAAATCTAGGAGTTAGGATCTGAACACATGCAGCTGGCCCTAGAGTCAGACTCCTACCCTCTACACCATGCTACCTTTCCTACTGATGGGTTGCTTATAATTTAAATTTGTATGTAAAAATAATGAGCTTATAAATGCAACTTTGCATGACAAAACAATTCATAAATGTAAAAATAGCTTAGGACTTGGATTACATTTACACTGCGATTTATAGAAATAGCACAGATTCCCAGGCAGCATATGACCAATGAAGGAGCCATTTTTTGGAATGAGTTTTCCAGCTACTTCAGCAAGTAGGTAAAGATGATTCATTTGAACTGAAAATCTATGTGTCTCTCTATATTATCTATACCTGTATCTATATCCATAACTATCATCTTAAAGTAATGCTTAGAAAATTATTGCCCCCAATTCTGGTGATCCAAATGTGCACCGCTGTGTACCACAAACTAAATCAACAGTGGTGAAGCAAAACCGGAGCATGTATTGCTGTGTAACAACGGACCCTAAAGCACAGTGGCTTAAAACAATGACCATCGTGTTACTCCGTTTCATGATGAGCTGGATTAGAAACTCAGGCAGGACTTAGCTAGGGGATTCTTCTGCTTCATGTGGTGTTGACAGGGGTCCAGCAGATGTTGGACTAGTCTAGAGGATCCAAGATGACTTTGCTCATAGGCTGGTTCCTTGCTGAGGATGGTTGGAATGCAGTGCTCACGGAGCCCCTCTCCCTCCGTGGGTAGTCTCGACCCCTCTCCATGTGGGGTCTTCAGCAAGGTTCTGCATGGCAGGAGGGCTCCAAGAGCCTGAAAAGAAGCTGCCAGTTCTCTTCAAGTCTAGACCCGAAGCTAGCATCGTGTCACTTCTGCCGTCTGTGCTCTTGGTTAAAGTAACCACAGGTCAGCACAGATTCAAAGGGAGCAGAAATAGAGTCCACTTCTTGAGGTAGGAGTGTCCAAGAACTTGTGGAGAGCTTTCATCTGTCACCCAAACTAATGGCACCTTATAGCACTTCATTGTTTAAAAGGCCGAAGAAGCCATGACTGGCTCAAGGTCATCTTGCAAATGTGCTGCCTGCAAAGCATCCTTCCTGAGGTCTGTGGCCCTTCCGGCGACTGGCCAGTGGTCACACACAGTAGAGGCTTTTCAGTGTTGCATGGTAGCTGGCTTTTTTGATAGAAAGCTGAATTAGACCCTCTGTAAAATCCAGCACAGCTCTAATGTCAGTTTACAAATGCCGAATTTTCATGATCCTTAATAACTCACGTCAGAAGTTACTCGTAACCCTTGGGTGAAAAGAAAAACCTAATCACTGGGCTTTTGAGTTCTTGGAAGACTCCTTCCACTCCACCCTCAAGAAGCCCAGCTTGAGACAATGGTTTGGGTGTAGGTATGTTTTTGTGGAGGCGATGCCTGGAAGGAGTGAGTGGGGGAGTGAGCTGGTGAAGCCGGCAAGGTGCTCACGGGGTGGGAGTCACCAGGTCACTGTTGAGGCAGTCAGGGCTCAGCTCCACAGAAGTATGCAGAAGGCCTCCTAGAACTGCAGGACAGGAGGCAAACACCATGTACCGGCTCCCACTTCCCTTTGGTTGAAGGATGGGAGGCATGGACTCTCTCATGCTTTTGGATAAGGTGGGAATATTGGGGGTGGAGGAGATGACTCCCAAGATGGACAGGAGTCTCTAGAGCAGAAAGAGGGCCACACCTGAGCTAGGATGCTCTCGGCATGAGCTGAGCCTGAGCTCTTGTGGAACAACCCCCAACAGCTTCAGTTGAAGTCTGTGGTGAGCCAAGGGCTGTGACAGTGATGCAAATGAGACATTTAGCATTTCTGTCATGGTACAGAAGCCACTTTGCCGAGGGCCCCTTCTGCCAGGGTTCTGGATCAATCCCTGCATCATGGAAGTCCTTCACCAGTGCCTGCCCCCTGTCTAGTGCTGTGTGACCTCAAGGAAGTTATTCAGCACCTTGGGCCTCAGTTGCCTCTTTCGTTCAGTGGTGGTAATAGTCATGCTTCCCTACTGGGTGGCTGTGGGAGTTAAACCATGTAAAAAAGCTGAACGTGGGCTGGTCTGTGGTGACTGCTCTGATGCTGGTCTCAAACACAGTGTGAGGCTCCATGAACAGTGCCACCATTTCCAAACAAGGGCACCGGGGAGGGCTGTGTGGGGAGTGTGACATAAGGCCTTGACTAATGAGTAGGATCTGGTTCCCGTGAGAGGAAGTGGAGGAACACCATGAACACGGGCCTCCTTAGCCTTCTTACTAGAAAAATGGATTGAGCACCTACTGTGTGCCAGCCCTGGGCCAGGTGTGGAGGATTCAGCAGTGAGCAAGTCAGATGCCACCCCTACCTCATGAGCTCACAGGCTGGTGGAGAGGTGGCTCACATGGAGTCTGTGTGGGAAGGAGCAGGCCAAGCCGCTGGCCTGAGCCTGGGCATGTGACCACAGGAGGGAAGGCTGACATGTGGAGGCAGGACCCCCTCACCAGTGGCATTCCTGAGTAGTAGTTTACACAACACCTCTTGGAACAGAGATGCCAATGGCTGCCTGCCCTGAGGTACAGTTCCTGGCTGCCCTCCCACCCCTGGAAGCTGGCCTCTAACTTCACATCACTGCTTCTCTGAAACCTTTCCCCACTGCCTCAGGCAAAGATGTGGCTCCTCCCTGTCCCTGGCTCCAGTTAGGGCAGTGCCCTCTGTCCCCTCCACCCTGACACCCACATGCTTGTGTCTGTGCCGTTAAACATGGAACTTCTCCAGAACAGTAATGTGCCTAGTGCATCCTTAGCTCTCAAGCTGGCAGGGGAAGCTTTCAGTAAATGGATTTTTTTTTTTAAGTTTGCATTTAAAAATGTTTTTAAATTGTGGTAAAATACACATAATATATCATCTACCATCCTAACCACTTGTAAGTGTCCAGTTCAGTAGCACGCAGTTCATTCACGATGTTGTGCTATCGTCACTGAAGTCCATCCCCAGAGCTCTGTCCGTCTTCCCAAACTGAAACTGCACCCGTTCCACACGACTCCCCTTCCACCCACCTCAGCCCTGGGAGACTGCCGCACTCCTGGTCTGTGAATATGACTGACCACTGAGAGATTGCTCGGATGAGTGGAATCATTCACATTTCGTCCTTTTGTTACTGACAGTGATTGACTTTTAAGCAGTAAAGTGTTGCATGTGTGGGCCAGATTACATAGGCCGTAGAAATCCGGGCCCGGAAAAGCCCTTCCTTTTCCCCAAAGGCCCCCAGAAGGCCACCTCAGCCTCATTGCTCCTCTCGGCTCCTCTCAGACTGCGGGGATTTTGCCATCCTTTGAGCACATGAGCACCCTGTCGCTGCCTCTCCCCGGGCACCTTGACTGGCTCTAAGAGTCATGAACAGCATCGGCCAGCATCCCACAGCAGGCTGGGGACGCCCAGAGGACGGGCCCCGCCCTTATGCTCAGCACCTTTGAGCCCAGGCCTGACACCTGGGGTTCTCAGTCGCGTGGGTTGATCGTGCAGCAAGGCAAGCACAAACAGGAGCCAAGTCAGAGTGAGGCCTCATCTGTCGCCAGCCTCCAAAGTTACGCTGTGCTGTACCTCGCCACACCGCTAGACTTCCCCATCGCTGCTCCTCTTCTTCCCTTTCTGACTGCAGCCTCTTTGCACAGTGCCGAGCTCTCTGCAGAGAGCTCCTGCTGTCACAGCTCCAAGGCTACAGAGGGAGGGTTCATGGGAAACTGTCCATGCCAGCGTCCTCTGCCATGGTCCAGTTGCTTAAACCTGTAGGATGGCTGGGGGGTTCTGAGGGGTGAGGTCAGTCTGGGTAACCAGGGAAGCTGAATCTGCTCAGATGCTTGGCCATCCAAGAGGCCCAGAGCTGGCTTTTTCCATGGCTCTAAGACCCACAGCTTTACATCAATTGTTCCCTCTCACTCTAGACTTTGCTCACCTCTGAATGTCGCTTATCTCTGTGCAGAGTAACCCTGGGGCTGGGGCAACGTCTCCCTTGACTCATTATTCTGCTAGTCCCTAGTACATTATTATTTGCTAGCATGAGGCACATTCCATCAGGGCCAATTGAATGCCTGCCTGAATGCTTCTTATTCACAGCATGGTCTGATCAGGCAGCACCCAACACAAGCGTGTACAATGATCAAGCAGGTCAGTGACCCTGTGAAGCGCTCGAGCACATGGTAGGTGGTCAGTGACCCTGTGAAGCCCTCGAGCACATGGTAGGTGGGGTGTGGAGGGTGCCTGACCCTGCTGAAGGCCTTCAGCTGAAAACAGGAGCAGAAAACAAAACATCAGCAACCACTAAGAGTGCTGGTGTTTGAGGCTTTCTATCTCATTTCGGCTCCATTACAGCCTGAGAAGTAGGTATATTATTCTTATTTTATGGTTGAAAACATGGAGGTTTTGCAGGGCTGCATATCCTGCACATAGCAGGAAGCTCATATGAAGCTGAGTGACCTCAGTGTCCCCTCTGAGACATAAAGATCCTAGAGCCATTCTTCCCAGTGCCCTCCTGATAACTAGATCAGTTCTGAGGAGCTGCTGGATGACCGGGCAAGGCCAGTCTGCCCTCTGCAGGCCACCAGCTGTACTCAGAAATGCCCCTTTGAGCCACCTTATCTAATGTCATTGTCTTTTCCCCACAGCCCCTGCACTGGCCGGGAGCAGCTGAAGAGTGCCTGTGTGATTCAGAAGCCAATGCCCTGGGACTCTCTCTCTGGGCCACTTGTTCAGAACATGCATGCAGGTGCGGACCAGGCCACAACCAGGTCTGGGGTAGAGGAAACCCTACACAGGAAGCTTGCTTAGAGTCTTTTACCACCACTTCATTTTGCTTCCCATGCAATGTTTGCAATCTTTTTGTTTTTTGAATTGTTTTTAAACGACACGTGGTTGGAAAGAGACATTTAGCTTTGGCTGGGTATGTGGATCTGAAATGTGTTAACTCCAGCAAAGACAATCCCAGCACTCTTGTCCAGAACGAACAATACCTGCTATGGAGAGCGTGTTCAGAAAAAGGCATCGTTCACTGTAGATATGCTTCTCCATGCAGGCCAGCACACCACCTCCCGGTATTCACCAGAAAACATACACAGAGTAGACGGCAGTCCCTTCTGCCATGCATCCTCCTGGTCAGTTCCCCATTGAATGGAAGGACAAAGAGATCTGACATTCAATGAGCATTAAGCCTGGGGGTTGGATGAGTATATTAGTCCATTTTCATGCTGCTGATAAAAACATACCCAAGACTGGGAAGAAAAAGAGGTTTAATTGGACTAACAGTTCCACATGGCAGGGGAGGCCTCAGAATCATGATGGGAGGCTAAAGGCCCTTTTCAGATGATGGCAGCAAGAGAAAATGAGAGAGAAACAAAAGCAGAAACCCCTGATAAACTCATCAGATCTCATGAGACTTCTTCACGATCACAAGAATAGCACGGGAGAGACCGGCCCCATGATTCAATTACCTCACCCTGGGTCCCTCCCACAATATGTGGGAATTCTGGGAGGTACAATTCAAGTTGAGATTTGGGTGGGGACACAGCCAAACTGTATCAATTGGGAAAACTTCCAGGCAACTCTTTACCAGTAACTATCTGCCAATTTCCGCCAAGGTCCTGGAGGGAGGGAGAGATGCAGAAGGATTGCAGTGGTGCGTCACCATTTGGGGATTTTCCCAAGTACACTGTGACACACACTGAAGTGCCCCACCCCAGGACTCCAGCTCTCTAGGAACAGCTTCAGGGCTCTGTCTGGGGGCTCCTCCATGATCCAAGCCAGGGGAAGACCCCAGGGCACACAGGCTGGGCTTCTGGCACCTCATCACCCCTGGTTATTTGAGGCTTGGGATGAGAAGGCTTTGCTGTCTGAGCTCTGTTTTAGCGTTCATTTTTGTTTTCACTATCAGCAAGTCTTAATACATCTCTGCTCATCCTCTGTCTTGTCCCAAAACCAATGCAGAAAAAAATAGCTACAGTAAGTCATACAGAAAACAAGTACCATAGCCCACCCTCTCCTTGCCCCTGCTCTTTAAGCTGGAACTTGAGCAATGCTGGGTGACACTCCAGAGAGGCTCATGCGAGTGTGTGTTCAGGGGTCGATTCCCAGCACTGCTGGGAGATTAAATGTGAACTACTTTCATTTTCAGGGATGTGTGAATGTGTGTGTCCATGTGTGTGAAATACTGTTCACTCCTTTTGTATTAGCTCCCAAATTATTTGGGGGAAAAGTGTAATGTGGTGCTCTGATTCCACCTCTAGGGTCACAGAATAATAGGAGGAAGAGCTTTACAGCTGAACCAGGCCAAGAAATCGTGCATGTGACACTGAAACGTGACCCACATCGTGGTTTTGGTAAGAGGGCTCTCTGCAGGTGAGGCCCAGTCTGTACTGCTGGGCAAAGTGGGGAGGTGTGTGCTGTCTTCTCTTTCAACTTGTCTACTCCCCACTCCTACCTCTCCTCTCCCAGTTTGCCTTTTCTAGTAATCACTTCGGTTTTTGTTTTTGTTTTTTTAAAATCCTTTTAAGTGTCTCTGAAGAGCAATGAGACTTTTGTTTCAAAGTTTTTCTTTTAGGCCTGATACATTTTTGGGGTGCATCTGAGCACAATGTAGAAAAAGGTTATTTTCCCCAATACCATGTAACAACTTTCCTCTAGTCAGAGATGGAGAGGAAGAGTCAATTTTTCTCACCTCTTACTAGCGACCACCTTCTAAGACCCTAAAACTGTATAAGAAACAAGGTACGGAGACAGGTACTTGATTAAAAGTTATTTCTTTCCTAGGTCTCATTATCTACTGGAGCAAAATCCAGTACATATTGGTGGTTTGTGTTCCCAGCTTTAGCTGTGCTTACTAATGGGGAAAAATCCACTTTTCCCCAAGTATCATGGTAGAGTAGAAAGGATCCTCTATTTGAGGATCAGAAGACCTGGCTGTAACTATCAGCTAATGCTACTTGGTAGCTGTGTGGTATCGGGGAAATAGCCTAACCTCTTTGAACAGCAAAATCACTAAGTATCTTATCATGGACTATCATGTTGGATTACAGGTTTTGTCATTAATGAGGGAGAGTCTTCAGGCCAAGCTGACCCTGGTATTTTTATATCTTCTATTATACCTGGAGGACCAGCAGAAAAAGCGAAAACGATCAAACCGGGTACATCTTCTTTTTAAATCACGAGAGATACTGTTTTAAGAAACCACTCTTTTTTTTATTTCCTCTGAAAGATGATTTGAGATATTTTATTTTTCCAGGAGGGCAGATACTAGCCCTGAATCACATCAGTCTGGAGGGCTTCACATTCAACATGGCTGTTAGGATGATCCAGAATTCCCCTGACAATATAGAGTTAATCATTTCTCAGTCGAAAGGTATGTTTTAACTGCTCTCAGGAGCTGAAGCCCGCCTCTGTTTTCAGAAGTATGTGACTGCTGTGAGGTACTAGACGCTGAAGTCCGTGTAAGTCTTTTGTACTGCTTTCCTCATGGTATTGGTTTGCAAAGAAGCCGTGTAGGGGCACAAATCAGTAAGCTTTGCAATTTCAGGGTCAGAATGGGTGTTGCCATCCATGTCTTTCTGAAAGGTAGTAACCTACTTCAATTCATTGATGGACAGAGCTGAATACGGCCACTTCTTTTTTTCTGTCAACTCTCCTTGCATGGCAGGGAGGATCTTTTTATTGACACCCAAAGTCCTTGTTGAAAGTGGCTGCTCCAGGATTTCTACCGTTTGGGTTTAAGTATAGAAATCAGATGGGGAGGAGACAGGAACTGTTTTTTGTTAAACTGTTATTTTAGGTTCAGGGGCACACATGTAGTTTGTAATTACAGGCAGACTCATGTCACAGGGGTTGATGTAAAGACCATTTCATCACCCAGGTGCTCAGCATAGTGCCCGATAGTTGTTTTTCTCCATCGTCTCCCTCTTCCCACCCTCCTCCCTCAAGTAGACTCCAGTGTCTGTGGTTTCCCTCTTTGTGACCATGGGTTCTCATTATTTAGCTCCCACTTATAAGTGAGAACGTGTGGTATTTGGTTTTCCTTTTTTTTTTTTTTTAATTTGAGATGGAGTCTCACTCTGTCGCCCAGGCTGGAGTGCAGTGGCACGACCTTGACTCTCTGCAGAGTGTACCTCCCAGATTCAAGTGATTCTCCTGACTCAGCATCCTGAGTAGCTGGGATTACAGGTGTGTACCACCACACCCGACTAGTTTTGTATTTTTAGTAGAGACGGGGTTTTTCCATGTTGGTCAGGCTGGTCTTGAACTCCTGACCTCACGTGATCCGCCTGCCTCTGCCTCCCAAGGTGCTGGGATTACAAGTGTGAGCCACCTCACCTGGCCTGTTCTTAAAGCTGACTTTGCATGGCAAGCATGCTGTTATTACTTGATGAGCATGTTCCTGATCAACCTAAGAGCAAAGTATTTTTTTTTTAATTGTACTTTAGATTCTGGGGTATATGTGCAGATCATTCGAGATTGTTGCACAGGTACATTCATGGTAAGGTGGTTTGTTGCCACCATCCCCCCATCACATATATCTGATATTTCTCCCCACATTATCCCTCCCCTCCCCTCCCTCCCACTACCCTTCCATAACCCCCGACAATGGACCTCAGTGTGTGATGCTCCCCTCCCCGTGTCCATGTGTTCTCATTGTTCAACACCGCCTATGAGTGAGAACATGTGGTGTTTGATTTTCTGTTCTTGTGTCAGTTTGCTGAAATTGATGGTTTCCAGGTTCATCCATGTCCCTACAAAGGACAAAAACTCATTGTTTTTTATAGCTGCATAGTATTCCATGGTGTATATGTGCCACATTTTCTTCGTCCAGTCTATCATTGATGGACATTGGGTTGGTTCCAGGTCTTTGCTATTGTAAACAGTGCTGCAATAAACATATGTGTGCATGTGTCTTTATAATAGAACGATTTATAATCCTTTGGATACAAACCCAGTAATGGGATTGCTGGGTCAAATGGAATTTCTATTTCTAGATCCTTGAGGAATCACCACACTGTCTTCCACAATGGTTGAACTAATTTACACTCCCACCAACAGTGTAAAAGTGTTCCTATTTCTCCACATCCTCTCCAGCATCTGTTGTCTCCAGAATTTTTAATAATCACCATTCTAACTGGTGTGAGATGGTGTCTCAATGTGGTTTTGATTTGCATTTCTCTAATGACCAGTGATGATGAGCATTTTTTCATATGTTTGTTGGCTTCATATATGTCTTCTTTTGAAAAGTGTCTGTTCCTATCTTTTGTCCACTTTTGGATGGATTTTTTTTTTCTTGTGAATCTGTTTTAGTTCTTTGTAGATTCTGGATATTAGCCCTTTGTCAGATGGGTAGATTGCAAAAGTTTTTTACCATTCTGTTGGTTGCTGGTTTGCTCTAATGATTGTTTCTTTTGCTGTACAGAAGCTCCGAAGTTTAATTAGGTCCCATTTGTCTATCTTGGCTTTTTTTGCCCTTCCTTTTGGTGTTTTAGTCATGAAGTCCTTGCCTATGCTTGTGTCCTGAATGGTTTTGACTAGGTTTTCTTCTAGGGTTTTTATGGTATTAGGTCTTATGTTTAAGTCCTTAATCCATCTGGAGTTAATTATGTGTAAGGTGTCAGGAAGGGGTCCAGTTTCTGCTTTCTGCACATGGCTAGACAATTTTCCCAACACCATTTATTAAACAGGGAATCCTTCCCCCATTTTTCATTTTTGTCAGGTTTGTCAAAGATCAGATGGTTGTAGATGTGTGGCGTTGCCTCCGAGGCCTCTGTTCTGTTCCATTGGTCTATGTCTCTGTTTTGATACCAGTACCATGCTGTTTTGATTACTGTAGCCTTGTAGTATAGCTTGAAGTCCGGCTACCAGCTTTATTCTTTTTGCTTAGGATTGTCTTGGCTATGCAGGCTCTTTTTTGGTTCCATATGAAGTTTAAAGTGGTTTTTTCCAGTTCTGTGAAGAAGGTTATTGGTAGTTTGATGGGGATAGCATTAAATCTGTAAATTACTTTGGGCAGTGTGGCCGTTTTCACAATATTGATTCTTCTTAATCATGAGCATGGAATGTTTTTCCATCTGTTTGTATCTTATTTCCTTGAGCAGTGGTTTATAGTTCTCCTTGAAGAGGTCCTTTACCTCCTTTGTTAGTTGTATTCCTAGGTATTTTATTCTTCTTATAGCAATTGTGAATGAGAGATTGCTCATGATTTGGCTCTCTGTTTTTCTGTTATTGGTGTATAGGAATGCTTGCGATTTCTGCACATTGATTTTTATCCAGAGACTTTGCTGAAGTTGCTTATCAGCTTAAGGAGAGTTTGGGCTGAGATGATTGGGTCTTCTAAATATACAATCATGTCGTCTATAAATAGAGACAATTTGACTTTCCCCTTTCCTAACTGAATACCCTTTGTTTCTTTTTCTTGCCTGATTACTCTGGCTAAAACTTCCAATACTATGTTGAATAAGAATGGAAAGAGAGGGCATCCTTGTCTAGTGCCAGATTGCAAAGGGAATGCTTCCAGATTTTGCCCATTCAGTATTATATTGGCAGTAGGTTTGTCATAAATAGCTTCTATTATTTTGTGATAGGTTCCATTGATATCTAGTTTATTGAGAGTTTTTAGTGTAAAGGGCTGTCGAATTTCGTCAAAGGCCTTCTCTGCATCTATTGAGATAATCATGTGGTTTTTGTCTTTGATTCTGTTTATGTGGTGAATTATGTTTATAGACTTGCACATGTTGAACCAGCCTTGCATCCCCAGGATGAAGCCTACTTGACCGTGATGGATAAGCTTTTTGATGTGCTGTTGTAATCAGTTTGCCAGTATTTTATTGAAGATTTTTGCATCTATGTTCATCATTATGGAGATTGGCCTAAAGTTTTCTTTTCTTGTTGAGTCTTTGCTGGGTTTTGGTATCAGAATGATGTTGGTCTCATAAAATGAGTTGCAGAGGTTTCCCTCTTTTTGTATTGTTTGGAATAGTTTCAGAATCATTGGTATCAGCTCCTTTTTGTATGCCTGGTAGAATTTGGCTGTGAACCCGTCTGGACCTGGACTTTTTTTGGTTGGTAGGCTGTTAATTGCTGCCTCAACTTCAGCCCTTTCTAAGTCTATTCAGGTTTTCAACTTCTTGCTAGTTTAGTTTTGGTAGGGTACAAATGTCCATGAATTTATCCATTTCTTCCAGATTTACTGGTTTATGTGCATAGAGTTGTTTGTAGTAATCTCTGATGGTAGTTTATATTTCTGTGGGATCGGTGGTGATATCCCCTTTATTTTGTTTTTGTTTTTTTCTTATTTTTTTCATCTATTTGAGTCTTCCCTTTTTTCTTTTTTATTAATCTGGGTAGTGGTCTGTCTATTTTATTGATCTTTTTGAAAAAACAGATGCTGGATTTATTGATTTTTTGAAGGGTTTTTTTGTGTGTGTGTCTTTATCTCCTTCATTTCTGCTCTGATCTTAGTTACTTCTTGTCTTCTGCTAGCTTTTCAGTTTTTTTGATCTTACTCCTCTAGCTCTTTCAATTTTGACAATAAGGTGTCAATTTTCCATCTTTCCTCATTTCTCACATGGGGATTTATTGCTATAAATTTCCTGCTAGACACTGCTTTAAATATGTCCCAGAGGTTGTGGTACATTGTGTCTTCATTCTTGTTGGTTTCAAAGAACATCTTTATTTCTGCCTTCATTTCACTGCTTATCCAGTTGACATTCAGGAGCCAGTTGTTCAGTTTCCATGAAGCTGTGCAGTTCTGAGTTAGTTTCTGAATTCTGAGTTCTAATTTGATTGCTCTGTGGTCTGAGAGACTGTTTGTTAAGATTTCCATTTTTTTGCATTTGCTCAGAAGTGATTTACTTCCAATTATGTGGTCAATTTTAGAGTAAATGCCATGCAGTGCTGAGAAGAATGTATATTCTGTGGATTTGGGGTGGACATTTCTGTAGATGTCTATTAGGTCTGTTTGTTCCAGTTCTGCATTCAAGTCCTGTATATGCTTGTTAATTTTCTTCCTCGTTGATCTGTCTCATGTGGACAGTGGAGTGTTAAAGTCTCCCACTATTATTGTGCAGGAGTTTAAGCCTCTCTGTAGGTCATTAAGAACTTGCCTTAGGTATCTGGGCACTCCTGTATTGGGTGCATATATATTTAGGATAGTTAGCTCTTATTGTTGTATTGATCCTTTCACCATTATGTAGTGTCGTTTGTCTCTTTTGATCTTTGTTGGTTTGAAGTCCATTTTATCAGAGACTAAAATTGCAACCCCTGATTTTTTTTTCTCTCCATTTGCTTGGTAAATCTTCCATCACTTTATTTTGAGTCTATATGTGTCTTTGCATGTGAGATGGGTCTCCTGAATATAGCACACAGATGGGTTTTGACTTTTTACTCAGTTTGCCAGTTTGTGTCTTTTGATTGGGGCATTTAGGCCATTTACATTTAACATTAGTATTGTTATGTGTAAATTTGATCCTGCCATTTTGTTACTGGTTGGTTGTTTTGCCCATTGGTTGACGCAGTTTCCTCATTGTATCATTGGTCTTTACCATTTGGCTCGTTTTTGCAGTGGCTGATACTGGATGTTTTTTTCTGTGTTTAGTATTTCCTTCAGGAGCTCTTGTAGGGCAGGTCTGTTGGCAATGAAATCTCTCAGTAATTGCTAGTCTGTAAAGGATTTTATTTCCCCTTCACTTACAAAGCTTAGTTTGGCTGGATATGAGATTCTGGGTTGAAAGTTCTTTTTTTTAAGGATGTTGAATATTGGTCCCCACTTTCTTCTGGCTTGTAGGGTTTCTGCCAAAAGACCTGCTGTGAGTCTGATGGGCCTTCCTTTGTGAGTAACCCAACCTTTCTCTCTAGCTGCCCTTAGTATTTTTTCCATCATTTCAACCCTGGTGAATCTGATGATTATGTGCCTTGGGGTTGCTCTTCTTGAGGAGTATCTCTGTGGTGTTCTTTGTATTTCTTGTATTTGAACATTGGCCTGTTTTGCCAGGTTGGGGAAGTTCTCCTGGATAATATCCTGAAGAGTGTTTTCCAGCTTGGATTCATTTTCCCCATCCTCTTCAGGTACACTGATCAAGTGTAGATTAGATCTTTTCACATAATCCTGTATTTCTTGGAGGCTTTGTTCATTTATTTTCACTCTTTTTTCTATTTTTTTTTTTTTTTGCCTTCTCTTTTTATTTCATTGAGTTGATCCTCAATCTCTGATATGCTTTCTTCTGCTTGATCAATTTGGCTATTGAAGCTTGTGTATGCTTCACAAAGTTCTCATACTGTGTTTTTCAGCTCCATCAAATCATTTATGTTCTTCTCTAGGCTGGTTATTCTAGTTAGCATTTCATCTTAATATTTTTTCAAGGTTCTTAGTTTCTTTGCATTGGGTTAAAACATGTTCTTTTAGCTCAGAAAAGTTTGTTATTACCTCATCTTTTGAAGCCTGCTTCTGTCTGCTCGTCAAAATCGTTTTCTGACCTGTTTTGTTGTCATGCTGGTGAGTCATTGTGATCTCTCTGGCGGGGGAGAGGAGTTCTGGACTGATGTTTTCATCCTTTTTGCACTGGTTTCTTCCCATCTTCTCTGAGGGGACATCCTTTCTGTTAAAGTTGAAGTTATTTCTCCTGTATGAGGCTTTTTTTTTTTTTTTAACACAGTTGTCAGTGTGCCACTTAAGATAGTCTGCCCATTGTCTGCCTGTGGAGGCACTGCTGGGCTGCCTCATTCTCAGCCAGTCTGCTGTTTATTCTTTGTCTGGTTTCCGTGCTGGTGGGGTTAGCCCCACCTTTTCAATGGCGGGCTCTTCCCTCTGCTGAGCCTGCTGTTCCCGGGTAGAGGATGTGTTAACTGTAAAACTCTCCTGGGAGAGGGACTCCAGTTGCTGGATCTTGTGGGCAGAGGGGCCTGTCTTGTTGTATCCCCCTCCCTGCTTTCAATTCTCCCTTCTGTGGGATGGGCAGTTCCTTTTCACAAGCTTTCTTGGTATTAGTCCAAATCTCTGCCCTGGTCTGTGCTAACAAGGCACCAGTCTGGCTGGGGCTGCTGGCCTGGGCTGTCACCCAGGTCTGTGACTCCGGGTGGTTCTCAGCAAGGCAACATTTTCCTGGTCTGGATACTGCCGAAGTCTTGGAGTGAATTGCTGTATCTGATTCCGAGAACCGAGGAGGTGATGCCCTCCAGATTGTCCGTGCCTGATACACTTTCCAGGTGGGGCAGTGCCCTGCCTTGCTTCGGCTGGACGCCTTTGGGCTGCTTTTGCTGCCTTTTTTGGGGGTTAATCCAGCTGTTTTTCTGTATTAAAACCAGTCCCTTTAAAACAAAACCAGTACCTACCTCAGAGATGCAGATATCGCTCTGGTTCTGTCTTACTCAGTGGTAGCTGCACTCCGGATAAGTTTCCTCTTGGCCATCTTTCCCCGGAGTAAAGCATTTTTTAACTGATGCTTTTCTTCATCCTTTGGATAAGAATGAGAGAGCAACAACTGCCTATATCAAAGGATAATATTGTTATTTTTGTTGGGAGCAAGTTTGAGGGGCTTGGAGGAAGTAATGGGGGAGGCTCACATCCCTTTTCCCTAGTTTCCTGGGACCACTGCTGCTTTTTGGTTGAGTAGTCCTGTAAATTAACAGCAGATGTCCTGCAAATTCAGGCTCACGATTGCTTCCTCACCCTCCAGGGGTATTGCACAGTTTCCCCTTATCTATAGCAGGACTTCCCGTCATACCAGCCAGCGTTTTCTAGGTCCTAAATGCAGACACTACATTTGCCTTGCCTTCTGAACACCATGCACACTCTCTTACTCCTGTACATGTATACAATGCCACGCAGCTCCCATGTCCAGAAACCATGGAAGGCAGGAGGTGGCCATGCTGGGGTTTCAGCCACACACCTTTTATCCCATGATTGGAGCCTTCCCAGGGGCTGGTCTTAGCACATCCCCGGTGCCAGTCTCTGGCTTGCTGTCTCTGTCAGATTTCCCAGCGCCACTGCTCTCCTTTCTGTGGTGGTTCAGTAATCCCTGTGTTTTCTTCCATACCCTCTGCTGACGGGAGCAGTCAAACCCTCCCATGTATTGTCAGGAAACACAATGCAGGTGACTGAATCACAATTTGGCATAGTCCAAGGATGGCCTGCTGTGATGGGGGTTGTCAAAAAGTGGCACTCGAGGTCTGCTATTCTCAAACTACAACCTCACATTAGAATTCCAGACAATGGGTTTCCCACAATGGCTGGGAATAAAATGTCCTTTCCCTGTGGGACCCCAGCCATCTGTTGGCAATGCTGCATTCATCATGGTGGGGTTTCCTCATGCAGCTGGCCACTGTCGGAGGAAGACATCTCCATGGTGATGCTGGCTGGGTCTTTGTGGCAGAGACTTGACTACCATGACTTTCTTCTCTTTTGGTGGGTTGCTGTTAAGGCAGCTGAGCTAGATTGGAGGTCAGGATTGGACAGATAAAATGCTCATCATGAGCATCTGTCATGGTCTGCAATATAAACTGAGTTTTAGTTACCTAAAGAAGGTCTCACGGCTCATATGTCTACTAGGCAGTACACCAGTTGCAGCATGACTTGACTTTTCAATTCGATCATAAGTCCCATCCTCGCCTCTCATGGAGGATGTGGAAGAGAATGAGCCGATGCTAATGATACTGCCAGAAGGACAATGATGGCAGAATATGTGAATGAAATGGCCAGAAATATAGCATTACGAAACAGTGGCCCTGCCACTCCCTGCTGGATACCTTAGATTTGAAGAACTTCAAATCAAATTCATTAAATCAAATTTATTCAAATTGAATTCATTCAGCATGTGAGTTTGGGCATTCCCCTGAGTGGTAATGAGTGTATCAAAAGTAGCAAATCTACTTGTATCCGGGTCTAAAGAAAATCTGACTGTTATGCATTCCTCCCATATATAATTGTTGAGCAGCTAATAATAACATGTTAACAGTAGATGCATTTATTGAGGGTCTGCCATGTACTAAGCTGTGCGTATGTGTGTGTGTGTGTGTGTGTGCCATATATATATATATATATATATATATATATATATATATATGAGGGAATATATATTCTCTCATATATACATGTATATTTTTATCTTTCCTTTCATATGTAAAATATTTTCTCTATATATAATCCCTAAGCCTCATCAATTCTACAATATTATTGATATTATCTCTGCTTTAGATACAGGAAAATTGAGGTTGAGGTATGTTAAGTACCTTGCCCAAAGTTTTTCTATTGATTCACAACCTCACGTTCTTTTCTTTGTCCTATGCCAGTGTCCCAGCCTTCGCTCACAGGAATCTGCAGTCTGGTTATTACCAAGCCTCCCAAAAGGACCTGATATGTTGGTTTTTGCATCACATGGTGATTGCAGATGTGCTCAGTGAGATCTCCAGGAGAGGCTGTGTTTAAGATACTGCCCACATGCTGGCTGTAGGATTTGGGGCAAGATACTTAATCGTTTTGACTCTTGTTTTCTCATGTTTGAACTGGATTACACCTTCCTGGTGGGTCTGCTGAGAAGGTGGAAAGATGTTTATATCTTCCTATGTGTATGTACATCTAAGGTGTCCATCACATGGCCAGAATTTAATAAGGGAAAGCTGGCATTATGAACTTGTTTTGAGCCTGTGCATTCATAGTTGGGTCACTTAAGCTCTATCTAGGTTTCTAAGTCACATATAGAATCTTCCCTTTCTCTAATCTAAATGCAACATCTTTCAGGAGGAGCTACATTCACATTTTTCCTGAGCAGCTATAAAAGACCTATTGGTCACTGGAGGAAAACTCTGTGCCCACATAGGGATGCCACCTAGAAGCCAGCCATTTATAGCTGTTGACTTTTTCTTGGCCTGTTTTTATAGGTGTTTGCGGAAATACCCCAAATGAAGAAAAGAATAGCACGGCCAATTCTGGGGTCTCCTCTACAGACATCCTGAGCTTCGGGTACCAGGGAAGTTTGTTGTCACACACAGAAGACCAGGACAGGAATATTGAAGACCTAGACATGGCTGGGGTGCGGAGCTTAGTGCCCAGGTTGAGACATCAGCTCTCCTTTCTGCCATTAAAGGTAATCATTCTTGGGTCACTTTCTAGATCTGGAAGAAAGAAAACAGGCTGTGGAGCCCAACAGCCTGGGCACCAGGCCCTCCCTGCTCACTGTTTGCCATGTCAGGTGGCTGGAAGTTACTTGGACCCTTTGAGCCACAGCTTCGTCATCTCCAAGTGGAAGCAAATGCCTGCATGGCATGGTTGTTGAGAAAAATGTACAGGAGAAGGCAGAGTTCCCAGGACAGTGCCTGGGTGCAGGCTCTGTGTGGGTGCCTATGGAGTCTTTAGTCATTAATTATAATTGTTATGCTAATAGCAACATGAGGAAGTTGATTGCTGCCAATGGCAAGGCATGGGCAATCAGGCATCTCCTATTCTTGTCCTTGAATTGGTCTTCAAACTGGAAACTCAGTGGCTTTGCTCTTGACCATACCCCGTGGAGGAAGAGGATGGGACCTGGTGTAGGTGTATGGAGGGCTGTGTGTTCCAGTCCCAGCTCTGCCATCCTTTGCCATCTCTTTGGACTCTGGGTGGCGTTGTCTCCCTAGGCCCCTCCAAAGCCATGCCCAGCCTCTCCATTCCGCTCTGGGCCCTGCACAGCTGGTGCTCATGGACTGAGTCAGCTCCTGTGTTCTGCTTTGTTCTGTCCAGGAGAAGCCTTGAGAGGAGCCTGCAGTGGTGGATGAGTGAGGGCAGGGCGGCAGTGCTGGGGTCACAGTGGCATACCCTTCATTCCACTCTCCCTGTGCTGACACAGATTGGATGTGTCCCTCTACGAAGAGCACAGCTCCTATCAGGGTCCATCAACCACTCCCTTCTCTCGCCCCTCAGGCTCAGGGGTGGTCACAGCGCCCGGTGTCTCCAGCCCCAGGTGCCGAGCTGTTATTAATGGTTTCTCCAAAGGCTGCCAAGACCTTTGAAAACAGGTCTTCCATGACCTCTCCTCTGTTACTCAGGCTGAGTGTATGCCCTTCTCATTCTCACTGGGACAACTTGCTGGTTGAAACAGGCAGGTTATTGCACCTCTTTTAACCTCATTTCTCTTTTTATGACAGAGGTCATGATGCCTGTCCTCAGTCATGGAAACTAAGGTGCTGTGCCCAGTGTTGGGGAGGAAACATTCCTTTTTCTTCTACTCATCTTAGCTTCATCAGCTGAGGCCCCATAGCAGAAGACAGATTAATGAGAGAGGAAAGCACGCACATGTATTTACTGTAAGTTTTAGGTGACATGTGAGCCTTCATATGGAAATGAAGATCTGAAGAAACGGGTCTCCCTGAGTATGTTTTGTAAGTGGGCTTGATGAAGAATGGAGAGTCATGGAGAAATGAGATAAGACAAAAAGCAGGATTATGTAAGCTGGGGGGAACTCATCGAGGCCTGCTTGTTCATATTCCTCTCTGAGTCCTTGTGTCTTCCCAGATAAGATGCTCCATTTTTCTGGATATAGGGAGGGTGTTCTCACTTGAGGGTCTTATGCCCTGCTTCAAGGGAAGGTTAGAAAACCTTTCCTAGGTTTTAGATCCTGCTTCAAAGGAGAAGGGTAGGGGAAGGTCGGAGAAACCTTCCTGCACACGCTGTTTCTCCAATTCCTTCAATGTGCCAAGGTGCCCTATTTTGAGGTAGTGTGTCTTGACCCCTATCACAAGGATCTGGCATGCAATAGATCACCATGAGTGTCAGCACCTTCCTATTTGGCCATGGTGCTCACCTGAACAGCACATCCCATGAAGAATTGGTTGCAGGAGGTCAGTGGAAGAACAATGATAGTAGCTGCCATTAATTGAGTGCTTATCTGTGTGCCACGTCGTGTCCTGAGCACTTTATGTGTGTTAGCTCATGGAAGCTCCATGGTAACCCAGTGAGATCATTCTTATTATCAACCCCTTTTATAGGTGGGAGACCTGAGGCACAGAGAGCAAAGTAGCACACCCAAGCTCTCTTAGGGAGCAGGTGACAGAGCCGAGACTGGAATCCAAGGGACTGGTCTCCAGAACTGTAACCTTCACCCCAGACCTTCCTCTGGGAGGCCCTCTGTGGCAGAAAGCAGGTCAGAGAGGCCTTCAGGCTGGGGCTTCTTTGGTGGCAAACCTGCGAGTTGGTTTCCTAGGCTGGGAGCAGTTGAGGGGAGCAAGGGGGCTCTAAGGCCATGCTGACCATGGTGCAGGTTGTAGGACCCAAACCAGACAGTGTAGGCTCTTCTGGGTCACATGGCCAGCTTTGTGGCCAGATGACCCTGTGCGGCATGGTGGAGTTTACATTCTTACTTCAGATCTCACCGTCAGCTGTTGTTTTGCTCTTGAATTTTAAAACTTAGACAAAATATCTTGCGGTCCATGGGGTACAGAAGGTCTCTGAAAGAATCGAGGCTTCATTGTTCAGCTTCCTCCAGCTTGTTTACTTTCCTGTATGTTACTAGGATTTTCTGATGTGCATGGTGATTAGAAAGCACTAACTAAAGGGAGCAGATGGGACAAAAGATCCCATCTTCCAGGCCTAGGGACAGCGGAACATGAACAGTGACTCAAGTCTTCTCTGCCTAGAAATGGTGTCAGCCCAGTCCAGCACTCCCTCATCTTCCTCTTGAGGTCACATGGAGAAGTCCTGATAAAGTTGGAAATGAATCACCTGCTGGTCTAGTCCAAAGCTCAAGCTCTTTCTGAAGTGCAATGCTGCCTATTCCTGAGAGCAGGTGAGAGCTAAGAGGTGCCATCTGCCTTTATCTCTTCTTTATTTTTGTTTGTTTATGGCAGGGTCCTGGTTCTTCGTTTCCTCTGTCACCTCCAGAAATCAGTGCTGGTGAAATCTACTTTGTGGAACTGGTTAAAGAAGATGGAACACTTGGATTCAGCGTGACTGTAAGAGTTTTTAGGACAGCTTGAAAAGCAGTTAATAAGATGTCCCTCCAGAGCCTGGGTGGACATTTCACTCAAATGGCAACCTCTGAGAGTGTGCCCAGCAAAGTGTGCACGAGTGCAAGGGGTGAATAAAGAAGGTCAGAGGGGGCCTGCAGTGGGGGATGAGTTCAGAGACAAACAGAGTGAGTAACCTCGGGCTGGGCAGGGCATGCACTAGGGAACTCCAACCACATGGGGATGCAGTGTGGGCAGAGTTGGGCGATGTGTCCTGCCTCTGAGGTCAAGCTGGACTGCAGAGAGAGGGAAGCAGAGTAGGACTTCACGGACACAAGCTAAAGGGGAGAGGGATAGTCCACTGTCATCTGGCCAAGGATGGTTGGGGCAGTCCACTGTCATCCAGCACAGAATCAGTGTAGAGCCTTTTGCTCAGACCTCCCTGGGCCAGACCTCCATCAGGACTGGCACTTTGCATTTGGTTTCTGAGTTTTACCTGGTAGACCCTTGTGGAGGGAGATCACCTATGTAACTGTGATTACCCAAGAAGTTGGTGAATGGCACACACAAAGCTGGTGAAAATCCAGTCGGAGATTGAAAGGTGTTGCTTTTATTACTGAGCATTGAAAGTGATCCATTCCCTTGAGACCCTGGAATGGGTCTAGATATCAGAAATGTCACTGTCGGATTTAATCGTTGATGAGAAATAGAATGGCACCTCCCATCAAAGTAAGGAAATGCTATGGCTGAGTAAAATTTCCACAGGAGATTCAAGACATATGTGGATGGAGGGCATCCTTTGCTTTCCCCTGGGATAATGCTGTGCACTTAGAGTAAGGATATATGTTTCGTTGGACCCTAAGCTTGCAATGGAACTTGTCATCAGTAGATGATGTTAAGGGACCAAGTAAGAAACTAAGCAGTAAGGCTCATGAATCCACGTAGAGTGAACAGGCTGATACCAAATATGGTCAATTTATTCTTGTCTTGGGGTAACAGCCTTATCAGTCACCGAATATAGCTATTTCTCATCCAAAAAGTCACTAAGTTTTGGGTTATCCACAAATATATATTTGCTGAGAAGAGGTTGGTGGTTTCCTGTGGCTGGCAAAAAACTTGGATTTTCTTTGCAGATATTTAATTTCAAAAATAATTTCTGAAATGCCTCACTCAAGTCCAAATGGCCATTAAACACATGAAAAGAACTCAAACCCAGGAAAAGCCACAGGGAATACAAATTAAATTAAAATGAAATTTTAAACTTCATATCCACCAGCTTGACCAGATATAACTGGTGGAACGTAGAAAAATGGTAACTGTCGTACAAAGCTGGTACACATGTGAGTGAGTATGTCCATATTCACTTAGGAATGCAGTCTGGCAACACTTATTATAATGAAAAATGCACATATCCTTTGGCCCATCAAAGCACACGAGACGTGCCAGGCACAGGCATTCAGGCCCGGAGCCGTATCCATCTACGTTGGTCGCTACCTATAGAGAGATGGTGCTGCATCCCATGTGACCAGTGGCTGAGCATCTGGCGTGTATCAGTGCTTGCGCTGCGGACATGCCCAGATCTCTCACATAGCTTCTGTTGTTAAGCTTATGGACACCTAATCTTATTGCTCTGTGGCGAATACAATCTAAACAAACAAATGAATACAGAAGACAGTGCCAGTTGGAGGTGAGGTCATGGAATAGAGTGGTGGGCAGGTGGGGACTCCCTTAGCTGGGGAGGTTGGGTAGGCTTCGGGAGGAGGACAGATGGGTGGTGAGTTTTCCATTGTGTTTTTCAGGGTGGCATTAACACCAGTGTGCCCTATGGTGGTATATATGTGAAATCCATTGTTCCTGGAGGACCAGCTGCCAAGGAAGGGCAGATCCTGCAGGGTGAGAGATGGGGTCGCATTGGGAGCTCTGGGCTCTGTGGCGAAAAGAGCCCTGGACTGGGAGGGGCAGCCTCCAGGCCTTGCCCTGCTCCCTTTCTGAAAACTCGTGCAAACGATTGCCTCTCCAGGTCATGCTTTCCTCACCTGAAAAGGGGGTGATAGAACTTGCCCCACCTGTTTGAGAGGTTGGAGGGTCTGCAGCGGCACACTGGGAAGCATCGGTGATAAAAAAAAAATCGTAGAAACCTGAAAAGACTTGTATTGTTCCTTGGCCTTCATAGGCGAACACACTGCTTCCCTTGGAAGACAAGTGGGCCTCGGTAACCCTACTCTCACCTCTGGGGAGGACACCTGAGCCTTCTCTCTGCCCTTGCTCAGCTCCCACTGCCCTGATGGAAGGGGATGATTTTTATTGGTCTCCAAAACTGCCGGAATTGAGCCAAAAGGAGAACCTAGGACCTTACTTACCGCCGTCTCTTCTGGAATTCCGGTGTCCCCAGCATCAACCATGCCTCCCTGACCTTTTTTGAAATAAAAAAAAAAAAATTACATCCTGGAGATATAAATATCTAAGCGACTTGAAAATACTTTCAAAAACGGTTTCACAGGAAAACAGGAGGATGGATAAGGTTGAACAGAGCTGGCTCAACCATTCTGTGAGCCAATAATAGAAAGGCTTTTATATCCCTGATCTGTGATGTGCCTGGGAAGGAGGGAGCGAGGCTGTGCAGAGAGGCAGGATTCCTGCTGACTCCAGGGGGATGCCTGGCACCTCTGCTTCCTGTCCCGCTTCTCCAGGCTGCATGGAGGGCCACCACACAGGTGGCCTCACGGAAGGGAACTTCTGCAGCCCCAGGTGCCAGGTCATGACATCACATCCATCCCTTTTCCAGGTGACCGGCTCCTGCAGGTGGATGGAGTGAGTCTGTGCGGCCTCACTCACAAGCAGGCTGTGCAGTGCCTGAAGGGGCCTGGGCAGGTGAGTGGACCATTACTGATCAGCTTCCCTTCCTTCTGGAACTTTCCTGGACAACATCAGAAGCTGAAATTACCTCTGGGTGGGAGGGAGGGAGGCAGGCAGGAAACAAGACTTTTTCTTTGTTAGTTTTTTTTTCTCTTCTATTTCTTCTGCTTACTCTCACTTTTTTTCTCTTCTATTTCTTCTTACTCTCACTTTTCTATAGGGATGTGAAAGCCAGGAGGTAGCAGACAGATGTTTCCAAGTAAACAAAACTCACCCCCTGTAGACAGCCTTAGAAACTTACTGGTGGCTTGCCTGGATTCTGAGAATCAGACAGAGGAACAGAGAAGATGGAGTGAAGCGACTGCTCCAGCCTGGCTCTGTCTGCCCCAGCCCCGCTAGCCCTGTGTCCATGGGCTTTTGGGCCTTCTTACCTCCCTACCTTTGCTAGGATTACCCCACTCTGCTCCCTGTTCATGCCATTCCCCCTCGCCCTGTGTGGTACCCACCAGGGCCTGGGTCAGAGTACCTTGGAATTCTTTTCCTCACAATGAGGTAGGAAATTCAGGATGCCAAGAGCAGAGCCATTCAGCCTTTGTGTCCCCTTTATTCCCTGCCCCACAGTAACTCAATGTTACCCTACTGTGCCAAGTCCTCTGCCTGAGGGTGGGAGCTTCTAACTGCCCTAGTATTCTGGGCCACAGAGCTGACATCGTCTTCTCTTGGCAACTAAAGAGTCAACAGAGACAGGAAGGATTCCCGAGGGACCTTCCAGCAAGCTGTGGGGCAGTGTTCTGGCCACTTTTTACTTTCTTTTTGCAGTTTTCTGGTGTCTGGTGATATTTGCTTATCTTAGTGACTTTGGTTGACCTATCTTGAGAACAGAGCCATAATTTATTGGCAGGGGTGCAGGCAGGGTCCAGTGAGCCAAGGTAACTGGAACTTGCCACAGCCCAGCAGGACACTGGCAGTGATAGAGGGGGTAGTGGAGGGGTGGGGAGGTTACTGGGGAGTTGTTCCTGATGGGGAATGTTCACATCTTAGAAACTGATCAGGGAGAGCTGGACCACTCAAAGTGTGGCCCCTGGCAGGTTAATGGAGGGGGTGTTCCCTGTTCTGAGGGAGCCAACGCGAGAGGAGGAGTGTTTTAAGAAGAAGGAGGAGGGGAAGCAAGGGTGAGTGAGGGAGGAAGACGAGTGAGGCACTGTGTATGTGAAGTGCAGGTACCTGTGTGCTTCCAGGTGCACTTGTCTAATAAGCACTGAGAAATCTGGGTCTTCATCCCAATGCATAGGCTAGTAGAGAGATTCCAAAGAGGCTGCTTATAGGAAACATCCGATAATTAAGAACATTTGCAGAGTCAAGGGAGTGCCTCCTGGTTGCCATATGAAGTGTAACCTGAGTTTGTCCACCCTTCCTTCTAGGTTGCAAGACTGGTCTTAGAGAGAAGAGGCCCCAGGACTACACAGCAGTGTCCTTCTGCTAATGACAGCATGGGAGATGAACACATGGCTGTTTCCTTGGTAACAGCCTTGCCTGGCAGACCTTCGAGCTGTGTCTCGGTGACAGATGGTGAGAGGAGAGAGAATTGAGTGTTACTATTGTCATGTTATTGTGTGCCACTTTTGAATTGTCGGGTCAAAGGGAAAGGCAGGAAGGCTTCCTCTGGGTTCTGAAAGGAAAGCGAGCCGTGGGGATCATGCTGGGATCGGCTTTCTCATGGAAGCCCATCTCATGGAATAGGTTTCTGGAAACAAATACATTTTCCCAAAATGATTTCTAGGCATCGTTTTGCCGCCAGCTTTCCTCAGTCCTCTGATCAGCTGCCAGAATGTTAATGTTTGTGTGAGTATTTAGGGTCATACATTTTCAGATATATTTGGCTTCACAGTCTAGCCTAGTCATTTGTAATAAGGTTATCTGAGGAATGACTAGGCAGGTTGAGAGAGGAAAGTTCAGGAATCTAGCCTTGTTATTAGCATCATTTTAAAAAACAAATGCACAGTCAGTTTAGAGGGATGTAACTGCATGTTTTCTGATGGGTTGCCCCTCTGCACTTCCCTTGTGATTTTGGTATTTTCCAGGAACACATTTACCTCCTCAGTAAGAATGATGTGGACCTTAGCCATGTTTTAGTTCCTTCATAGAGATTTTCTGGTTTTGCTGCAGAAGATGCAAAGCAGATTGAATGCAAGGCAGCCATAGGGTTGGGGTGGGGCAAAGGGGGAACACTTCTGCTTAAATGAAATCTCCTCTGTCCTTACCTCTTTGCTCACTCCCATGGGGCCTTTGAGAAGCTGACTCCAATGAGTGGAGGAGGCCTTATGGCGATGGTGGAACTGGTCATGCAACACACCTTCATGTAACTGCTTCACAGGCTTCCACTCTTGCCCTGGTGAAAGTTTGCAAGTCTGTGCTCTGTCCCTCTGTGCATTGATGCCAGCCGGGTTGCTGGTATCGCAGAGGCAGCCCAGAGGCCTCTTTGGTGGACAGACCATGTATGTGGCCAGGTATGTTCATCCTTGGTGCCCAGAGGCAACTGTTTTGTCTTATGGTCAGTCTACATGGGTAAATAAAATGGCAGCTAAAGCATTGTCCATAGAGTTGGCCATAATTTTCTCCATGGTCTAATTAGGCAAAATTTAGTTTCAAGCATGTTACAAAATGACTAGGGTTCTAAAGGAGTAATAGGAATATATGTGATACAAGATTTAACTAAATGCCAAGAACATGTTGTATATGCCGATCAACTGTGTCTTTATGTGTGAAGATAGTTGAGCTGTCTGTAATTGTGCTCTTCAGTATGGTAGCCACTTGCCACATGAGGCTATTGAGGACTTGAAATGTGACCAGTCTAAATGGATAAAATACATATTGGATTTTGAAGACTTAGTTTGTAAGAATAAAAAATCTCATTAATATTTTTTTTTTCATATTGATGACATGTTGAACTAGTCATATTTTAGATATATGGGGTTAAATAAGATTCTAGTGTATTTAATATGTTTCCTTTTACTTTTTAAACTGTTTTATTTTTTTTTAAATTTGTTGATTTATTTTAATGTAGCTATTTGAAAACTTCAAAATGGCATTTGTGGTTTGTATTTATAACTCACATAATATTTTATTGGACAGCACTAATCTGTAATATACTTAATGTACTCTGTCATAAAATTAGCAAAAGAATTATTTTAATGTAAAAGAAACAATCCATCTACTTGATGATTTGCATTTTGAGGCTGGTCAATTTCAGTTGTAATCTACTGAGGAATTTGTTTTTATCAACATCCCACACTACAGGTCCTAAGTTTGAAGTCACACTAAAAAAGAATGCCAATGGTTTGGGATTCAGTTTCGTGCACCTGGAGAAAGAGAGCTGCAGACACCTCAAGAGTGATCTTGTGAGGATCAAGAGGCTATTTCCAGGGCAGCCAGCTGAGGAGAATGGGGCCATCGCAGCTGGTGACATTATCCTGGCCGTGAATGGAAGGCCCACGGAAGGCCTTGTCTTCCAGGTGCTGGGGACACGGGCTCTGTGTGCAGGCTGGCCCCAGCTGTGCCTCTTGCTGGCCTGCTGCCGTAGGGAAAACTCTGGGCTCTCAAAAATCACACCAGCAGCCTGGATTTTAATCACATAAAGAGTAATTCGTGGTACCTTCTCACATCTAATTTAAAATCTCTGTTTTTAAACATCTGACCTTGAGTCAGCCCTGCTTCTCACTGGGTTCAGGAGTGAAGCTGAAGATAAAGCCCTGGCCTTTGTGCAGGCTGGCGCCTCTTCACACACATCCTGGGAGGTGGGCGTGGGGCTGAAGGGACTGGAGTGGGTCCCTTTCTGCTCTGCTAACCATTTCTCTACTAAATTTACAGCTTTTGATACATTATTACACTGATTGTCCTGCCTATGATCCAAAATGTAATTTCAGAAAAAGAGAGAGTAATGAAATATTGTATATATTAGACAGAGTCCTGGAAGAAAATGGAGTCACGTGAGGAACATTTCATAAAGGTGTGGGCAGGTTGTTAGGAAGCTCAAGGGAGCATGCTGTGGCCTGGGGCTGGGCAGGGTGGAATGCAGTTACCCTGCCCTGAGGCCAAAGGGGATGAGAAAGAGCAGTTTTCCCACCCTAGGAATGGAGAGCCGGTGGTGGGGGGGCACTTGCTAGCATAAGCTCTCGCTTTGGCTGAGGTTGTAGTCACCCCATGGCAATCTGAAGGGAGGAACCCTGGAAGCCGCAATGACCTCTGCACCTCCCTGTCTCTAGTCTGCCGCCATATTCCCCTAGCCGAGCCCAACAGGAAGCTTCATGTGGCCCTCATAGGTCAGCTCCAGAAACACAAAGCAAGATGGACAAAGCAGGACAGTGGCACTGGGCAGGGCAGGGGAGGGGTTTCTAGAACAGTGTATGCTTGGGTTGGAGGGCATGCCTTCATCCGTCCATCTCCTGATCCAAGAACACTTCTCTGAGAACCACTGCTGGGCTGGCAACTGTATGAGAGACTGAAGACAGAGAGGAGGATAGCTCATGCAGTCTCAGAGCTCAGGGACAGAACACACCAGTGATAGCGGGAGATACGCATCCTGTGAGTTGAAAGCCCATGCTGCAGTGCTCACACTAGTGAGCCAGGAAAGAAGTGCATCCCTTGGATGTCAAAGATCGGGGAGTGTCTGGATCAGTAGTTCTCAAGCGGGGATCACTTCCCTCTCAGGGGACATTTGATTAAGACCAGAGACATTTGTGACTGTCACAACTGATGAGTGCTCCTGGAATCTAGTGAGTAGAGAACAGAGATGCTGCTAAACACCCTGCGATGCACAGGACAGGCATTCCAACAAGGAATTTTCCAGCCTGAAAGGTCAACAGTGCCAAGAGTTTGAGAAATCCTGGTCTAAATAGGAAATAGAAGCTATCAAGGCAAACATGAACCCTGGACATCGAGAGGGTGGCTTGGAGCAACATGTTCAGCATGATGGGGGCTTGGGACACAGGTGCAGAGGGGAGTAGATGGGAGAGAGGGAGCTGAGGTGAGAGACAGTGGCAGGCAGAAACGGGATCTGTGTCCTATGCCTTGGAGCTTACATTGAGGGCAAAGCAATTCAGCCAGGGTGTGCAGCAGGGGAAGGACTCAGTTATATCCACATTGTGGAAAACTATCCTTAAGCACTGTGGAGGGAGGCAGGTGAGTGACATTGGTGAAGGCAGGGAGCAGAGAGGTTACTGCAATATCACAGGTGAGAGGTTCCCAGAACCCAAGTGGCACAAAGGTGATACACAGCCCAACATCTTCCATCTTCTTTGTGGAAGCTGCAGGCCACTGATCCTGGTTCCTTGTACTTTGAAAAGTTAGGCCCACAGCGGTGTCCTCGGAGTTCTCTAGAGTGAGAAATGGATCAAGGTGCAGGGGGAGAAGCCAGCGCCTGGGACACAGGAGGGAGAACATCGCTGCATCCCAGTGATGCAGGCCCAGATCTAACAGTGGATCTTGGTTTCTCATAGGAGGTGCTGCATTTACTGAGAGGGGCCCCACAGGAAGTCACGCTCCTCCTTTGCCGACCCCCTCCAGGTGCGCTGCCTGAGACGGAGCAGGAGTGGCAGGTAGGCTGTAGTGTCTTCCATTCTCTCTCCCTGGCTCCGGTTGAGCTCCCCTTTTCCTGACTCTAGGGTCCTAAGAGGGTTGTAGGTAGGTTCAGTGCCACCTCCTTTCACAGGGGCAGGAAAATAGTTGGCTCCCGAACCTCAGTAGGTCTCCTTCCTCTCCCTCATTCTGCCCCTCCCAACATTTGGGTTTTACTGTAGATGTTTACATGTTTAGACTTTGGCTGTGAAACTTTTAGGGCCAGGCTCTCTGAAAGCCCAGGCATCAGAGAGGCGGGCCCGGGAGGAAGGAGGGTAGACAAGAAACAGACCAAGGGAATTTCCAATAAGAATTTCCATTCTGGGAGACGAAGTGGAAAATAGGATGTATGATTACCCTCCTAAGCATGAAATAGGCATGTGCGCTCTAGTGCAAAGAAGAGAGGCATTGGAATCAGGAAAACAGGGAGTTTTACCTTAACGTCTGTATTAGTCAGGTTCCCAGAGAAATAAAACAGCTAGAATGAGTGTGTGTGAGTGTGTGTGTTTACATATGAAGAGACAGAGAGAGAGAAAGAGATTTCTTACAAGGATTTGGCTCATGTGATTATGAGGGCTGGCCAGTCCAAATTCTATAGGGCATGCCAGGAGGTTGGAGACCCAGGGAAGAATTAATAGAGAAGATCAAGCCCAAAGGTGATCTGGAAGCAGGACTCCCTCCTCCTCGGGGAGCTCAGTCTTTACTCTTAAGGCCTTCAGCTGACAGCATGGGGCCACCCCATTATGAAAGACAAGCTGTTTCACTCAAAGTTTGCTGATTTAAATAAACCACATCTAAAAAGAACACCTTCACAGTAACATCTAGATGGTGTGTGACTGCTTATCTGGGTAATGGCCTAGCCAAGTGACAGATACAATTACCCATTGCCATGCCTTCTTTGGAGTCTCTAGGAAACAGATTTTGCGGCAGTGATGTGAATGCAGGAGGTTTTATGAGGTCTGAACTTGAGAACATCCCCTGTGAGGGTGACGGAAGTAGGGCGGGGTAGAAGGAGAGATCAGTATGCAGGTATAACCAGAGCCTCAGCTGATCCTGGAGAGCCCTGAAGCAGAGATGGCCCCTTGGAGTTGCCCTGAATTGGGGCAAGAGAACCAGTGCCTTTGCGTATTGTCTTAACCAGCTCTGGGGTGTGGGCTGCCCCAAGGGAGGGGAGATGAGGTGGTGGGGTGAGAGTCTCAGTCCTAGAGGGCATCTGGCAGGTACCTGGATCACCTGTATCTGCTGTGCTGCGTGGGCCTAGGGCAGTTCCCTATCCTCTCTAGGCCTCATGATTCCTCATCTCTAGGATGTGGATAAAAATGATCACTTAATTGACTGAGGGTGACAGCATCACTAGGGACAATATAAAGGACTTGATGGCCCGGATCTTGTTGATGCTTAGACACCAAGACATCATTTGACACAGCCTCTAGGGAGAGAAGAGCTATGGGAAACATATCTGAAAGTTCTAGTTTGGAAAAGAAGGTAGATGACAGCATTGTGTTAAGAAACTGAATCACGTGAGAGAGGACCAAATTTCACACACAGAAATTCAGGCCAAGGTGCTGGGACCCTGTGTTTTTGTTGAAATATCTAGGAAATCCCAGGGAAAAAGCAGTCTTTCCATTCTGGAGAATAGCCCCTCCCAGAAGAGCTCACAGAGATCTAGCAGGAAGGGTGCGGGTGAGGTGTAGAGGGTGAGCTTTCCCTCCTCATATCTGAAGGCCAAGTAGGAGAAGGATTGTGATTTGTCCGGGTGGCTCCAGTAGTCAGATTGCAGAGCAAGAGGCAGCAGCTCAGGGGAGTAAGCATTTAGTCCACCAGGTCAAGCAGCTCTGAGGAGCAGGCAGCCATGCCCACATCTGGGGTAAGGGTATTTCAGGCAGAAGAAACGGCATGAATAAAGGCCCTGATATGGGAACCCACTTGGGTATTTGAGGGACGAAAAGACAACAGGTGTGCTTGGGTCATCATTAACGAAGCAAAAGGAGAAGAAGTTGTGGAGGTGGCAGGGACTGACCCTGGAGGGCCTTGGAGATCAGAGGAGCGTGATGCCACCATCCTGCATGCAGTCGGAAGCCACTGGGCTGGCATGCAGGGTTAAGCAGGAAATGCCCTCCTCTGTTCTTCAGAGGGGTCAGTCGGGTTGCTGGTGGAGAGGGACTGGAGGAGGTCAAGCAGCAGTCATTCAGGCCAAACATGATGTGGCTTGGACTCAGGCTGTATCAGAAGCAGTCAGACTGGGGATACATCTGGGAGGTGGAGTCCAGGAGACGACTTTGTGATTAGGCGTGGGTATGAGGAAAGAGAGCAATCAAGCTTTGGCATGAAGAAGCCTCAGGAGAATGGTGGTACCACCAAGGCAGGGTGAAGGATGGGTAAGAAGGTAAAAAATCCCGACTTTCCTCATTCCACCACCTCTCTTCTTTGCACTAGATCACACATGCCTGTCTCACGCTTTAGGAGGGCAATCATAGATCCTGTTTTCCACTTCATCTCTCTTAGTACTAGTTACCAAGAGAGGGACTGCTTACAGGGGCTGGGGAAGGTCATTTGGGGTGCGTGGAGGAGAAACAACAATTTTTGACAGCACATCAAACTGAGATGTTTATAGACTATCCAGTGAAGATGTCTATTAGGCAGTTGTGGAGAACAGGTAGGAGGTCAGGGCTGGGACAAGTGAATTTGGGAGCTGTCAGCATATAGAGATCGTGTAAAGCCATGAAATCGTTGAGATCACCTTGCAAAAGAGTGCCGATACGGTCAAGAAGAGGGCTGAGAAGTCAGCACAGAGCACACCAACATTGAGAGACTTGGTACAGAGACGGGACAGTGTATGAGATTAAGATGGGGCCTGGGAATTGGTGGAAAAACCAAGCAAGGGTGGGGCTCATGGTCAACTCCACGTAAGTAGGGCAAACCAGCAAGGAAGCTCTCAGAAAGGGGGAGGGACCCACTTTGTTGAACATTGCTGAGAGAGAGGGTGAGAGGACAGATAATTGTTCTTCAGCTTTAGAAAGATAGAGGTCACTGGGGGCCCTGTTGTGGGCTCTTTCTACTGGGTGGTAAGGATAGAAGGGTGGTGCGAGTGGGTGAAAGAACGAAGGAGGGAGACGTGGAAAGTGAGAAGAGACCCTTGTCTAAGAGGCTGCCATGAAGTAGAGCACAGAAATGGGTGGCGAGAGGTGGAAGGTGAAGCTGGGGTAGGGGTGCAGGCTGCTCAGTGGAATTTTCTGCGGGAAGATGAAGAGTTCTCATCTGAATATGTCCATTCTCACTGTGAGGGCAGAGGCAAGGTCAGGGTGGAGTTGTTGGAAACTTGAGGAGAGACAAAAGATGACAAATAATTTAGAGAGCAGAGGTAGAAAACTGAATTGATTAAGGACACAGAGAAAGATTATCTGGAAGTCTTGACTGCCCATTTGACATCTGTAGTCATACAGCTGAAGTGAATCTCATCAGAGGCTCAGAAGCAGGTAAGTTTCACACAGTTTTAGTAGGAATTAAAATAGAAACCTGGAATCTGCAAGTGACATGTGATGAAGAAAGAGAGGGGCAAGGAGGTGGGAGCTCAGGGTCTTCCTTGTCTGTAAGTGAGCATTTAGGGGCAGAGCCATGGACTCTAAGCAGAATAAGAGGCATACCAGAACATGTGTGATAGGGAAAGCGGGGTGGGGCGATGATGAAAAGCAGCAGCTCCATAGACTGGAAGTCTTGGAAAGGGGAAGGATCACTGGAGAGCGTGTCCAGGGACAATGAGCTGGAAGGACAGGATAGGTTAAAAAAACAGATTTTGGAGGTCTTTCCAAAGAGTGTGAAAATGTGATTAAAGTATGTTCTTTCTATTTTATGTCATTCATTTAAAATTTCAATTTTTAGTGTGTCCTTTGTAAATGTCCACAGTCTGTCAGAAGAGTAGTAAGTGTTTAGGATTTATAATTAAACAAATTTGCACATTTGGGGGTGTGTCCCTCTCATTGCTAAAGATGTACAATCAGAAAGGTGGGGAGACCACTCGTTGGGTGGTTCCTCTTTTGCAGGTGAGGCCACGGGTGGGATCCCAGCCATGAGCTCTATTACGTCAGGGATAGAGATCATGGCATGGAAGTGGTAGAAGACAATTTTCAGGAAAAGATAATATCATGATTCTCGTACAGATATAAAAATGAACACGTTAAAGATTTTATTTAACTCATTCAATGAGGGGACCAGGCAGATGTTAAAACTGGCTCAAAAGAGATTTCAAAGGACCTATTTATTTATAGAATTGTAAAATAGCTCAAAGACAGTGGAGACAGCTAGAATCAAAGAACCCAGCAGGTTCTGCTGTAGATAAAAAGAGTTTTCTATTGAAACACAGATTTTTTTTTTGTAGAAAGATGAGCAGTGGCAGCAAGACATAGCACATCATCAAAATCAGAACCTAAAGGCTGACAAGGGTGTGAGGAGATGAGACGAAGCAAGTCATGTCTGGGGAAGTGAAGGGGAGACCCAGGAAAGAACCTTATCATGATGGGGTGGGAGACGGGGCAAGCCCTGCCATGACTGATGAAGATGAAGACATTTAAAAAGAAAACATTTCTTATTAGAAAGTGGCATAGAGTCATTGCTTTGCATATTTATCTTTCATTTTTATCTTTGTCTAAATTTTGCAAATATTTTTCATTAAAAAATAAGGCTCATATTTCTTGACAGCTTCCACAGCCCCCCAGGCTAAGGTGCCTGAGTGTGTTGCCCAGGGTCTAGCGGGAGCATGTGGAGGAGCTGGGATGCTATGGTGATAGACAGAATTCAAAAGCCCACCTTGTAACTGCTCTGATCTACAATCATATGGAGGAAAAAAGCTTTCTATTTTTTAAAGAAAAACAATGAGCAGCATGGAGCCAGTAATCAGTAGCATTTCTTTTAATAGACACCTGAACTCTCAGCTGACAAAGAATTCACCAGAGCAACATGTACTGACTCATGTACCAGCCTCAGCCTGGATCAAGAGGACAGCTGGAGGGACAGTGCCTCCCCAGATGCAGGGGAGAGCCTGGGTCTCAGGCCAGAGTCTTCCCAAAAGGCCATCAGAGAGGCACAATGGGTCCAAGATAGAGAGAGACCTTGGGCCAGTTCCTTGACACATTCTCCTGAGTCCCACCCTCATTTATGCAAACTTCACCAAGAAAGGGATGCATCAACATTGGCGACCTCTTTGGAAAAGGATGTGAGGCAAAACTGCTATTCAGTTTGTGATATCATGAGACTTGGAAGGTAAGAATCACCACATTTGCAGATGTTTTGTAACCTGAATGCATCTCATCGCTAGAAAATTATAATCAAGTCATCAATAACTATGCTTGGATGCTTTTTGTGCCCAGCACTGTTCCAGGCATTTAGACGACAGGTTGCAACAAGAGAAACATAAGGCCTGGAGCTGCTGAGAACACCTGTGAGCTCTTGGGAAAAGCAAACACTACCCAGACCACAATTGTCCCTAATATGTCTTGGAGGCTATAGATGGCAGGCCTCAGTTTTTCTCCTGGCCCACAAAACTTTGTCCTGTATCTTCCAGGCCTCTTAAAGCAGTGTAGGCATTCTTATGTTCTTATATGCATCCTTGCTTCTGTTGCTAATATGATGCTTTATTAACATCAACTTTTTATTGTTAATATAATGCTTTATTAATTAATATCAGCTTTAAAAAAAAAAAAGACGGGGTCTTGCTATGTTGCGCAGGCTGAATTCAAAACTCCTGGGCTCGAGTAATCCTCCCACCTCAGCCGGTCAGGTAGCTGGGTCTCCAGGCACCAGCCATCATGCCTGGCTACACCAGTTTTTGTTTTCTGAACACATCTATATCTTCAAGACCACCCTGCGACATTCACTTTCACAGTCATTTTTAATTTAGTCTGCGTTTTTGTGCCCATCCATCTGTAAGTATTTCTGGTTCTCAGAAATACTGTGCTGAGGGAACACATGGTCTTTGATTCAGTTTGACAAGTACTTATTACACAAGGTGCTTGGAAACTTGTAGGGAGCAGACAGAGGTCTGTACATGTAGGGTAAGACCTGCTTCCAGGCGTTTGCCAGCCAGAGGTCTGGGTCCAATGCAGGCAAGTAATAAAGGGCACTCGTTTGTGCGTGACACTCTATAAACCCACTGAAATTAAATGGCTCTCATTTGGTGTTCATCCTAGAAGACTGTCAAAGGTAGATTCATAGGGAATGGTAGTCCCTGTGAAGTGCAAAGCAGTGGTGTAATACCATTGGACCTGGTGAGAGCCGTGACAAACAGGAGCCAGGCATGCATTCCCTAAAACCACCCTGATAGAAAACTTTGAAGAACGTCGTGTCAGCCAAACAAGAGCTAGCTGGTTTGCAAAGTAGAACAGGGTGGGCAAGCACATTGATCAATGACATTCATATTCATTGTCTGATAATGTATAGCGTAAGTGTATTTATAGTTCCTTACAATTGCAGTCTAGGCAGTAATTGACATACTTGATAAAATAATAAAGAATAACCTAGAGATTTGTCCAAGGACAACCATTACCATGATCTTAAAGGACATATAAAAGGAACTGTACTTTCCTGTAGGCAGGAGGCACTTGTTTGGTTATTTAAAGGTTTTGCTGCCAGATAGTTTGGGAAAATGAAAGGGACCCTGGGAGCTGAATTATAAAGTGGCTCTGGGTATAGGTATAAGCTGGGAATTTGCCGTAACAGGTGCCTTTAATTTAATACAGTCAATAGCTATTTAAAATGGTATTTTAAGCTATTAGTGTAGGCAGTCACTGTTTCATTCATTAAATTACCGAAAATCAGCCTGTTCAATATAAAACTGATCTAGTCTAGCCTCAAACTCCATGCTGGAATCTGCTCCATCACATTCCTGAAGAAGGTGTTCTTGAAAATCTGCAGGGATGCCGAACTTGCTGCCTCTCGAGCGACCCATTTTATTATCATCTAGTTATTGATCAAGGTTCTTCCTTGTAAAAAGGTGAAATCTTTATGCTGTTATACTGCTCCTATTAGACTAGCATTTAAAGTTAAACATTTTGCATACAGCATGGCCATTAAGTTCAAGCCTCCTAACTTCATCTGAAGCTCAACCAAAGAAAAAGTGATTTGCTCCCACAGAAAGGGAGCAAATACATCTTTACGTCTTCTACTTCCAAGTCTGGATACCTATTTCCACCTATCTTTTAGCATTCTCTCTTTTTCTCTCTCTGTTTTTTTTTTTTCATGAAACATCACATTATTCTGTTTTTCTGAACCAAATTAAATTTGGCTTAGTGGCCCTTTTTGCAAGGGTATACCAGATGTCCAAAGTCTGTCATTCTTGGAGGGACTGCTCCTTCTAGAGCTTCACGAGTCCCAAGAGCTTGTCCAGAGCATTTCGGGGGAGTCTCCGATCTTGTCTGTCCTGAATGCTCGTCAGGCCCATATGGTCCATGCAGCCATAGGTGAACTGTGGGCAGGCTGCCTCACTGTTCTCAGTATCCTGGCTCTCTCAATGGCCAACCGCTCCCCTTTCTCTTGCCTCCCTGTGGTGGTTCTGGTGATGACTGCTTTTCTGCCTTCTCGCATTTCCTGGCTTTATTTTTACCTCATTTTCTCTCCCTCACTTAGGAGCCTTTCCTCTTCTCTGAAAGAACTCAAACCAAGTCTGCCTCTCCTCCAACAGGCCATCAGCTCGCATTTAATGCACACATAGTTAGTGGCTGCCCCCTACAGGAAGAAAAGAGGGGCGCACGCCCAGCAATCCCTGGACACAGTTTCCCAGCTCCTGGGTAGAATCTGAATCAGGATTTCAAAGTAGGATTGAGGCTCTCTGCAGAAGACTTACAGGTGTTTGTAGCTCAGTTCTGAGGTGACTGTCGCAGGCCCGCCTCTTAGAGTCTGTCTTCTGTGAGTCAGGCTCTGGATCTTATTGTGTGGTTTCAGTATGCCTGGAGAGTTGCCTTCCCTGAGCTGGAGGCTTCCCAAATGTAAACGGGATCATGACAATTCCACAGGGTAGTGTGCAAGTCAAAAGAAATAGCACGTGCAGGGTGCCGTCACAGCGCCTGGCATGTGGTAAGAACCCAACACAAGTCTGTTTTCCTTCCCTTTCCTGAGCTATTTCCAGCTAAAGAACAGGTCCCATTTATTGAAATTCCCAGCAAGTTGCCGGAACTTACCATCTGCCAGGTGGCAACTTCCTACAGCCAGATGGCTGCCAGCACCACAGCAAGCCCAAAGTGTTCATGGAGAAGATTCGATTTCACTTTTCCTTACTTGTTCTCTTCTTTTCTCACACTCTATATCTAGAGATTTCACTGTCTAGTAGATCTTTATAAAAATATCTTGTAATAAAGCAGGACAGTACATTTTTATGGAGGAGAGTTGGTTTATGCACCTATTAGAGGAAAGGCTTGGCTGGAGTCACATCTTTTATAAGGTTAGTACCTAAAGGTAGGATAAGGCAACAATCACGTTGTCTCATTACCCTTGAAACATCACTTTGGAAGGAGTGATGTTATTTGTTCCTTGATGTGGGAGCAAATCACTTTTTGTTTGGTCGAGCCTCAGACAAAGTCGGGAGGCTTGCAGTTATGAACCATGCTGCATGTAAAATGCTTGTCTTTAAATGCTGGCCCCATAGAAACAGAAACAGACTGAGAGGATGGAAGATTTAGTTCTCCCACTTATGTACACTTCAGGGCTTACTTTCATTGGTTGGAAAGTTGGTCTTTGCAGAATGTTTAAGGTTATCTTTCTCTCTCTTTCTCTCTTTGCCTAGCACATATCATTAAACGCATGTAAGTAAAATGCACGTAAGTTCAGCAAGCATCACTTTGTGAAAGTGATGGTATAAACCCTGATGGTAATTTATTTAAGAATGCAAAATGAAGCAGGAGTCCTTGAAATGAACCTAAAGTTGTGATATACCTTCTGGGGATGGCCACTGCCTAGAATAGCAAAAGATAATTAGGAGGCCAGAGATCTCACTCAACTGCAGCTGCCAGGCCAGGTGTGATATCAGAGTAGTTAGGGAGGGATGCAGCTGCCAGGTGAGGGAGCTGTTCTGCCTGCTCTTGGGTTGGAGTGTGGCTGAGGTGAGTGAGTGAGGTGGATGCCTGGCTAGCATCAGTAGTCCAGCACACAGCAGAGCCTGGGGCAGGCTAGGGCCTGGGTGCTGCCTCTAGCAGGATTCTCTTTACACCTTATAGGCTCCCAGGGGTATCTGCCCACTGTCTTCATTTTCATTACCACTCTGACAAATACTTACTGTTATACTTCAGTTCAGATTTATCATCTGAACTTGGAATCTGGCAGTCCATTGAATTTGTGTACCTTGATGTCTTAGAGATACTGTAAATCCAACCTGCCAAAACTAAATGCAGATGTCAGGAGAGGAGGCCTGGAGCTTCCAGCTCTGTCATCGGGGCTGACGGGGACATCAGTATGGGGCCTGACGCTGGAGAGACATAAAACCCAGACTTTGTTGTGAGTTTAACCATAAGTAAATAGGACAACTATAATACCTTCATATTTCAAGCATGAAATGCCATCTGCTAGTGCAACTTTCCTCCTAAAAGGTAGAGATGATTTTGATGGCCCAAGTCTTTAAAGGACAGCTGTCCAGAAAAGTTGGGCACAGTGTCTTTTCTCAGTAAATATCCTGTAGCAAGCAGAGCCTTCAGAATGGTTTCACTGACCTCAGAGCTGAACTGGGATTCATGTTAAAAATATCCACTGAAGAGTTTCAGGACTTGGTGAGGACTCTGGTTCTGGGACAATGCTGGTTTGTGTGGGAAAGATGGCTGGCCAGGGAGCCCATGTCACATCTTCAGGTTCTCCTCCAGTTTTCATCTGTCTATAAAAACCTCCTTCTGTTGGACAGCTTGGTGGGCAGAGAATGAGGGCAGGAAGAAGCTGAGGCCATTACATGGACCCAGGGGATGAGCAGAAAACTCTGAGTACCCTGACAACATCAGGGTGTTTGATGAAAGTCCTGCTACATTAGCCCTAAGCTGGCCAACCCTGAACCCTGGATGAAGGATTCCACCTCTTTACCCATCATATCCACACAGCAAAACATGAGGCTCTCTCTGAAAGAATGTCTCTATCTTAATGAAATTCCCCAAATTTCCAAGTCTTGCCCTTTTCATGAAATAGGCATACAGGCTTCTCATGTCTCTTTATTCCCTCTTCACCCTTGCCCTATGCCCACAGTTGAGCCCCAGGACAGATCTTCAAGGACAGCCTAGTGGCATGTGCAAAAGGATGAAAGGAAAGGCAATTGTTCTCCCGGCTTGTGGTGGGATGATGGCCAAGATTTCACCTTTG